GATCATCTTCTTCACGCGGCTGCTGCTTTTATTGTTGTTGCTGCTGCCGGTCGCATCACAGCAGTTTATGCAAATTTTTCAGCTCAAACAGTTCAACTTCACTTTCAAAAAAAAAAAAGATGAAGGCAGTCAAAACTATTTGTAGCCGATATTTTTGCCAGCTTCTGCGGCTTTTACTTTTCTTCCCCCATTTTTGGACAGTTGCACAGTAGGGCGCGAGTACTTAAATGGTCCACAAATTTCAGACAAGGCATGCGAAATGGTTGGAGCTAGGGGAAGAATGAAGGTTAAAAAACATCTGGACTCTGGGGTTACCAAAGTCAATAAAGCTGCTCAGTTTTAATAAATTTGTTTGTATTTGTATGAAAAATAACGTTAAAAGGTATTCAAAAGTATATAGATATTGCTCCAATAATATCCAATAATCGAAGGAATTGTCAATTAATTATAGAATTAATATTGAATTTTAATAATATAACGAAACTTTCTATAGCTGTGGGGCAACAGGGAACTATCTATACGCTCAGATAACTGTCTAGTCCTGAATTATTTAATATTATGAAATTTCTGTAATAATTAATGAAATAATTTATTATAAATTATTCAACTTTACTTCTATTTATTTGTAGTTTTTCTGATCAAATTTGGCGATGCCAATTTTCCGATATCTAAGTGTGTCCATTAGATAACCTCAGGCTAACGTTAAACTGTCAATCAAAACCGTTTATGCTTTCACTTTAGTTGGACCTTAACATTTTCAAAAATAAGGAATTTCAGGCTATGGATCTTGTTGGTGCCTCAATTTAAGAGGTTGTTCTCCATTCTCCAACCTTCAAAATATTGAACTTGTGGACAAACATCATGTCCTGAACTGCAGACGAATCCTTAAACGTGAAAGATGTTCATTCATTTATTATACTTGTATATATTTCCAGTCTGTTTCAATAACATTTAAATAACGAAAAATGTTGAAAAATTGTGCATTGTATTTCAAATGATGGCCACTGTATGTGTGTGTCATGTTGTGCGTTTGTGCCTTGTTTGCCGAAATTAAAAGTAGTTTAGTTCGGTTTGACGCTTCTGTTTTTTACATAACAATAAACATTTACAAAACGAACATGTTTTGGCTAAACAGCTAAAAAAATATAAGATATACAAAACACGGGTCTGCTTGGCTATAACTTTTTGGGAATTTCTACGAGTGCGCGTCACTCGGCGCCGTGTGCAGACATTTTTCGTTCATTGACACGACTAATTGACACTGGTTGCTGTTGTTGTTGGTGTTGTTAATATTATTGTTGCGTTTCTTGTTGTTGTTGTTGTCGTTGTCAATGGTGGCGTGAAAAGTTTCGTCGGCACGTGCGCATTTTACTTTAATTTCGTTTAGAGCCAAGAAATGTTATTTAATGCATGATTGTTCTCCCTGTTGGTTGGCTTTCTCTTTGTATCAAATAAAGGGCTGCGCAATGCTAATGCGTAAAAGCTGCAGAAAAATAACTGCAGATGCCACTAAAAACGTTTCAATTTTTCATTTGCATACTTGCATTTTTCGCTTAGAGCAATCCACTTTTATTATTCCACATTTCACTTTTTAAAGCATTTCCATTCCCCATCTTGGCAGATTTTTACGCACAAACAAAAAAAAAAGCATAAAAGAACAATTTGCAACCATGAAACCATGATTTAATGAAGCACATAACCTTTTCCTTTATTAATAAGCACTTATTACGCCAATTAAAGTTGTGCCACTTCTCAAATGAGCGTAGAGATTGTAAACGTTATAAATTAAACGCATTTTAAGTACCTCATCAACATTTCAATTCAAATGCCTTGAGTTAACAAATTTCAAATTAAGCTTGCAATCAAACAAATGGCTGGCATATTGCGAATTGGGAATATAGCTTGAATGTATTTAACCAAGAGAGAGTGTTTTCGTGATTAGTCAAAATCAAATTAATTTAAGTCATCATTCAATTTATTCCTTATAGTTCCAACGGTGGAAGACTTGTAGAACAATTAGGTTTGATCAGAAAAAGAATATCCAAAATGCAAAGCACAAATAAATGCCAAAAAAATATTCAAATACAAAATAAAAATGTTAAAAAATTATTGTATGTTGGTAATGTTGATGATTACGAAGGAATAAGTTTGGCATGAACCTTTAAAATTCCAAATAAATAAATATAACAATTTTTAAAATCCTTTAATATCCTAATAATTCTATTTATATGTTCTTTTTATCCATTATATCAGTTAAACTAAAATTTCGATCTCAAAACACTAGATATTAAGATTATAGGATTTTAGGAAATTCATATATAATTATAATTTAAGGACAATTTTAACCATTTCATTGTGAACATGTAGAATTGATCGAAAATGTAATTATAAAATAAACTAAAAAGATGTCAGTTATAAATTAAAGTACTTAATTTAAACTAATTTGATATTAAATTGAAACTAATTTGAAAATTATCTATGGTTTGTATTCCGTACGAAAGCTGACGTCTCTTAAATTGTCTGGAAAAGCTCGCCAAAGCTAATTGTATAGTGTTGCCAACTGGTTGAAATATGTTGTTCACAGCTGACGCGCCAAACAAGTTTTTATCTTAGCGACAATGTCTCCCCTCTTAGCAAAATAGACCGACCGCTTGCCTTCTCCACGACTTTCGTCGCCGAATTCACTTATTCCTCGAGTCTCAGTGGGAGCGGTCCGCAATTCTTCCAACGCAGCTTAAAGTTATTCTATTCTTTTAACCGGCAAATTAAAAAGTTCTAAAAGGTGAGTTGAAAAAGAGTGAGAATAAAACTACCTATTTTATGGAAAAGAATCGTGTAACGCTGACTTGCATATTTATTTGTGCGACTTTAAAAATAATGGCAAAGAACCAACAAGGCAAGAGCAGTTCAAATGTAGACATCGATTGCGAATGAAAAGCTTTCGATTGCATCTGTTTATACAAATATAAAAATTTGTGTTTAAATTTATGCGCAACCCCATTCCCCGGCCCCGACTTGGTGATCCCTAATCGACAGTTTTCATTTCGTTGAACTTTCTCCGTTAAGCAGATAAATACATATGCATGTGCATTATATATGTACATACATACATATGTATGTATGTGCGCTTGTTTGATTTGTGTTGCTTTTTCGAAAGCCCACCAGCCGGTTTATAGCTCTCCATTCGCCGGCGCCATAGCCTCTTCCACCTGTACATTGCAGTGTGCTTATGTCTTTATCTGTTTTTATATAACCGTACTATATACTATATTCACGTATTTGTAAAATCGTTCAAAGGTTAGTCTCTCGAAATTTCAAGCTTGTGTCTGTCGTCGCGTAGTTTTGCATTGAATAAAGTGAATCGAAAAGATTGTTCTAGCAATTCTCAAGTTTATCTTGATAGGCAGACAAATGTAGCGTGTTGGTGTTGTAATGTTTTCAATTTCACGTTCAAGTGATTATTTACCAATGGCAAATCTTATCAGTAGCGTTTGAATTAGCTGATGTATTATGAATATATGTACATACACACATATGTACATATACTTCGCATATGGACAAAGTTTGCAGTTAAAAGTGTAGTTTTGTTAAGCTCTAGAAATTTGCAGTGAAAGCGCCCACTTTTTGTGACATCCATCTTTTCGTGCAGCCTCTCTAATCCATGAAATGGTAGTTAATTAAGCAAATGAAGGTGGCGTGATTTCACATACCCGTACATATGTACATACATGCATATGTATGTTTTTGGCATAATCACGCCATCTGTTATGTGGGGTGTAGCTTTATTAGTTATCATAGAAAATTTTAAGATCAGTGGGTCAATATACATATTTAAGTTGGACTTTGAGTGCATTAATAATATGCAGAGATTTTGGTGTAAGGGTATTCCTGAATGCCGTTAAAGACATGATTTAGCAGTGCAGCTGTTCACACGAATTGTTAGCACAAAATCACCTCTAGTTTAATTTCCCTTGCAATAAATAATTCCGTTATTTACCGCGTTCTTTGCATTCAACATATTATGTACATATGTTTGTACTTGCTATGTTTATACATAAGTACATATGTACATAATCTGAGATATTTAAACCGAATCTTAAGATTTGATTAACTGTAAACGAAATCATATCTTAAACAGCAATTTTGAATACCTTCTAAGCCATTTGTAGATATTTTTCATTTCATTGCATCTTAATCGTCGCTATTAGCTTAAAAATTTACATCCACATATAACCACCTCCCCCTCCTTCTCGCACACAATTAGACACTTCGTCGCCGCTGCCCATTACAAAGTTCATTTGAGCTTTTTATCCCATTATACAACACTACCGTAATGTCAACAATAATTCACGAGAGAAAACGCATAATTTGACATTTATTTTGTATTTTCGTGACGGCACACGTCTTATTGCGGAGATTTTTATTTGTGCCCTGATAACAGTTGGCCATGACCTTCTGCAAATCGACATGAAAAAAACACGCCATTTAAAACTAAGAAACTATCAGTCTCAGACGCAAAATTTTTGCCATGCTTCGAGTGCTGATGAAAAGAGAAGCTAATCAGCAACATGTTTGAGATTGTGACCATAAGAAGAGAGAGAGAGAGATAGGGAGCGGGATGAGAGAGCGCACACGCAACACACAAAATGATTGACAAATGCTGCCCCACCGGCAAAAGGCGATAACGATTGCTTTTATCAGCAAGTCTGAATATTCTTATTCGACTCATTACGTTTTGTTTTACAAGTGGAACTGCAACAACAACAACAACTCAGCATATAAAACGAGCAAAGCATTGAATCTTATCAGTATTAGGCTTTGTGAAATTAGTTTATTGTATTGTATAAAATGTTATGCTTATATACACGCGATTGCGCAACAATTTGAGCGTAGGAGAATCAAGTGCAATCGCAGAAACGGCAACAACAAAAATCAAGTCTAAGCAGTAATAACGGTGCTCAGTTACAGTTATCAGTTAACTCTCGGTCGCTGCACATACCTAGCGCGCGGCATTCAAGTAATTTATTTTTCCCGTTTATTTTTACAAATTGGGCCTAAAGTGTCAGTATTAAGTGTGAAAAACATAGTACTCGACCGAAAATACAACTCAATAGTACTGTTTGGCTACAACTAAAAGTCTCGCATTCCTCCTCCCCTCACAAAAAATGTTTGTATTGCGACGCACCGTTCTGCAGGCCACCAATTGCCGTTCACAACTGATGCGATCCGTCCTTCAAGCCAACTTCGCAAGCAGCGCGGCGGTAGGTGTTTTGTTTACGCCCTGAAAAATCTGATCAAAGTACACTCTGTCATTATCGTTATGCATGCAAGTTTCATTCATTCATCATTACAATTTATAGGCTCCACTTGCGCACAAATTTTCCAAAATGGAGAAGACTTTTAAAGAAGCTCCCGCTTGCGAGGTGAACTCAATGCACTTCATATCTACATTACATAGCTAGAATTTAATTGTTTTGACGAGGCATTGTAGTGTGACGCTTGTTCTATTTCCCCGCAGATGGCCAACAAGATACGTGCTGGACCCGTCGTCGATGTGTTGGGTGATGAAATGACCCGCATCATTTGGCAGTCGATCAAGGACAAGCTTATCCTGCCCTTCCTCGACATCGAACTCCATACATACGATCTGGGTATTGAGTACCGCGACAAGACTGAGGATCAGGTCACCATTGATTGTGCCGAAGCCATCAAGAAGTACAATGTAGGCATTAAGTGTGCCACTATCACGCCCGATGAGAAGCGTGTGGAAGAGTTCAATCTGAAGAAGATGTGGAAGTCCCCCAACGGAACCATTCGTAACATTCTCGGCGGCACTGTCTTCCGTGAGGCTATCATTTGCAAGAATGTGCCCCGCCTCGTCTCGGGCTGGCAGAAGCCTATTGTTATCGGTCGCCATGCCCATGCTGATCAGTACAAGGCTGTGGACTATGTTGTACCCGGCCCAGGCAAGCTGACGCTGACCTGGAAGGGTAACGATGGTCAGGTCATTGATGAGGTTATCAATGACTTCAAGGGTCCTGGCGTTGCCCTTGGAATGTTCAACACTGATGATTCGATTGTAGACTTCGCGCATGCGTCCTTCAAATTTGCTTTAGATCGCAAGCTTCCTCTGTACATGAGCACCAAGAACACCATTCTAAAGAAGTATGACGGTCGCTTTAAGGACATCTTCGAGGATCTGTACAATAAGCAGTACAAGAAGGATTATGAGGCTGCTGGCATCTGGTACGAACATCGTCTCATTGACGATATGGTTGCTTATGCCATGAAATCAGAGGGTGGCTTTGTCTGGGCCTGCAAGAACTACGATGGTGATGTCCAGTCCGACTCAGTTGCCCAGGGCTATGGCTCTCTGGGTCTGATGACGTCGGTGCTGTTGTGCCCCGACGGCAAAACCGTCGAAGCTGAGGCTGCCCATGGAACTGTGACGCGTCACTTCCGTTTCTATCAGCAGGGCAAGGAAACCTCCACCAATCCTATTGCTTCCATCTTTGCCTGGACCCGTGGTCTACTGCACCGTGCCAAGCTCGACAACAACGAGCCTCTGAGGCAGTTTGCCGAAACGTTGGAGGAGGTGTGCATTGACACCATCGAGAGTGGTTCAATGACCAAGGATTTGGCCATTTGCATTAAGGGTAGTATCAATGCTGTTAAGCGCAGCGATTACCAGGAGACTTTCGAATTCATGGACACACTAGCCAAGAATCTGGAGACGGCGCTGAGCAAGAAGGCCATTGTTTCAAAGTGACTAGCCGAAGGAGATCATCAGACGTCGCATCTTTAGGCAAAGGTCTTAAGCAAAAAGGAAAACGAACACCACTCAGACTCAGTTGTGCTTGACGTCGTCGTTTCTACCCTCGTCCTTGTTCACCTTTTGTATAGTAGATGTGCATGTGTGTCGCTTACTGTGTTTTAAATACTTTTATGCATATATTTGTTCTTTGTCTCTGGGAGACATCATCAGCATTCTACGCATACATACATATATCTACATTTATATATACATATATTTTTTAAACGCCTGTCAAGTCTCAATGTCGGCTAACATCTTTGTCAACTGTAATAACGGTAAAGAATTGAATATACAATAAAATATTTTTATACCGCCAATGGGAATATTGTATTTGCTGTGCTTTCTGCAAAAGGTCTTTAACCTAAGGGGACAATCGAACCTACTATCCTACTACCCACCACCACCGCCCCCAAAGAAACAGTTACAATTGTGTTATATGTGCCACTTGTGCGGCTTCTGCGCTGGCCAGCTTATTAGATTTGGTCGCAGTACACCTCACAGTCTTGTCGCAACGTTCCGACGCGCAACATGCTACCAGCGAGCCAAAGAAGGCAACCAACATTGAGCCAGGAGTAACAGCTAGCGAGGAACCACCACCTAGCGCAATGCTTGCCAAGGCTGTGGGCTATGGCTATTGCTTGGCCTACTTGCTGGCGCTAAGCAATTGGGGCAGCGAGGCTTATCCGGCCAACAGCTACCGGGATCTGGACATATGCAATCACTGGAATGGACGGCGTCATTTCCTCGAGCTAGGTGAACGTGGGGAGCTTCATGCCAGGAATGTTAGCACAACAGCCTTCCGTGTGAGTCAGAACTAGATAGGCATTATCATGTATTACGAATCAATTTAGGGACAGTTCCTATTACTATGTACATTGAACACACACACTTCCACATACTTCATGTCCATGTAGAGCACGCTCTTCGCACCACCAGCGAACGGACAACGTACAGCGCTGGGTCTCAATGGCATTGCACCGGTGGCCGATGTGTGGTATCAGTGCAATCTGGAGCTGGTCACCTGTGCGGAATGTGTGATCCGAGTTACATTCACGCATGCCAATTTCTCCAAGGAATGCGCCAACACTGGGTCATCTAGCACTGTTGGGAAGCCCCCCTTGTGTCCCTGTGAGCATATACAGTTCTCGGAACCACCTTACGATACGACTATATCGGGGCAGGAGTTTTGTGGGGACGGGAAAGTATTTCGCAGCAAGACCCGTGCTTTGCAGCTCAAGTTCTTTTACCGTGCGACAAATAGTCACATCTTTTCGCTGCAATACTTCTCGGAGCGTAAGTCGCAACCTTTTCGTATATATCGAAAAATCTGTTTTAAGACGTTACCCGTACAGGCAATGTCAAGATTGTGAGCGGCTCGCCCAAGCAGTCCATCATTAGCAGCAGTAATTCCAATTACGTACCGCAGATCATATCGACGCCATACTTTCCCATGCCATATCCACGTGACTATGGCATCGAGCATATACTCACCTGTGAGGCGGACAATTGTCAGGTACGGTTGGACTTTACGGACTTTCAACTGGGTTTGGCCTCAACTCTGGAAATCTTTGATTCGAATGGACAAATGCTGGACTCCTATACCGGGGAGCATTTCCGTCCGCCGATTACCGTGAGCAGCGGAAAATCCTTGTTGCTTCAGTTTCGTGGGAATGCCGCCACTGGTGTGGGCTTTCGAGCGGAGGTTAGCTTTGTATCAGCAAAGCAGCTAAAGGACGAACGTCTGATACCATACACCGGTGAGTCGTTAACGCTGCGATGGGGAAGGGTGGTGGTTGCCATCGGATTAGTGGCGCACTTATAAGGCTACAATTGTTATATCGATTATGTGAGTGTGTTTTTTTCTTTTTTGTTTTGTAGTTTTATTTTGGGGGCGTATGCACATTTCAATGTCAATGTCGTTTAAGTGTTAAAGTGGGTAACGTTTTGGCTTGGTCTAGTTTTATAAGGCAATCGATGGTAGTGGGGGCTTGGCGAGAATGTTACGCAAAAGAGCGCTTGCTTTGCATATAGCTGTTGCCATGTAGCCCCAGATTAAGAGGGGGTTCTGATATTACTATAAAAGCTGTACATAATAGGCTGATGCGAAACGACATGTCGTCGGCTTAAGAGAGCTTGAAGCATTAAATGGATGACGAGGTCCTCTTGCCTACCTATTCTGCAGATTGCGGTGGGATGGTTACGGGACCTGGCGGTGCCATCACAATGATGAACATGATTGAGAATGCCACGGATGTGCGACTCTTCGATTGCATTTGGATCATAAAGCCAGGCAACAATTACATGATGATGAAGACGCACATTTCGCTACGCATCGATGATTTCTACGGCATGGCAGCCCGCTCAGACCTGACCATACGTCAGGGCACCACTTCGGATTCTCCGGAAATAGAGAATGTCATATGGCCCAACACTGGCCTGAGCAAGGAGAATCACATTGTACCTGTGCTCACGGGTTTTTATATACGACTTCGTGGCGTATTTGGCATGTCCTCCAAGCTCGCCATTGTCTACAGCGTCTTCAACTATCTGAGTATGTGTCGATTACAAATTGGATTTACTATATGTATTTGCTTATGCTTAAGTTAAAATATGTCTCAGATTGCTACATCGGATCCGAGTTTCTCTGCACCAACAATCACTGCATCTCCATACGGCTGCACTGTGATGGCTTCGATCACTGTGGCGACGGGTCTGATGAGCCGGACTCTTGCGAGGAGGATTGGGCGCATCTGCACAACGATCGTCGTTGGTACTCGCATAAGCCGAACTATTACTTTCCCAAAATGGAACAGTATCCGGACCTGAAGACAGCCACCGGCATCTTTATCATTAGCACGCTTGGAATTTTCGGCGTGCTCTCCGGCTGGATGGTCATACTGTATCGCATGGGTGTGCGTGCACGGCATCAGCGAGAGTTGCAGAGTCATCTGCAGACAATTAGCGAGCTCCTAGATCGCCAGGATGAAGATCGAACGCCAGACGAGCCACCTAGCTACGAGGCACCTCCCGACTACGAAGAGGTCATCAAGGTTGGCATGCAGCAGGAGTTACGAGAGCCGCGCCACCAACGTCCCAGACGCCATCAACAACGAAGGCAGCGAGATCGGGCGGACAGCAACTGCACGATGCAGTCCACGGTTCCCCTGCATCGCAGCTGTAGTCTGGAGCGGCCCAGCACTTCAGCAGCTGCCATGACACATGCCATCGCCTCCACAGACACCACACAGGATACGACAGCGGCACAGGAGCTTTCGAAGCGAATGCTCTTGGCCAGCGCGATTTGTGGTAAGCAGGACCACCCTCGCCAGGTTCTCCCCTCCCCTCTCCGCGTTGCTAATTTACGCACAGAATCTCATTTGCAGGCACTGCAGGCACGCCTGGCCCGTCAACAACGGGCGGCGGGGGCAACTGCGCCACGCGCAAATCCGTGGGGGTTTCAGCGAGCCCGCCATCGTTTTCCTCTGGGTGTGAACTATCCACAGCCGGTGGAGCGGCCCCACAGTCAGCGGCTACGCCCAACAGCGCGCTCGACAACTGCACCGATGCCTATCGAGACGATTCACTCAATATATCACTCACTCTAGGGTTACCCTCGTACGTGTCACCCAGCTCGTCGGCAGCACAGCAGAACACGCCCAGCAATTGCACCGAGCATACCTATCTAAAGCGTTCTTGGCTCGTGGTGCACCAGGGCGCACACAATTGTCGGGTGCAGCGTCTGCGTCACACATTTTCCTCACCGGAGGCCTTCAATGCCAACGAGCTCCATGTTCATCTGCCTTACTCCGATTTCCTAAGCTATGGTACCAATTTGCCGCACGACCGTAGCTTTGGCCAATGCAGCAGTGCCAGTAATGCCAGCAATTTTGGCTCAGAGCTATCACGTGATCCGTCCAGTTACAGTTTCGGCAAGCGAGCGCGCTTGGCCATCAAACCGAATGAAGAGGGTAGCGGCAGTGATACACCGACTATGGAGTCATGCGCCCTGGCGACAGATGCCTCTTGCAGCAGACCACCACCATCACCGCAAGAACGTGTCCACAACAGCGAGAGCGATAGCGAAACCGAGCAACAGGTGTCCTGTTTCGGCCAACGCTCCCGATCACGACCGCGACGTCGTCGTGGTCATGTGCGCAGTCGCTCCTTTAGCAATGCATGTGCCCCCAATAGTGGTGTCCAGCGTGCTGTGCGTCTGATACAGCGTAGCTCCTCGGCAGATCTGCTCGTAAACTATGCAGCGATGGCAATGTCGACTCCAAATCATACAGGGAACCGTTTGTTTTTCATTTAAAATTGACTGAGAGTTGGAGGTGGTGCTCTGGAACTCTGGATGTTTTATGCTTAATGCTATTCTTGGTCTGAATCTGCATATACTTATACATATGTAGATGTATATCGGCATATTTATGTAAAATTATGAAAAGTTAACGGTTATCTAAAAGTGTGGTCAGACAGGCAATCATTTTAAAAAGTGGTCGTTTAAGGAAGTATTTTGCTTATGATGGAATTTTAATACATTTCTGAAAATTTGAAAGTCTGGGATCTCTGTCTGCCCATGGTTATGTGAAAATCCAATTGTTATTACTATTTAACATCAATATGGTTATACACTTGTTTCTGTATATATACTCGTACTCGTATAATCACCAATTTGTTATATGGCGGCATACACAATTAAAATCAACACTAATTTACATTCTCTGCTTTAATATTTATTATGTATGGTTTGTATATTATGTAGTATATTTTTGTGTTGTATATAGCGTTTTACGGTTATATGCGCGCCCGTATTTAGCAGCATGGGAAGTCTTAAAGCCAAATTTGAAATTTTCTAGGCTGCCTTTTAGGCGTCACATACTTGTTTCTACTATATAACGCGCGTTGAGTATATATAGTATATGCAAAAGCATTCGCATTTGGGTGCTTTAAGTGTGCAAAATAATCATATTTTATAAATAGATACATATATACTACATATATATGAATTCATATAAATTGAAAAATTGCGAATATGGAAACCAAAATGCATAATAGACGACTTCGCTTAAAATGCGAGCACATTAATACCTTTACTATAATACCAAAGTGTAGGTCAATGAGTATGGAACAGACGGAATATCTTTCTAGATATTCTCAATATAGAACAAGCCGCTAAGCATTCTGAGCGCTTCTCTGCTTTTCGATACACGGTTCCTTTTTTTCAAATTCCAATTGGTACCTACACCTTTTTAGATAAATACTCTATCCGTCTGTCTGCTTCATACTCATTGTAGTGGGCTTCATATTCTCGCCTAGTTAGCCGCACCCATACCATATATATCTAAGATGTGGGAGCTACTGAGATGCAACTCTATGGCTGCGACTGCAGCTGCTGTTTGAGATTCTCGGCGAGCAAGGATTTGCCCGCCTCCAGGGGTCCGACAATATTGCGCAGACTGTCGATGCTGTTGCGCAGTTTGGCGGTCTGGAATTTGCTGGGTAGCTTGGGTGAGCCGCCAACGGAGGCAAATGCAAAGGTTTTGTACTCCTGGGTGAGCAGCAATGTGCGAGGCGGAAGAGAAAGAGAATTTTTAAATGTAAATGAAGTTTTATTTGCTTTCGCAGCAATTTAATTAAGGTATTAAAACAAAGCGCGAGGATTAAACAGTGTTTAAGGTCAATGTCATGTTGTTTGTAGGTAAGAATATATGTATACTATATATATGTATGTATGTATGTTTGTATAAATGTAGGTAACTAAAGATATGTATATATGGGTATTTATACTGAGGCATACAAATATTGTGGTGCGAAATTATAAATAATAAGCTTAAAATTAAACAGTGCTCGTACTCGTAATATCAAATTGAACTTAAAATTGGCAATCCACGTCAAGTGCTGTTGACTTTTTCGAGTTTCGTGGAATCATAAATTCAGTGGATTCATGGGTATGGGTATTATGTTACCTGATTCCCGCTAGGCGAGCTTGCTTCACTCACTGTTACTGGCGCCGGACCAATGTGGGATTGGAATGTGGCCGTTTGTCCATGCTCGCGATGTCCACGCGTGGTGACCTTCTCTTGCAGCGAATTAAAAGTTTTCGAAAGCCAGGGTTGCCAGCTGTTACGATTGGTTTGCATTTCGTTAAGCGTTGAGTTTAGCTGATGATTTAAATCCTGATTCTTGCACTCGGCCTCAACATGTGCCAGCTTAACCTGCGCCAATTCAAGCTCCAGCTCACGTATGCGCAGCGCAGCCGCATTGAGTGGATCCAGCGGTCCCAAAGGGGCTTCATTCGCATTCCGACGCTCCGCACTGATCCGCTGCTGTTGTTGCTTGCTGTCTGGGCAGGCCTGGGCTGGATGTGGCTGAGCATTATCGTTGCCCACATCAGTGCAGCAGTGCTGACATTTGGACACAGTGTGCTGAAAATAAAGGTTGAGTTGAAATAACTTTTAAATCAGCCATGAGAGCTGTGCAAGGAGTTCTTGTAAAGAGCTGCTCTCCTCTATGGACTACCGACTCACCCTAACAGCACTCAGCGTTTCATTGAGCGTGGTCATATCCTGCTCCAGACGCTGTATGATTTGTTTGTAGTCCTGTATGATGCTCGTGTGTATCTTTTCCTTCTCCATGGCCCGCAGATTAGCCTCCGACAACTGTTTGTTCAACTGATCTATTTCACCCTGCAACTTGCGGCGCTCTTCGCCAAAGCGATTCTCATAGATCAGTGCCTCCTTCTCGAGACGCTCCTTGTACTGTTTCTTTAGCAAAAATTCCTCCTCGTATTGTTTGAGTTTCTTGATTTTTCGCTCGCATGCCTGTCGCATAACTTTGCGCGCCTGACTGGGACTGCGACACTTTTTGGGTAACGTGACGCGAAAATATTTCAAAATGCCCTCGAAATCCAACTGACGCAAGTCAGCTTCACAGATTGACAACAAAGTGATGGCCACCTGAAATAGCACTGGCAATCCATCTAGCAGAAACACGTCGAGAACGTGGTACACAAAGCAGAGTGGGAAACGTGCCGTGTAGAGTGTGAGAAGCCACTGAGAGGCGTACATGTGAGTCTCTACGCCACAGGCAGCAAAATGTTCGTGCAGTTTGGGCAACTGATCCTTAATGAGACGCTCCAACTGATAAAGGCGTAGATAAAGAACCTCAAAGCCCGCCTTGTAGAGATCCCGCAACCCATAGTCGTACATGAGCGAGACCAGAACGCAAAACGCATCCTCCTCGGGCATCTAAAAGGGGGATTTTCAACAAATGTGAGCCTCGCACAAAGTTGGACGATATACTCGTGTGTACATACATGAAGTAGCAGACTGGCTGCAATGAAACTCAATCCTTGACAATAGCCGACTTCGCTGTCATGAACAGCATATGCTTTGGATACCTTGAAGAGCGAATCCTGGCCAGATCCGCCATTCTCCTTGAAGCATTTGTGCGCCGGAAATGTGCGATGTATGTCCCTTAATATAACTGCCTCGCAGTCGGTCTCCTAAAACATAAAAGAGATACAATATGATAGGAAAAGATCTTAATTCCTCGCATTAATTTCTTCTACAATTTACAATTTTCAAATAGCAAATAGAATATTTTAGTTCCATATAAAGCATTAATTGAACCACTATAACAAAACATTTGTGTCCTCAAGTCGATTTTAATTATTGCTCCGATAGGGAATTTATTTAAATTTTTTTTATTTTATTGTTATATTTGAGTTCAGTTACGAGAAATTAGATTCATTGAATATTTGCCAATATCTTCAATAAAGCAGTAACAAGTTATACTCAGTAATTAACTAAGTAAAACGTATAACAAATTTTATTCACAAGTCGATTTGCGCTTTTGATCATGTCCTAAAACGGTATTTTTAAGTAGGTCATCGGCATTAATTACTCGTTAATGTCAATAATTTATATTTTAAATATTTATTCACTGGCTCGATGACGATGACGTTTTATCTTCCTCGTTTATAATTTGATCCAATTAGGCAATACCAAAATTTTGAAAGACAAAATATATCGTGAAGTTAAAATGTAAACTAAAGAATTAAATAATACATATGTATGTTAAAATGTGTGCAAGAACATTCTTTAGAAAGAAATTCCATAATAGGGTGCACACCTAAAAGTAATTAAAGCGGACAATTGAATAATGCTTAAAATCTACTCACTTTGGTAATCAATATCTTGTACATATCATTCATTTCCGCCTTTCCCTCCACATTGGCCAACTTTTGCCAGACCACCTCACGCAATGCCTCGGGTACGCCCAGGCGCACCAGAGGAGCTAAATTCTTGGGCCGTTTCTCGCTATCCCATTCGCGTAATATGGGATTCCATTCCTCAAGCGTGTCCTGCGAACACTCCTTAGAGACTTCACCAGTGCCACTTAGCAACGGCTCGTCACCATCGCTGCTATAATCGGTTGGACAATCATCCTCGATAGAGGCTATAGAACCGGATCGCACCATACGCAACTTATCGATGCCGAACTTTAGAAGAGTTGCCGAAGCTGTCTGGTTTTGTTGCTCTGTTATCTCCTCCGATGGATCTATGGAGTTTACCTTCCAATTGCATTCATCGGTGCGCTTCAGATGCAAATAGAAGCGCAACGTCATCGGCCGCTTTGACATAAAGTGGTCCATGAAGCGTAGATCGCCAGCCGAGTGTATGGTTACAAGTGTCTCAATGACAAAGCGTACTGGTTCCTGTATGCCGCGCATAACAATATCTACAGCCACGGTTAGCGGTGCCTTGGACGCTTCTATGTTAAGCTGCTCGAACGCCTTTTCACTGGCTTTCCATTCGGCGCGTATGGCATAAGGGTTAAGACAAAGCGGTGAGCTGCTTGTTCCGGTTGTTGAGTTGTTGCTGGCGTTGTTCCCATTATTGGCGCCAGACTCTGCTGTCGAAGCTGGGACCACTGCCGGTATTGGATTCTGCACGTAGCCCATGCTCAGCATGTCAATCAAGTGCATATCCTTTTGCACGACCAGTTTGCCCGGAGCCACCAACACACCAAAGCAGCGTTCGATGAACAAGGGTTGAAGGACATTCGAGGGTGTCTGTTTGACTGTGATGCACACCTCTTTGTCTGTATTGGCGCGCAACTTGAAACAACGACGATCACGCGGCACTGCCGCATACGAATTCTTTGCCACCTTCTCGCGTATCTCCAACGATACGATGAACTCATACCCAGCAGTATTTAAGGGATTACCACTGACATCCGAAGTAATAGAGTTTGCCATGTCCACAGCAGATGTTAAGCTGCAGGTCATGCTGGGCGGATAAGTTTGAAAGGCTTTCTGAAAGCAGGCTGTAAGACGAATGAAAGGAAATAAGTAGGAGAAACCACAAATAGCTTAAGTTATATCAGTAGGGCCCACTCACCGCTCACTTGGTTCACCGCTTCGGGGATATGGCAACGAAATACATGGCATTGAAACAGAGCATCTCCGTGCAGCCAAGTGAAAGCAAAGCAGCCATTCTCCACAGTGTCCACGGGGCCGCGATAATAGAGTATGATGCTTGATATTTCATAAGTGGCTATAATTGTATTAGTCTCGGCATCGTGAAGTCTGGAATTCATTTGCATTATATCTCAATGTACAAGACAAGAGCTCTCCTAGTGATACCTACATCACCAGACCATCGGAGCAATTGGGTATGCTGACGGTTATCTTTAGTCCACCCGAATTGGAACCGGTGTTCAGCTCACTCATAATGCGATAGACATCGATTTCCGATTTGGGCGCGTTAATGTTGGCGGCGCCCAAATAGGTAACACCCGAGAAAATAGTGCAGCCCTGATCGATATCGGAAACTGCAAAAAAATATTAATTATGATCTCGGATATGCTAAAATATCCAACGCTTTTCACACTTCTGGGGCTACGGGGATTCCCACATTTCGTAACGGATTTTCTATACTACTCACCCTCCTCATCGGTTGTGTCGCATTTTTCTGGCTTCATGAGATCCTGTTTCTCCTCAATGCATGCCGGACTGGCATCAATACAATCATAAAAGACGGAATGACCCACCCGATTGTGGTCCGATGCGGACACATCGTCCTCCTCGCTCTTTGGCGAAAATAGTTTGCATTTGAAACGCATTTGCGCGTCCTCACCCTCCACCTCTGGCACAATGAGCGCGGGTCGCGATGATCCGCTACTGGTTAGTGGTAGAGTCAGCGATTTCTGTTGAACTTGTGAGCGTTTCTTCAGTGGCTGCTGTTGATGACGCGTCTTCTCTCCGCCAGCTGCAAATGTTAATTGGCAATTATTCAGAGTGCACAGTTTTTCAATTGAAATATCTACTTATATATACGATATATACATAATATGTAAGTATTTGAGCTTTCGTCTGTCCCTATTGGTTTGTTTGTATCGCAGCTATCCATACAGTTGTCATGACGACACTTTTTGTTTTCTTTTGCTCAAGAACTTGCGACAGATAAGATAGTCGACGGCTTACTGGTAATTATCGTTGCCTTCGGCTTCAATTCCGTGGCCCCGGTCTTGGCACTACTTTTTTACTTTGGAAGTCGGTTGCGAGTGTGTACACAGCTGTGCGTTTTTTAAACAATTGAGCCGAGAGAGTAGTGTAGCAAGTTTTGTCGCGTCGACCATTTGACGTTTTAGTTATGCTCTTCTTCTTACCTATAATAGTAACGCCACCGCTTCGCTCCAGCTCCAGATCTCGCAAAGCGTCGGTCATCTCGTGTTGTATGTCGCTAATGTTGCGATTATTTGCAATGTCCAGAGTGGGTGAGCGATTTCCCCCGGGCGACATAGATGTGGACAAAGCGAGGGCGCTCAAGGATGTGGGCGGCTCCTTATTGTCGGGTGCCGTATCCAGTACAGTGGGAACAGGCACAGTGCGCGGCAAGTTGTCCATGGGTGTTGTTACATTGCTATCCGTTACTATTTCATATTCACCACTGGTTGTTATTGAGGACTCTGAGGATTTCGTGCTCAGGTTATCGTCCATTTTGTATGAGTGTGCGTGTGTGTTTTAAATTGGTACGGAGCTCAAGGTTGCTCCGTTGGCCGTTCGAAGGCGATGCGTATTTGTGTAAGTAACAGTATATATGTATATCTGTATGCGGGTGTGTGTGGACGGCACTGTAATCACTAAAAAATTGTTTTATTTTTTTCTTCTGCTTGCCCTACTTCTACAAGTTTACGAATTGCGCATTTTATCTTAATGTGCAAACAAACAACTATACAATAAGTATTCCGAAGGTCAAAATAGTTTCTTTCGTTTTTGTTTAAATTAAATTTCATTAATTTTCATTGCGCGTACTCCAAGCTCTATTGTTTGGCTCTATAAATCGATGACGAATCGCGGCTTTGTTGGGTTGCCTCAAATGGGAGAGGGGGCGTTGCACAGTGCTTCTGTGAGTGCTTGTGTGTGTGTGTGATTTGTTTGACACACAAACTACACTTCCTCGTGGGGTGGCGCTCCAACGACGACGTTGGGGTCAACAGTTTGGTGCTGCTGCCCCCTTTTCACACACATATAGATTTTTCAGAAGCACCGAAAGAAAACTTTATTAAATTCTCCTTTTTCCACAATTTAAATATGTTTGCACATTCTTGACAAACACACACTGCTCTAATTTCATCCGATGCAATTATTTGCACAGTTTGCGCTAATTAATTAGCGAATTATACGTTATTTTTCAGCAGTGCTTAAGCGATTCCCTCAAGTGTTTTGTTTACATATTTACTACTCAGTGTTGATCAACGGTGATAACTGCTGCAATAATACCAGTGCCACTGGAACTGGTAAAAGAGTTTCAGCCATTTAAAATTACATATATTTAAATCAATATATTTGTAAATATATTTAAAATATGTTTAATTGAGTATTGCTTGCCATTACTAATATCAAATAAAAATGCCATAAATTATTTTATTAGCTCTAGCGTAGACGGAAGCCCTCGACTTTTTTTAATTTTGTAAGCTACTCCATCCTTTCAGAATAGTCAGTTAAGTATATAAAAAGATTGACTATGCTTCTAGTTTCACATTAATGACCTTTTTATTTAAATTAACTTTTACAATACATATAGTCGCTACACTATATTAAAAGGACTTTTGAACATAATTAACTAGATCGAGCTGCAACATTGACATTATTGGGCTGCAGGGTAGTTGTGTTAGTTTTGTAGTGTTGGCAAGTTGGAAGTTGGCAGCCCTGACCGCGCTTCATAGTTGCAAAAAAAGAAAAACGTGCGCGCCTGAATACTTTTAATTATCAAAATTATTGCTTAGTTTAGTATAATAAATTGGGAAATCTGCAAGATGTGGCCACGATTTGGTATCAAAATTGGAAACAGTACCCTCTGCATAGCTTACGTAAGATCCGATGGAAAGGTGGATGTTATAGCAAACAAGCAAGGCGATCGTGTCTCTCAAGCCTGTTTGCTGTGGGATGGCGTCTCCGAGATCGAATGTGGTTTGACAGCGAAACAGAAAATGGCCACAAGACCGAAACAAGCAGTAGCGCACAGTTTTCAGCTCTTACAGCCAAAGGAGGAGCTCAGTGCGGATAAAATAGCCAGTGCATTGAAGGATATACCCTGCGATTATGATGAGCAGGAAGCTGTCTTTAAAATGGAACATACGGTGCCATCCGAGAAGGAAGATCAAGATGACAAGGTGGTGACAAAGGAGCTGACCGCATTTCAGGTGACGGTGGAGCTGCTGCGTGCTGAATTGGAGCTGGCGCGTCAATACTATAACAATGCGGAACACTCACCTATAGCCGTGCTCTCAATACCCAGCTACTATCCTGCCCAAGCTTACTACCTGCTGTCGGATGCGGCCAAATCCGCCGGTTTCCAAGTGGCTCAAATTATTGCGGAGCCCACTGCCGCTGTTTTAGGCTATAACATCGGAGAGGAACCGGAGGCCGGACGGAAGCATGTGCTGACCATTAAGTGCGGAGGCCTGTACAGTCAATTTGCCTTATATGCGGTGCAGAATGGTCTCTATATAGAACTTGCTACCTTTGGTCCATTTGCGATTGGCGGTCGGCAATTCACGGAGGCTTTAGTGCAATTCATTTGTGAGGAATTCAAGCGCAAATATAAACTAGATCCACACGAGTCGCGGCGCTCGCTGGCCAAAATACGCACGGCAGCCGCCAACTGCAAGCACATATTGACGACGCTGCCCTCCACGCAACTGTACATTGATTCCCTCATGGATGGCGTTGACTTTAACGTACAAATGTCACGTGCCCGCTTCGAGAGCCTCATCCAGCCGGTCATCAATAATTTCATAGCGCAATTAAGTGAGTGTGTGGAGCGTGCGCAGAAAGAGCAGCCTCAAGTGACGGGAATTGATGAAATCGTGTTGTTGGGTGCCACAATGCAAATACCCAAACTGCAGGCGGCACTGGCAGCACGATACCCAAACGCCAAGCTCCACAACTGCTATTCGGCGGATGAGGTGGTGGCCATTGGTTGTGCACGGCAGGCGCTTTATTTGCTCGATCCCTTGGAGCAACAGTTGCAGAAAGCCGATGATTGCGTTCTGACCGAAGATGACTTGTATATATGGCACGGTGATGATGAATCAAAGGCCAAGTTGGTGCTAGGCAAGGGCAGTTTGTTGCCAGCGAAAATCAAGGTTACGTTGCCCCAGTCTGGCGAGGGAGATGCACAGAGTTCGACGCCGGCTTTCAAATTGCGAACCGGAGACAGTGAGATACTCGCTAACTTGCCAGACAACACCACGCCCTCCGACGAGGGTCTCTTCCAGCTGGAGGTAGAGGTTGATTGGAAGGACAAGGACGGCGTTATTGAGCCATTGGTGCGATTGCGTTGTATGTAAGTTGAGTGGGAGTCAACGATCTTGAGCGCAATTGTAAATTATTTATTTCTAATACACAAAATAAAAAACCCGAGCTTCAATCCAAGTTAGAAATCCATTGAGTTTTCTTTGAAGCTGCGCTCCAGCTTGCGCAGAAACTCCTCAAAGACAAGTACGCCTTTAAACATGCTCGTCTTCTTGTGATCCTTAATGCGACTTTTATCCTCGGGCATTTCCATGTAGCTTTTAGTCTTGTCATCGAAGGCATTTATCTCCTGTAGAAGTTGGCTGATGGTGGGCACTGTGGTGGGATCGAATTTTGCCACAGCACTGACGCTGAAAGGCACGCAGACCTTGCCCGTCGCGGGATGAATACAAAAAGGCGCCTTCAGCAAGTGATTGAACCCCTTTGTAACGTTGATATCGAGGCGTGGATAAAGTAGGCACAGCTGCACTTCCTCCACCACATGCTTGAGCTTGCGACTCCACACATTTGCCGCACTGGTGCGCATAGAGTTGGCAAAGCGCGCGAAACTCTCCCAAATGGCCCGCGAGTGGGTACCATCCTCGTGGGACTTCTGTAAATAAACCGCCAGCTCGTTGCGAGCGCCATCATCGCTAATTATATGCATCAGTTTGCTAACACCCTTTGGTGTGCCAAAGAGATTCTGATCGTCGAGAATAATTTCCTCAAACATGGGCTCCACGAACTTCAGGGCGCGTCTCAAACTGTGATGGATGCGATCGCCCAGTTGTATGCGGGGCGTGCTCGATCCCTTATACGTCACATAGTTAATGATATTCAGATACTCGGCGACTGCACTACGGCCCCGTGCGTCCAAAAGCCGGGCTTGTTGGTCACACACCCAACAATGAATACCACGTCGACCCGAAAAGATCCACAGGACGTGCTCGAACCCAAAATCCTCACGTAGTGCAGACTCCAAAATACGTGCAGCCAACACCATAAATTTCCAACATTTCTGGCACACTTCTGCGCCCGAACAACAGGTGCGCACCTCGTCATAGTCCGTCATATCGATATCGAAGACCAATTCACGTTGTACCGGAGTAATTCCCCCCGGTACGATGCGAAAGTTTTTTGGACGTGTCGACATGACGGCACCAATGTCGATTTTGTAGGGATTACGCGCACAGATGTCCTTCTCTAAGTCGGCTGGAGTATCATAGCAAAGATAGCGAACATAGATGTCATCGTGTAACGTAAAAGAGATCTCACGATTCGTAAATATCCCATCCTCACCTAAATAGAGAAAATAGAGCTCGTATAAATTAGTATTTTAAAGAGTTTTTATAGGACTTACTCAATCCATAGGAGAGCCAGCGGTAGAACGGCTGGTGTGGAAAAAGACGTCTGTAGTAGACGGGTAGCATGTCGGGCAATATATTGGGATCATAGGCCGGCGCTGCCGACTGCTGTGAAACCTGTTGTGGCCCATTACCTTCTTCTGTGTTCGACTCGGGCATTTTGAAATGCTGTAAGTGAAAACATTTCCATAATTGAAAAATAGGGATCCATACATCGAATACAATTTTTCCAACATGGGAGAGTGCAATATACATTGAATGAAAAATTCCACATGATCGTATAACTTTTGAATATTTTAATGATCTTAATTCTAAGTACGGAGAATGATAAATCCTATTGGGATCTTGAATTTAATAACAAAGAACGATCACCAATAATTTACTCTTCACCATAATTTAATTTAATTTCTACAGAAATGGAAATCATTCCACACACATTTTTCCCACCTCTGAAATAAAATACCAATCCTTTTCGAAACCTTATGCTATATTTGTATATTTTTTTCATGTTTTTTGTTCTTTTCTTTTTTAAAGAGAAATACACTTTGAGCTTAAAATATTTAAATATTTTAACGACATGCAATTGTTTTAAGTTTTTTTTTGGTTTTTTTTTTTAGAATTTATCTTTTATACGAAGTACGTGTCTAATTAATTGTCTGTATGAGTTATGGAATACCGTAGAACATGGTCAAAGAGTTCGTCTGATGAATTTGCTTACGGTCTAAATAGAAATTCTATATATATTACGCTATATAGAGTACGCCTATGTTAGATCAATTTGGTAACTTAAACATTAGAACACGATGAAAGAAATATTCATCCATCAAGCGTCGTTTGTAAGCCCAACAAAACCCACACAAGTTTAGGCCACAGTCAGGCGTATGTCCTGCATTTTGTGCTGCTGCCATGGATGTGCGGGCTGTTGAGGCGGTGCCGTATTATAGAGCGTCACAGAGGCTATGTGATTGTTGGGCATCACTTCGAAAATCAAATCTTGATAGCCAAAGCAAAAAGTCGAACCAAAGGGATTGGCCGTATTCGTGGAGCTGGCTCGATGAAGCACCACCGGACGCTCTGAAGTGGCAAGCGAACCACTAATCTCACCCCATTTCGTGTAGGCAGTTATATTGACATAATCATGCTTGTTTTGGGTCGCCAACTGATCGATACACTCGCTGGCCTGTTGATCCGATTTTAACTGGAATTGAAACTCGCAACGATGGTACATATTGAAATTAAAATGACCCGGATAATTGGTGTGCAGTATGAACTTTTTGCAGGTCTGCGTGCGTGCATCAAAGAGCACATCGATGCCGAGAGTGAAGTAATTAAAGAATATATCGCTGCGTTTGCTTTGAGCCTGACGATTCACGCTCGACGAATGGATCTTCATCTTGTCTTCGCTCTTGAAGAAAATACGATTGGGTGCACCCAAGTTTGTGGCCACGTCCTCGCAGCTATCACCAAAAAGGAGCTCACGGGTGAAGCACTGACGACGCGGTTCCAGGGCGCGACCTGAGCCCTCCGTGAATAGTTTCAGCTTTAAGCCTTTTGTATGACCATATGAGGTGCGCAGCACCGTTGCCGATTCCAAGTACATCTGTCGATGGTAGCAGGCAAGTGGCAGTGAAGGTATACGATTTTCGGTAACATTGCTACCCGCGTACAGAGACATCTTGGAGACCACAGGCGACGCGCCATTGAGGAAGACTAACGAGCCGAGTCCATGCGCATAACCCGAATGAAGTTTATTATCGACGGGGAAGTAGAAGCTCAGACCACGAAAGTGCAGAGCGAACAACTGCTTAGCTGCATCATAGACGCCCGGATGTGTAGCTCCGAAAGAATGTTCAATCTGCTCGATGGAGGGCAACACCTCTGGTGAGTTGAAGTAGACGCCTCCATATTTCAGTTTCACAAGCTTCATGTTAAACACCTCGATGATTTTTAAACGTTGTACCACAGGATCAAAAATTAGGCGAACGCCATCCTGTGGTAGGTTGATAATAATGTCGACGCCCAGTGGATTCGTGTCGGAGTACAGCACCTGCACGCCCTTTATGATGCCCACCTGAGATTGTATAATGGCAATGGCCTGAGAGAAGTGCATGCCAAGTACAAACTCCCAAGCGTCACAGCCCAGTGAGATCTCTGGCACGATTTCCAAGTCGAGCATTATTCTGAGCATTGGAGGGGAAACAATAATTATTAGGCTTCATTTTTTATTTTGGTATTCTTCACGCGATTTCTGCCACCTTACTGACCTTGATATGTGAAATCAGCTGCTGCCCACGAAAATATGCGCAATTTGTTTGCTGGGGTCGACAACAAGGTAGTGTAGTGTTTTTTTTTTCGTTCAACCGTTGTTTTTGTTTGTTGTTGCTGTGTTGTGTTCTTTTGTGATCGGGCGTTGCTGACGCCTGTGGATTTCTCTGCCCGATTGCGCAATATGCAGGTGCTAACGTTGATGTTGGGCGTTTCACAGTTTTCTTGCAATTTAACGTGATTTCTATGCTCTATTATTTCGCTTCTTGCTAATACACACTCGGGACAAAGACTATATGCGCAGCAGAAAAAATGAGATAATAACAAACTTGTTGTGCTGCCAGACAGCGCGCGAGCGCGGTTGTAAATATTTGTATCAGTTGAACTGCCACTTTATAAAGTACTATTCTTAACTTAAATACTTATGTTAAACATTTGCTTCCTTTATTATTAGAGTGATTGCATTGATCAATAAAAAGAGCTGTTAGTTGGTTATTACTAACAAGTGGCAACTTTCCTAGTTAAAGCAACAGCTGAGTCCACGGCTGACCACAGTTTTCGCGCGCTTTTTTGTTACCCACACTCCGCATATAGACACTCACCTTTTATGTTTTATTTGACTGCTTGCAACTTACGAGCAATCGTAGGTCAATCTACAAACTTTCTTTTTCAAGCTAACAAATTTTTAACAATTCCAACCACATTAATAATAGCCACAAAATTTAATAAGCAGAGCTTCTGCAAATCCGCCGATAGTAAATGCGCGAGTCGATAACAAACTGACTCTCTCAAGCAAAAAATCAGTTGAGAACTTCTCTTTGTTGCCTAACACCAAAGTGCGTTTCGCAGCACTGTCAAACACGCAAAAAATTACCGCAAATATAGAAATATATTTATAAAGCGTGATATAATCCCTTACTATGTTGCTAAACAATAAATTATGTCTTATATTAACACAAAAGAAAAAAAAAAACAGATACAAATCGAATAAAATCATTACACACTCCGAATCCCATCCTCATCACAAGGAGCATCACATTTTGTACAGATAAAACTTGAATCCGTTAACAAATTAGCACGAAGACAATAATAACAATAGATATGACCACATCCCATGTGATGCGGAAGTGTGGGACGTTCGCCGCAAAAAATGCAAGTGGATAGCGTCGTCATTTTTGGCACTACCAATTTTTGATTGAGGCTTTCTCGCCGCCGACCGTTTAATTGTTGACCAAAGAGCCACGACTTGAACAGCCTTTGAATTTTGCGGAAGTTGATTATGGGTAGTACAAGCCCAAGGATTTCCTGCAGATTAAAAGGTTATGCGCACTGCACCTTTGGAAAAACGATGAACTCACCATGAATCCTCCCCAGAGCAGTTCTCTTGTTAAATATTTGTAGCCAATGTCGCGCCGCTGATTGTTGCGCAGACTAATGTAATCCAAGCCTAAGAGATAGTCAACCAACGTGGGCTTCCTACCTGTCTTTAGAAAACGAAAGTAATTGAGGATGTTCAAGACAAGAGCGCTGTTCTCCGCCCAAGTAATGGCGTGGCTAAACCATTCAACGCGATAGGTTAGGCGCCTTTCCTCCCAGCTTTTCACATAGCCGGGTAACACGGTAAGTGCAAAATGAAGAGCCAAACGTGAAATTGTCAAACGCTCGGCATCGTAAGCCAGTACCAACAATTGTTGGCCAAAGGTCGAGCAGCGCTTTCCAATGGAGCCAAACCAAATGGCCGACTGTATAAGCAAGTCAAGCTCAGGTTGTATTTTGATAAACAACACAGGCTGTTGGTGTGTTTTAATATATGCACGTTATGTTAAATTGTGATTTGCTGTTACTTACCGATATGGCTTGTAAGTTCTCCAGCAGGTTGTCGCGTATTAAGCGTGTAATGTCCTTGTTTAGGTAAATGGCATCAATCTGTGGGAGGGTTAATGCGCTTAGCATTTAGCTAATAGATGATAGTATATTAATATGTTACCTGATTTACACGCGGCACATATATATTTTTTGCCAACATTTTGTTTATTTAAGAGTTGTCTGTTTATTTTCATTGAAATTTTCCTCCTATTGCGCTGTACTCTGCCCTTTTTGTTATCACACGAGACAGCGGTGCTGCCAACCTGTGCCAATGCATGCCGCAATTTGACTTGAAATGCTGTCAGCGTCTTGTATGAAAAAGGCGAGCAAAACAAAAACGAAAGCAGCCACATGCAATCCACATGCCGCATGGAAATCGCGGCTCACTTTTTTTTTTAAATATAATGAACGCGCCGCTTGTTAACAATTATAAGCGTTAATTAGTAATAAATTAATTCAAATTTGGAAATATACAATTTATTTAGGCAATTTAGGAAGCTATTCGATTACATATTATGTAAGAGAAATGAAAACAAAATAACAAATCAAACCAGTTGCAATTCACGCGGAACATACGCGGAAAATGTCTGCTATTTTTTGTTGAAAAATATAAGCTGCGCTAACGCAGCGTAAACCAGTTGGCAACATTTGACGTTTGGCCATTAATTGCACGCCAAATGTGGCAAATGTCCAAGCTTGCCCCAACACATGTGGTCCGACAACCCGCGGAGCACGCAAGTTCAATGCTTGGGCAATGACTTCTTTTACTCTGTAGCCCCCGCCAATTTCTATGCCAAGTAATTTAAATACATAACTTTTGATTTTATAAAAAGTACATAATTCACATTTTATTACACAGTTCTCATTGTTGCTGTTACTGTTCTGTACAAAAACAAAAATTTAATATACTGCAGCTAGAAGATATGCATGTTTATGTAACAAGAAGATATGATATTGGATGATATACGAGTATAGTATAGATTGATTATAAATTCGTTGAGTTAAACTGAGTCGATGAACTAGCGTAGGAGAGACAGTCGTTTAAGTTAGTGACTACAACAAATCGGTAGCGCGAAAATTTGTAGTAGAAATAGTGTAGTAGAAATTATTTGCTATCACAGAAATAAAATATGTAATGATATATGAATATTAAGAAGTAAATAATACACACACCCTCACACAAAATGGTTGTGAAGACAATGCACTGATCTGTGTGTTTGTGCGTGTATATATATCTGTGTCCTAATTACGAGATATGAAGCTGATTTACAATTCATGGTCGATCGCTAATGTTCGTTTGTTGTTGCTTTTGTTATCGTGATTTTTATGAAGCTGTGACAAAACGCTTGTCTGCAGCAATTTGTTCGAGCAATTTGGCTAACTCTAATTTCAGTATTTCTTTTAAACTTTTAACTGTACACACATTAAGTTGTAATTGTTGTTGGCTTAGTAGTGATGCTCGTGCAATTCCTCGTGATGATGCACGGGCGCGGTCTTGTGCACGACAGCATTGAAACCATTGTGCTTGTCGGCTGTGTAGTCCACAGTGCGAATGGAACCATCAGGTTCGACCAGGGAGTATTGGCCTGCAAGAGTATTACAAGTTGCAAGCGATCAAGTTTGTTTCCTCAGTCTTTCGTTTTGCAGTTCACACTTACCCTTCACGGTGTCACCGTCGCGTGTCTCATGCTGAGATTTAACATCGCCAGTATGGAAATCATTGACGCCATATTTGAAGGCATATTTGGGAGGTGCCTGTCATTAAAAAAATGGCATAAGTCATAATTAGATTAGTATTTCAAATACCAACTCCCTAAAGGAAGGGGGGATTTGCAATAATTATTACACTATTTTTATAAATAGTGACGATTCACGATTCACATGCTAGGCTGTTTTTTAATTTTTTTTCAACCAAACATATTTAAACTTTTGTTAAAGTTCGATCAAGTCACAAACTTTAAAGAGTTTGTTCTATCTTAGTGTTATGTAGATCTAAATAATAGTGATTGCTCAAACGGGATTAACCTATAAACCTAAATGAATACATAATATCGACTGTTGAAAAACGGATTAGCCTTCACAAACAGTATTTAATTTATTAACTTCAATATATTAGTAATAACTTACATAATAGTCAACATGCTCATCCTCGTGATGCTCTAGATGCTCATAGCCATGTCCATGCTCCTCGCCCAGCGAGATGCGTTCGATCTGATGCTGATGTCCATAGTCGTGTATGGGCGCTGCCTCGTGTCCCAACTGCTCGTAGCCATGATCCTCATAGTAGTGATGGTCCAGGGGATAGGCCATGCTCAAACAGAGAGCCGACGCGAAAATCAGATACTGTAATTGCATAATTGCCAACTAGTTAACAAATTGTTTATTTGTTAATCGCCACCAGACGTTGCGAGTGTTGCAATTAGCGCGCATGCGCCACGCGACAGCCCAACATACGATGGTAATCGCAATCGCCATCTCCATCCCCAAAGCAAACCCCAACTCCTCCCTCATTGTCACACGTCACTCTCGTTGGACCGTAATGTCTTCATCAGCAGCGAGCGTAGGTTTATTGCATTTTTAATGAAGTGTTAGGTTGCGGTCTCATTGTGGTTGGGTTTAATTTGGCTTTTGTTTTAACGATTTGCCTTTTAACGTCTGCTTGCAAAAACGCTAGTAAATTTTTGCATGTTTTTGTGGCCGAATGGAGTGCAAGTGCTTTGTCTTTGTGGCTTATTTTGAAAAGTGACTGCGGTCGTTCTTCATTTAAATCAAACAAACGTTTTAAATAATACGTTCGAAGTAAAATATGTATAAAAAAACACATTATGTTATAGTGGTGCTCTTACCCCTAAATATAATGTGAATCGGTAGTTTTTTTTTAAATACTTGTAAATAACTAAAAACAACAACTACTGAAAAATTAATTAAAACTAATTAAAATACACACACAAAATTGTCGAATGTCCCAAGCATGTCGTAATACAAAATTTTCTTACAAGCAGTTGTGTTTTCAAGACATGTTTGTTGAATGATCGTATTGCTGTCGAAAATGTCCTTGCTAATGATTCGTGTGATTTCAGTCACTATTTCCGGGTGGTAATGGATGTATACCGAAGCTGATAAATTACTCAATAAACCACATTTGAAGAAACCAAAAAATAAGTTTGGCAACAAAGTTTGACTTGAAAATAATATTGAAAATTGAGCTTTTGTTTGCAGACTGCTTTTTATAGCGCTCTTTGAATCGGAAATTCAAAATATTTTATAACTAACTACCCGAAAACAAATAAATTGAAACCAATTGTAGTGTTTAGCTTTTACAATAATGCCAAATATCCTCGCTTTGCATGTGTAAGTGAGTGTGGCTGTTGAGAGAAGGAAACATTGAGGATATTTTCATCAATAATTTTGCACTTTAGATGTAGGTGTTGGCACTTTTTTAGTATTTCGTTATTGCAACTTTAGTTTTTTCACTTTTTCGTAAAGGATACGCCGCACATAGAGTTATAGCTAGCACTGGGTATATCCTTTCTGCTTGAGTCCTGATGCTGCTCACCTTAAGTGCCATTTTTATTTATTTATAGTATATTTTTTAAATCGTAACGAGATCACAAAACAATGTACGAACAGAGCTTGATATTGTTGTTATAATTGTTGTTATATCTCGAGGAGGCTTCTCTCGCTACACGAAGTGCACGCAACGACTTTCCACAACTGAATAATGTGGCTGCAACGAAAATTTGTTGCTTTTATATATTTAGGAAGAAAGTGAGCTGCAAAAGCACCAATGGCAGTTGTTGCTATTGTTGCTGCGCCGGCGTTCCGTTTACGTGTTGAGCCACGGGCAGCGCAGCGGCAGCGATGTTGCAGTCAGTGTTGGCAGCGGCAGAGGCAGAAGCAGCAACAGCAGCCATAGTGAGCGGCAAATTCGTTGCAACGGCTTAAATTTAAAACAGTTCGATTTTTAGTTTGCATGTTGTTGTTGTTGTTGTTGCTATTGCTATTACTGTAGTTGTTGTTGTTGTTTTTGTTAATATTGTTGCTGCACAGGACTTGGACTTTTATATGTCATTAATGACACTGTTGATGGCGCTGATAAGTCGGAATCGTCGCGTCGTTGCTTGAGTTGCCAAATCTGCTCGTTGCTCTAATTTTAAGTGACAACTTGACGTTTAAATGGTTTGTTAATAATTTCTGCCATATTTCTGCATTGCAAACACAACAAAAATAATAATAATAATAATAATAATAATAATGAAACACAAAAGCGACTGCATTTTAATGTCTTTTTGCATTCTATTGCCCAAAGCATCATTAAAAGCAATTTGACCCAAATTTTCCATTGGACATAGCCGTAGCTTTTGATTTGCATCTTTCGCAGTTGGTGGCCCTCTATTTCCATTTCCATTTTCATTTCTTTTATTTTGTTGTGGCCTTAATGCGCTAATTTTGGTAAATTGTAAATTGAGCTTTTTACTGCGGGCCACAATAAAAGCCAAGCGCTGTAACAATAAAATTTTGTAATATTTAAGTGTTTCGCTTGGCCGTATTAAAGGGAATTTCTTGTTTTATTTCTACTGTTGGGGGTTATACATTAGTACTTTAAATCAAAGTTAAGTGCAACAACAACAATAGCTCATTGGCAATTGCACAATTTCAGCAATTATTTCAATTCAATTTACGAATCGACAGCTTGTTTTTTCTTTGGAGCATTTCAGCTCAAGTGTTGACTAACTGGGCAGTAGAGCGTGCAGTTTGATCGTAGAGGATTTTTCTAAACTTGAAGGTGAATTCTTTATGCCATTTTGTAAATGCTTTAAATTACATTGAAGTGTTTAGTTGCCGACCGTCTTGGACTGAAAGCCACAATCAAGTGATTTAATGTGTGCCAAAAAAAAAAAAACCAAAAACAAAATTGTTCTAAAATGCAATCAAGGAGAATTCTTGTTATTGGCTGGGATTGTAAGGTCCGTCGAAAATTAACGTATATTATATATTTCGATTTAAATTTCGAAATAATAAGTATTTAATTATGTCTTAAATCATTTAAGCCAATTGGCATTCAGCTGAGAGAAAGGGGCTTGCAAAATGTAAAAAAAAACAGAAGCGTGGGAAAATAGTTTATAATATAACTATTGTATTGAACTTGTACATACATACAAAAAGTCTGGCATGTTTTCTTTTATATTGGTGGTTCCAATATCATTAAATTTGCGATTTAGTTCAAATTTATTTTTAAAAATGTCTATGTCCTATTTATACTAATATTCCTTTATATCCCGCACAGGCGATCATCTTTAGATATTTGTGTACATGCTGGATTGCACTATTAAGTTGATTTGAGAAACTCGATCTGTAAGTGGGGTCCAAGAAATTATTCTTTTAGTTTTAAATACCTGCCGGAAATTTCTTCAGCAACTACTAAATATTCATTGAACTTAATTGTTAAAAGTGGCAATAAATTTGTTATATTGCTTGAATCTTTTTGAATGAATATTTATTTATTTTGAATTTGTTTGTAATTTTGACAGAAGGATGGGATATATTAATAATATTAAAATTGTATGGATCATCATTGCATTAGAAACAAATTAAGAAAAAAGAAAACCAACTTTTCAGTTGCAGTTGCTGGCATCTTTATTGAAAATTGCACATTCCTCTGCCATTGTTATTATTTTCTTCATTCATCTTCATTAAATAAACTTTAGCTTGCCTGTTAGGTTAATGGACTTTTTCGATGGATACATAAATACTATTTTAATTGCAAGAAATATTATTATGGTTGACAGCGTTTGACAAAGGCTGAGACAGCAAACAAAAAACAATAATAACAACAGCTACATGATGACTATCGAACAAGAAAATCAAAGCAATGTACAATGTAAAAAAACAATCAAACACACACGAGACAAAAAACAAGCAACAATGCACAAGAAGTCTGACAAATAAAATAAATGCTTAATTATAGTCGAATGTATGTGTGTGTGTAATCGCGTTGGCGTTGCACCAGGTGGAAAATATAACGCAAGTCAACATGCCAGAGCTATTGGTTGCATACCAAAAAAAAAAAAACTGCAAAAAATGGATAACAAATAAAAATAAGAGAAAAAAGGCAAACGGCTTTGAAATGTTGCAATTGGCGAAGCGCCACAAATGGAACGCAATGTTGATACAATTTGCGAACTTTTATTTTCTTTTCGTGCAACTTAGACTAATACGAGTATGTGTACCAACAACAACAACTACAAGAACAGCAGCAACAACCAACCATTTCGCTTGATGCAAAAGTCTTCGTAATCCCATACACATTTTATATTTTGTTGGTTCATTGAAGCGTACCTGTTGTTGTATCTATTGTTGTAGTTGTTACTACCACAGCAGGTGTTAATTTTTCAGTTATTTGGCAAAACAACAAAAATATAAGAAGAAGAAAATGTATGTAGTCTCCAGTTTACTTTTACTGAGTGGCAGGCTGGCAGACAGGCAGGCCACTCAATCAATCTAACCAATCCGCATGCTCATTGCCCGGTTTGGCCAAAATGCAAAAGTGAAAAGTCAAAACGCGTTCGGCTCACATTTTGGGGCAATTGTGGGCTATGCATGTAACAGCTGCTGCTGCTGCTGCCAGCAATTACCTAGTAACTCATATTTACTGTTAGACATTTAGTACATGCATTAACTGTGCATTTACGACATCTCCTCGCCTCGCCTCGTCTCTTGCCACTCATCGCGCTGCCTGATTGTCTGGCATTTGCCTGGCAGTTTGGTTGTTTAATGAACGGGCCAAAAGCAAGCAAAAATGTTTTATCGCTGAACCAACAAAGCTAACAGAGCTAACAGCAGCCGGTCAAACAGTGAGTGAGCAAACATATTACACTGAGAAAGACAGGCTCTATTATTTCGATTTACTCATTTCTTCTGAGACTATTATAAACATCAATCGTCCCTATTATGGTAATCCAATATTTTGATCAGATATAATAATATTCAAAACATCTTGCTTCCTTTTTTATTTCACCAACCAGTTGATGGTGCATAAGTAATTATATGCAATTACAGCTAAAATGCAATTGAATAACCAAAAAAATTTTGATTAAAGATCCACCATGACCATGTACATACATACATGTAAAATAATATACATATGTATATACCTGGATTTCAGTTAAGTCGATCTTACATATACATTTTACATTATTTCTCAAATAATTTTGGTTCAAGCATACACTGTCAAATTATTAAAATCAATAAGATTTATTTAAATGTGTCCGAATGTGCAGTAAAAATGATGCCATTAGGAGTCCCACATAATGCTTTTGGGTCTAGAAGATAATTTAGAGAGCCTTTTATTGATCCATCAATATGAGTAGCCGACCCTGCATTCTTTTCTTTGAAGTTACCGAAGGAATTGGGTGAACTGCTTCTATCTCTTCTCTTAAATATTGTAGATGAAATCTTCTAACAAATACAAGTATATTGAATAAATACGAGTGATTTGCTAATTTTGCGATTTTTCTCAGTGCTCATACTAAGAGCAATAACAACAACATTAGTTGTGCAGCAATGACAACACAGCAGCCTTAAACATCAGCTACCACATACAACACCGACAACAAGAACAACAAAAGCAACAACTTTTGTCTCATTGTTTCATATTTATTAGTAGAGTGCGGGGCCTTTTTGCTGCGAGTCTGTCTAACGAGCAGAAACTTGTGAGCATCTTTCGTTTGTCGTTCCGTCCGACGGCGGCGACGGCGGCGCACTTGTGGGAACTTTTTCTGTTGCTGTTTGTGAATTGTTGTTATTGTTGTTGTAATGTTATCCTTTTATGCATGTGGGGCCTGCACTTGCGCAATAGCACAACATTGTTGCTGCCGTTGTCGTTATTGTTGCTGTTACTGTTGTGGCACATAGCAATTGAAAATTACGTGCATTTCAATTTGAATGTTTTTGTTTTTAGGGAAATAGTGTAAAATTGCTTAAGCACATCAGTAGCCCTCGCGCTATTTAAAATCACTTTACTGGCCATAATTTAAAAACAACTATGTTTGCTTTGAAAGCGACATATGAAAATTTTGCTTGTGTGGCGTCTGTTGCTGCTGCTTACTTCAAATTTAATGTGGTGCCTGTCAAATACCGCAAATTTTGCGTACAACTGGTTTTCTTTAAGGCTGAATTGTACGTGGAATTTCTGCATCGCGTAGACGCATTGAACTCAAAATTCACACGCAAGCATTCAATAGCAACATTTGATGCTGCCGCCCTAGAAAACAATGTTGCGTGGAGTAGTGCAACATGTTACTGAAACTGGTTGTAGTTATTAAAGAAATTATTCTGTCGTCTTTGGCAACAATGTTGTCATCAAAGTGATAAGCTTTCAGTTGTTTTTGCGATTGTTTTAATGCAGTAAGTTATAATATTTGTTTTTTGAATTATTTCGCACAACGCAATATAATAGGCCAATAGATTGACTTATTATTTAACTATTTTTATGCGAAATTTTGTTAAATGATTTAGACATTATTGAAGATGATGAAATCATGAAATAGTTCGTTTTGGTCGGTTACACCTATTATTATTCTTCGTGCAGGAAGCAAAGAGCAAGAGCTCGGTACAAATGCTGTTATTTTTGCTTTCGTACTTAAAAAATATTTACAGAAAACAATACCTAATGTATACATATGTATGTACATATGTATAACATCAATATAATGTTTATGTGTATATGAATATTTGGCACAAAATATTTGCCTGTGTGACCGAACCGTACCGCACAGCAATCGCAAATCGATTCTAGCTATTGTAGTCGCGACTATCGATATAATAATAATAAGAACAGCTGATTGACTTAGAAATTGTGCGACCGGCTATCTTTCAATTTGTTTACTGCAATTGTGAGTAGATTTTACATTTTTTTTTGAAAAAAATTTTGAAATAATTGGAGGATTTTGTAGATGAACTACGGAAGAGAGTCGGTCATTGATGATAGCGAGCCCTTGTTAAAGCTGGCACGTGGAAGGCCGAAATGTGCTAGGGCCATGAATGACGACGATGTATTTAAGTTAATAACTTGTGTTCAGAGCAATGAGTGCATATGGAATTTAACAGACGCCAACTACACAAATAAGAATGAGCGGAGAAGTGCTTGGATGGAGATATGGAACCAACTCGATTGTGCTTACGAGGAAACTGAGCTGCGTGCCAAATGGTCCAATCTTCGCATACAGTACAATCGTGTATGTCGCAGGGACAAATCAAGTCTAGGAGCTGATTTTGAGCCTGCTTGGAAGTTTTTCAATGCCCTGAGCTTTCTTGGACCTGTCGATCGGGCCCAAAAACAGGAAACATTTCCCCATACAGTATTGGAGGAAAGCCCAGACAACAGCAGCGGCGGTGCATCATCACCAACTTTTACCAAAAGGGCAGCATCGCCATCATTTAGCAAAGGACCGTCAAATAAAAGGCAACATCATGACATGATAAGATCATCATCGGCCTCTGCGGAGATAGTTAATACTTTGCGCGAGGCAGTTGCCGCCATAAAAGGCAACAAAGACAACAGTGCGAATGTAAATTTTTGCAAATACCTTCTATCTGAGCTGGAGCAACTGTCTGATGTTAATGCATTTATTATGCGTAGGGAACTGCTGAACGTACTGATAAACTACAACTTCCCACCGGAGCACACTGATAAGCTTTCCATTTAAATTAGTTTGTGTTACAAATAATTTACTTTGTCCATCTCATATATGTACATGTTTTTATCTGTATAGCTAGCTAAGCGAGTAGCTTTTAATATAATAATAAATATTAATTCTTATTTTGTATTGGTGTATTTTTTTAAGTTAAATATGATTGTATTGGTAGTGAAGATCACCTTCTTCAATGAAATACTCGATAAACTCGTCCTGTATGTCTTTTACTCCTTCATCCAAAAATGCGGTATGCGGCTCGAGGGCATGGAATGTTTTGGACTCGGTGGATTTGTGCCATTTACCGGGAATAAGTAGTCCATTTGATTCATATCTGTCGACTGTGGCTCTTGTTATATAATTCGGAGCCATTTCAAGTAAATAATTGTGCAGAGCGCAACATGCCAAGGTAACTAAGCGTGTCTTTTCTGGATTAAGTGCTATCGGACTATTCAGAACACTGAACTTATACGACAATACGCCGAAAGCATTTTCAATCGAACTGTAAGCTCGGGACAGACGGTAATTAAAAACTTCTTCCATCGGGCATAAATCTGTTTGCAAATAGCGTTTAAGAACTCTGCGGTTCAAGGGCAAGGCATCGCCACCGACCATAAGGAACGGCATAGGAAGTTGGCGCAGTGGCAACGGAGCGTCCATCGGCAATTTATAATTGTTGGCCAGTAAGCCCTCACTCAATGGGGTATGCTGGAAGATTCCGTCAGCTGGAGCCTTACCATTCGAATCGACATCAATATAAATAAACTTGTAATTGGCGTCTACAACTCCTATTAGAACAATGCTGAACAGTCCTAAAAGTGTGTAAAATTGAATAACTGGTAATTGGTGTGCGAAACAAGGCCATACTTTTGTAGTTATGATAAATGCGTTCCGTACTTGCCGGCGCTACCATCACGACATGCCTTCCATCGATAGCGCCAATACAGTTCGGGAAGTTCAATATTGTGTTAAAACCATCCGAAATCTGTTTCCATTCGCTTTCATCTGAGGGAAACTACAAGTTGAAAGGGCTGTTTATCCATTACCAAATTATCTGTATACTTACATATACATGTAAGTATGTACCTACCTTAATATAATCATCTTTAAGCACTCTATACAATGCGGCGCAAACCTCTGGCACTAGTTTGCTTATCGTGGTGTGTGGCACTCGGAAGGTGCGTTGCAGGGCTCGAAATTTTTCTCCGGTTGCCAAGTACCTTAATGTCAGCATAAGGCGGCACTTAGCTGAAATAGCACTGCGCATCAGTGTGTCCTTTTTTGTTATCAGGGGTCCTACAAGTCCCAACTAAGACAAAGGTATCTTATTAGTTTTATTAATGTAAAAACAATTTAAGAACAAATTACCAAGTGCTCGAAAGTTGTGGCATTCATCAGCCAAAAATGTTCTTTAAGCCGCGGCTTTTCGATGCGCAACTCCTTAAATACCATTTCGTAGAATCGTTCTTCTTCATGTCGTTCCCGTCTTCTCCAAAGCCTGCGTGGTTTTCTACTTTCCTCTTCCAAGAGTGCCTGCATGGCTGCAGCCCCGAAACACAACATTAGTATACTTTTATTTAATTCGTCGTCCATTTTGCCTCTGAGATATTCAAATGCGGCATTTTAATTACATTGACGACTGGTAATCGGCAAACTATAGCCTTGTTATTCACAGCTGATAAACAGCTGTTGCTTAGGGGACGCCAAATTTTGTTTATACTATAAAACATATGATATGGGAATAACTTTTATTTACCTGTGGTACCGTACTTCTAAACAACAACAACAAAGACAACTGTGCGAATGTAAATTTTTGCAAATACCTTCTATCTGAGCTGGAGCAACTGTCTGATGTTAATGCATTTATTATGCGTAGGGAACTGCTGAACGTACTGATAAACTACAACTTCCCACCGGAGCACACTGATAAGCTTTCCATTTAAATTAGTTTGTGTTACAAATAATTTACTTTGTCCATCTCATATATGTACATGTTTTTATCTGTATAGCTAGCTAAGCGAGTAGCTTTTAATATAATAATAAATATAAATATTAATTCTTATTTTGTTGCAATGGTGTATTTTTATACTCTGTACATAAAATGTACAAGAGCATATTAGGTTTGCCGGAGCTGAAAATGTAACAGGCAGAAGAAGGCGTGGCAGACCCCACAAAGTATATACATATATTCTTGATCAACATGACGAGACGAGTCGATCTAGCCCTGTCTGTCCGTATGAACACCTGGATCTCAGAGACTATAAGAGGTAGACACCAAAATTTGCACAAAGATGAGTTATGTGTGTAGGCTGTGCAAGTTTGTTTTTTTTTTATTTTCCTCCCCACTTTGGAATTTCCATCCTTCTCACTCTCCCATGCAAATCGAGATTTTCTCTAACTGCCGTAATTCTTGGAATTTCGAAATTTTGGAAATACCCCCAGTTAGTAATTATGTGTCCGTACGCCAAGTTCCATCATGATAGACCGATTTAACAAGAAGTTATAGCCATAAATATATTTGCTGCTGCAGCGCTGCCCGCGGCTGTTGTTGATGCTGTTGTTTTGGTTGACTGCGAACATGCTTACACAGACACGAATAGACGCGCATAAACATACATACACTCACATAGACGCAATTGCTTTGTATATGTGCAATTATACACCCTTTACGTGAGTTCAAATACCAAAAGAGGTAAAATCGATCAAATATTTTTTTTTTTAATTCTCTTACTCTTACTCTTTTTTTAATTTCTATAATTATTCTAAACATATGTACAGAGTATTTCAAAGTCGGGACTTGACTTTAGCTTTTTTTACTTGTTTTAAGTTAAATATGATTGTATTGGTAGTGAAGATCACCTTCTTCAATGAAATACTCGATAAACTCGCCCTGTATGTCTTTTACTTCTTCATCCAAAAATGCGGTATGCGGCTCGAGGGCATGGAATGTTTTGGACTCGGTGGCTTTGTGCCATTTACCGGGAATAAGTAGTCCATTTGATTCATATCTGTCGACTGTGGCTCTTGTTATATAATTCGGAGCCATTTCAAGTAAATAATTGTGCAGAGCGCAACAAGCCAAGGTAACTAAGCGTGTCTTTTCTGGATTAAGTGCTATCGGACTATTCAGAACACTGAACTTATACGACAATACGCCGAAAGCGTTTTCAATCGAACTGTAAGCTCGGGACAGACGGTAATTAAAAACTTCTTCCATCGGGCATAAATCTGTTTGCAAATAGCGTTTAAGAACTCTGCGGTTCAAGGGCAAGGCATCGCCACCGACCATAAGGAACGGCATAGGAAGTTGGCGCAGTGGCAACGGAGCGTCCATCGGCAATTTATAATTGTTGGCCAGTAAGCCCTCACTCAATGGGGTATGCTGGAAGATTCCGTCAGCTGGAGCCTTACCATTCGAATCGACATCAATATAAATAAACTTGTAATTGGCGTCTACAACTCCTATTAGAACAATGCTGAACAGTCCTAAAAGTGTGTAAAATTGAATAACTGGTAATTGGTGTGCGAAACAAGGCCATACCTTTGTAGTTATGATAAATGCGTTCCGTACTTGCCGGCGCTACCATCACGACATGCCTTCCATCGATAGCGCCAATACAGTTAGGGAAGTTCAACATTGTGTTAAAACCATCCGAAATCTGTCTCCATTCGCTTTCATCTGAGGGAAACTACAAGTTGAAAGGGCTGTTTATCTATTACCAAATTACCTGCATACTTACATATACATGTAAGTATGTACTTACCTTAATATAATCATCTTTAAGCACTCTAAACAATGCGGCGCAAACCTCTGGCACTAGTTTGCTTATCGTGTTGTGTGGCACTCGGAAGGTGCGTTGCAGGGCTCGAAATTTTTCTCCGGTTGCCAAGTACCTTAATGTCAACATAAGACGGCACTTAGCTGAAATAGCACTGCGCATCAGTGTGTCCTTTTTTGTTATCAGGGGTCCTACAAGTCCCAACTAAGACAAAGGTATCTTATTAGTTTTATTAATGTAAAAACAATTTAAGAACAAATTACCAAGTGCTCGAAAGTTGTGGCATTCATCAGCCAAAAATGTTCTTTAAGCCGCGGCTTTTCGATGCGCAACTCCTTAAATACCTTTTCGTAGAATCCTTCTTCATCCTGTCGTTCCCGTCTTCTCCAAAGCCTGCGTGGTTTTCTACTTTCCTCTTCCAAGAGTGCCTGCATGGCTGCAGCCCCGAAGCACAACATTAGTATACTTTTATTTAATTCGTCGTCCATTTTGCCTCTGAGATATTCAAATGCGGCATTTTAATTACATTGACGACTGGTAATCGGCAAACTATAGCCTTGTTATTCACAGCTGATAAACAGCTGTTGCTTAGGGGACGCCAAATTTTGTTTATACTATAAAACATATGATATGGGAATAACTTTTATTTACCTGTGGTACCGTACTTCTTAAAATCAAGGTAAAGATCCAGAAACTCATCTTTTATATTAAATCATATAATTTTATTTAATAGAATTTACAAATTAAACATTTGCAATTATTTTACAATGAATAAAGTAGGTTGGAATCTTTTCACATAAAAAGAACACTATTTATAGCATTGTATTATTTTTATAGATAGGCTTTGGAATCTGTTGAAAATAAATATTTTAGAAATTCATGTTTTTGCGATTATCGAAAAGTAATTCCTTCACATATGAAATATTTTCTTTTTCAATTTGTGTTCTATGTTTGAATACAAAGAACACAATCAAGGTGGCGTTGCCATATCGATAAGCTGTATGGAGCCTGTGGATTCTCTTATTCCTGGTGGAAACAAAGAATTTAGCAATATTTAAAATAAATTTGACAAAATTAAATGGGTCCGAATTAAAAGCAATCGATGATTTACTTCTTATTGACAACAAATTGCAAAAAAATCTGTCCAATTACTTAAATAAGTAAATTTAAATTTAAAAAACATTGTCGTGTTCCCTTAAAAACAATAAAAAACTGACTTTAAATTTAATTACAGTTTTCTGCCATGCACAACAAAGAGTCACGCACTCGCCAGTAATTAATTAATGCTCTGTACATCTACACTTTCCTTGTGGTAACTGGGAATAACCTCACATGCTGTCGACACCAGAGACAAGGCGTCGTCGTTGACATAATAAATAGCTGCGAAATTAATTAAATGCAAATTGTAAATTGCAATATCGCATAATAATCAAATTGTGGCTGCATGTGAGTGCATATACTGTACGACTGGCTATATGCAGATACCACTTCGCTGTTGCAATATACAGGAAAATCTCAACTAACATTTTCCCACTCATACGAATCTCACAAAGACAATTTTCAATAAACCAACTCGAGACTTTTACCTAATTGCACAATTTAATACAAATATTAAGCCGTTACATTTGTAAAGTGTTAAGCATTTTAATTTATATATTCACACATTTTCACGCCAAATATTTTCTTGGTCTTTTTCTTTTTTTGTTGTCCGCCAAAAACGGGAAATTCAAGCCTGAATCGAGCAATTGGGTGAGTTTTCAATGAAGACAACGACGACAAGACTTCCCTGGCAAAATATTTGTCTCATTAATTAGGCGATGATTGGGGGGTCCGTCTCACTCAGTCTCGTTTACTTTTTCTTTTTCCCACTCTTTTGCTTGGAGAAGAAAGTCTTCCTATAATGAAAACTGCTCAGGTAGCTTTTCAGCTTTTCAATTTCATTCAAATTCGTTGATCAACCGCTGATCATATTGAAGTAGGTTAAACACTTTTACCTCATTTCGCTGCAGACCTTCTATGTTTTCTATGAAACAACGTTAATTACTGTCGTTTCTTTTGAGCTGTGTCGTCGCCATTTTTATTTTCCTGTTGCCTGTCGAACAATTAACAACTTTTCAAGCGCGCTAACCGGACGTTATGAAATTTACCAGTTTTACAGCAACCCCTCGGCAGCTTTGAACAGAAAAATATATATGTATATAGAAATATGCCGTTTTACAGACCAGGCAACTGGCTATATCAAGATTATAAAATTGTTAAATTTATGCAACCGCCTTTGGCGCACACAGCCGGCCGCTGACTAGCTTGGCCAGTTTGCAACCAAAAAGTCCAGTCGTTCCAATCAAGTTGTCAACGTCGACATATTTCTATTTGAGATTTCTGGCAATAAATTTGGTCCGCAAAGTGCCAAACAAACGATTAGTAATGGTCAAGGCATGTGCAGGGAGCAGCCAACAAGACACACAACAACACTCTCAATGTTAAGTTGAAGTGCATGGCGATAGCCTTGTTGTTGTTCCTGCTCTTGGCAGCGTGCGAAGTGTGCGAGGGCGTGTCCCACAGTGCGTATACATAATGATGGTCTTATAACTTAAGCTTTCAAGTAACTGCAACGCCTTCGAAAGAAAATACTTTCACAGTCTGCTTCAAATACAAAATATTTCAAATGCTTTCTTATGTCTGTAGCTGTTACTTATTACCTCATCTGTGTATAACAACAATAAGTTAGTTACCAAATAGGTATACATATGGATGTAAATGTGTTTGTTTGCCAAAAAGAAATGGGCAAATATTTAACTATTGGTGAAGGCCCAATAAAAAATAGGCACTCAACTGCATACGAAAGTGTGCAACAGCTAGCGAGTGAATGTAAAATACTAGGGTATATTACTTAAGTTTGACGAGCACCAACAATTACAGTTTTTTGCACTGCAGATACAATAAATATATTAAGTGCCTAGAGCTCATTAAAAAACGCTTAAATTCACGTATAACTGTAGCTATGTAAGGTGCAGATAGACACAAGCTTCTTTTATTTATTTATATATTTATAATTGATCAAAATCTTTTAACAGATTATGAAAACAGTTCATGGCTAGTTGTCATTGTATACATATAACGAATAAGCGTAACTATAGCCGAGTGAAATATTTCTGCCATATTTCCGGCTGCCGGATGACCCTCCTTTCTAGTTCTGTCTCTTATAGCTCGTTTCTGTCTAAAACAGTAGCATTTATTGAAAGACGACCTTAGCATTAAACATTTAATTGTAATCGCTGAGAAGAAGTCATCGGTCAATACTGATTTGTTTTTATTATTTTCTTCGTAATTTATTTTGCAATATTGTTTGCTATTTCGTGGACAATAGCTTAATGACAACAAACTACTTCCATATCTTGTCTGTTTCGATCATGCGTGCCAGCGAAAAGTTGTTGCGGTTGCTATCTTCGTTCGATGCTTTTGCTAATAAGCAATAAAAGTGAATGCACCCAACGAAAAAAATATATACAAATATAAAAAAATGTGTAAAAAACCCAAGACACAACTGCACAGCATTAAAATTTCTTGGTTTGTTGGCGTGGCTCTGACTCTGGCTCTGGCCAGGCCTGAAAGTGTTCGTTGGCAATTACAAAATCAACGGACGATGCGTGCTACAAATTAAAGCCGCAACAATAATGGAATAATAAATCAGCATAAATATGCAAGAGAGAAAACAAAATGTGCAAATCCAAACTGCAATGCATTTCCTTCCGTTTCCATTTCGCAAATGCGTTTGCAGTTTAAGAAACGCATTTGGGAATTTAGAGCAATATCGCATAGACACTCGATGGTTTCCTGAAAAAAAACTCCGCGCATACATGATGTGGCAGCAGATGCAAATGCCAGTTATTGAGGCATTCTTTAGTAGCCAACTGGCTAATGGCATGCTTTAGCCCACAAACGGGTTCATTTAATTGGGGCGCTGACTTCAAAGTGCAGATAAATAGGACATGCCTGCCGATAGCAGTGTAAAAAAATATCTAGCCGACTATATCTTAAACGATTGGGCTGACAGCGCTTAAGCCCAATTTAGTACAACTTGTTCCAATTTGAAGCTGCACCCGGAAGATATTCCAAATATGCAGTGCATTGTGTACTCGTATGTGTTTCGCAGCTGTTTCGCAGAATTATGCCTCAAGTTGCATGCCACAGCGTTGAGCTTCAAATGCATCGATGGAATTGTTTGGCTTTGCTTTTTATTGCTTCTATTTTATTGCACTGCCATTCCTTGTCTGACTCCCATTGCATCAATTCTGTGTGTGAGTGTAAAATTGTGTGCTTTTTTATTATTTGAAAATTATGCAAATGTCGACAACATGAAAGCGCACCAGCCAGCACGCTACAGTTTTATACCTCAGATATTGTTTTTATTTTTTCTGCATCTCTGTAACTATGCTGGCCACAATATATAGTACGTGCGTGTGTGTGTGTGTGTGTCTGTGTGCTGGCATTGTTTTCGCTTACGTTTCTTACGATTATGTCTATATCGGAGGTGTCTAATAAAAAGTGAAAGAAGTGCTTACCTAATAATGCTGCTTACACAGAAAATGGGGCGTGTTTGCGGCCTGACTAATTTGAGTGCTTCATACACACTATACTCGTGCATACACCTTTCCATAGCATTCAGACTACAGCCTACTATAAACTGAATTGCTAGTTAGGAAACATTGCTGCTTACTATTCATTTTCTGCCAAACATTTACTTGACCGCAGTCATAGCCATAGTTTAGCTTAGGTTGGGCAAATGTTCGAGGAATTCACGACGATTTGCTTGAATGATTCGCTCGTACCAATTGGGCTCGGGCTGGTCAGCATCTAAACTGTTGGCGCTACTGCTGCTGATTAATGGTTTTGGAGGCAGCAGTGTGGGGTTTGTGGCTTGAGGTGGTGCTGTGGTTCGGGGCAGTTGTGGCGCTTTTTCAGCATTGTTTGTCTTGGCTTTGTCATATGTGCTTTCTCTCTGGCCATTCTCATTTTCTTCTTTTGCCTTTTGCTCCTTTTCTTTGTGTTCCTCAGTTGGTATTCGCTGTGACGTCTCTGCTTGCGGTAGCTCGAATGGCACTATCGGAAAATCTGGAGGTATAAAATCATGCACAGTTTGAAACGCCAAGTCTCCATTTGGATCATTTTTTAATGGTGTTTTGCCATTGATGATGTTTAGCACGTCTGGCTCTAGCACACCCTGCTCCACATCAATATGATTCAAGTCCAAGCCGTGCTCTTGCTTTAATTTATCAGCGACGTCATCTGCTACATCACTCACACTGACATTCAAATGACTTTTGGCATCCCATGTCACATTATTGGGCTTTATTCCCAAGCCGTCGGGACGCTTCGCAATAATGTCCGGACGACGTGTAGGCCAAATGGCCTCAGCACGTTTATCGCCTGGAGAATAGGTCTGGGTTTGACTTAAATAACCCATAACATCGTCTGCTCTGTAGCGCGTGACCTCAATGAGACCATCGGGTCGCACATAGCCATAACTTCCCTCTACGCTGCCGTTCACATAACGACGTTCATCACGAAATTGGACGTTGTCCGTGTCTGGGTCTACGACTTCATAGCCAAAGGCATAGGTGTCGGGGCCTGTGAAGTGGCAAAAATGTTAAGTAAAGTGCTTACAAGCTTCAATTCTTTAGCATACCATATGGATCATGCAAAAAATAATTGTTAACTTTGCTTCTTTCCCGGATATTTTCACTTCCAGTTGGCGCATATACTGCACTTTTTGTTGCTAATGGGGCGGACAACGTGGCGTATACTTTTGTGCTGATCAGCAGAAACTGAAATTTGTAAAGCATACCTTTAAGCGTTTCAGTGTTTATTGCAAGTCAAATATATGGTATTAGTAGTAGTTTCTGTTAATATAATTAGTTTAATTAGTTCATTATATTGCAACTCAATATAAGCTATATAGTTTAATGTTTAAATGTAAAACGCAATACCCTACCCTAAGATGTCATCTAAAGTTTTAAAATAATTTCACAGACTACATTACTAGAAACGTTTTTAAAAACCATTTAAGCTTTACCATACTCGTCGTTTTTTGCTCTTCGATTAACCAATAATATACCGAAAGCAATTGATCTTTGTTCTTCATTAAAAAACAAAACACTATATTGACCACCAAAAGAAACCACTATATGGACCACCTGATTAGATATATAGGTTCCATAATTATCACAATTACGCTTAGATGTTAGCCTTAAATTAAATGCTGCTTTACAAAATTATAGTTTTGCCTTCGCTTAAACGATATCATAGAAGGTATATCATTGTTTTAATTAGGATGCACGTGTAAAAATTTATCTTATCAACGGACTATTAGGCTTGTGGTGGTCTTTCATTAACACAAGTGGAAATTGGTCCGAGTTTGCGATTTTTCAAGGCATGCGGAATCATTAATTTCGTGTCGGAGTCGAGTCATATGGTGTGACCTAAAATGTTAGGCATGGAAACACGTCTCTACTTCAAACATAGGTTTGCTTCCAAGTTCTTATACAAGTATTTGGCCATGTTTTAAATATACTAGTTCATATTTATTTATTAAAGTATTAAGCTATGAAACAATTACTGAAATTAGTTCTTGATTGATATTTTCAGATTAAAAGTCGGAGGCCTTAGAAATCAAATCGTGTACACAAGTTCCGGCCACCTTTATGTAAGTTTTTATTTTATCATTACTTGCTAAATAGTGTCTTTTTTACGATGAATCGATTGTGAGTAAATTGAAACAGTCAATATGCTTAATAGCTACAATGTGTTCATCGACAATATGGATGTTGAATTTATCAATTGATTATGCTTTCAAAGTGGCTTCAACTTTTCACTTGCTTCTTTTATGTTTAATTGTAAAATGTACCATTTGTACGTAACAATGTCTCATGATTCTTTAACTTGTGGTCTTAGATTATGTCTGAACAGTCACTTACAGGCACCCAAAATGCTCTCCACAATGCTGACATTCTCAATTTTGATTTTCTATCATTACAAATTTTGCGTCAATTCCGTCACTCAAATATTTTTGATGTACAAGTATTTCTTGTCAGCAACTTCCGCACACTTTCGTTCACAGAAACGAACTGAAGAGAATGCGCCATTTGTCGGGCCAACACATAATTAAAAAGCTCCCGGCAATTTAGAACCAAATTAGAAATACGATGCCAGCATGCTAAGTAATTTCGCTGTTTCTTCTTTCTCACACCAATTGTCAAATTGATTTGACGCTAAAATTATGATGGTTATAGTAATTGGTTTTTGTTTATGAGGCGACCTTCGATAAGTAACCTTAAAAAAAGTTTTACCCATTCATTATACATAAGTAAAAGATCTTGAAGTGTTTATTTTTTTCAATATGATTTTTATTACTTTTTTTTGTATTTTCTATTATTTTTATTTACATAAAATCGTTTCTGCATTTCGTTTGTTCTTGTTGTCGCATGCCATTGTGCATAATTTTATGCACAAGACCTGCACATTAATTATAAATGAATGTTTATAAAAATGTGTGTTCAATATACAAAATAAACTCAATGAACTTTGAGCGTGTGAGAGACATGTGAGAGTTTTTGCTGCCGCTTTGTGTTTCACAGAGAAAACGTTAATACAACATTAATATGTTTATATATTTTTTTCGACATTTTTTTTTTTCGTTTTTCCTTTACTCGATTGTTTCTATAATTAAGTTGCATATTTGTTTATAAATACAATACACAAAAATTGTGAAAAATACTAAATGCAAAAATGAAACTAGATACAAAAGTGTCAGACTGAGTAAGTGTGGTGAGATAGAGAGTCAGTGAGTTGAAAGTGAGCGACAGAGAGCGTGTGAGAGTGTGAGAGAGTGAGAGAGAAATTGAGTGAGAGAGGTGAGTTTGAGCGTAACTGAAAGAAAGATTGTTGGTTGCTTCTATTGTTGAGCTATGGGACTGAATGTAGAAGCAATGTTGAACAATTTTCAACAGGTTGCTCTCTACTAATGCACAATGACCGGCCCATGTGGTTTTCTGTTGTTCTTGCTGTGATGGTGCTGGTTTTATCACAATTTTAGATGCTTTGGCACGAACTGCAAACATATTCTCGAGTGTTATCCAAACTGTAGATACAAAGAAATGCTGTGCGTCCAAAATGGCACATCGCTCTTATAAACAACACACATTGCTTAAATATTAAACAACAAGACAGGTGCTGATACCACCTAGAGAGTAGGACGCGCAGTTATCACAGTTTGGCAACCATTGGATAGCGCATATTACGAAAGTATATAGAACAAAGGATAGCATACAGTCTACGCATATAAATATATTACAAAAGTTGAGCATTGAAGAATGAAAATATATGTAGAGAGTTAGAGATCAAAAAGCTGGAGTTCTGGATAGATTTAAGTAGGTAGAGGGCTGGTAGATAATGAGAGAAGGATTAAAAAAGGACCCATGCGCAACCCATATTGTCAGGTGACTCCGAATATTTAGCAGTTCGTACGCTTTTAGTTGTATAAGAAGAGTTTAGTATTGGACTCTAGAGGAGAATTGAAATTGAAGAATTTGCTGCGTTTTAAGGTACATAACATGAAATGTTGATAAACAAATAAAATATACAAAAATACATTGTTTTATACATACATAAAAACTTATTGGAAAACTGTTCGACCTCAATTCGTTATGTGCGCTGTCATTTTTTGCCTGGGCTGTGTGGTTTCAACTAATGCTGCGGCTATTCAGTGTACACTTAATATCAAACACAATCATCATCATCCTTATCATTATCATCGTCATCGTTATTATCATCATCATCATCATCATCGTCATCAGGTCATTCCAATGCCATGTCGTTTCGTTTCGTTTTAACTTTCGTCCATGCCATGCCAGATCAGCCGGTGGCGCACCCTAAGGCGCCCTGTACTACTACGCTACCTACTTTTTACTTACTAACAAGAATTTCTTTTCATATATATTCCTTTTTTTTGTTGCGATTTTCTGTTTTGGATCTTTTTCTGCTGCTGTTTTGATTGCTGTTCTTGCTACGTATTTTTGTTTGTTTGTTTGTTTGTTTGTTTTGAGAGCACCTTTGATGACTGTGGGGCCTGCTTAGTAATGATGCAGGAGAGGAGCGTGTGCCAGGACGGGGGCGTGCACGACCGGTGCGTGTGCGATGATCTTGGGCGCTGTCTTATGGACGACGGCATTGAAGCCGTTGTGATCATCGGCAGTGTAGTCTACGGTGCGTACCGAGCCATCGGGTTCGACCAGCGAGTATTGTCCTGGAGTTAACAGTAAAATAAAAGAGACGCAGTGATCATAAATAAGTAATTAAGACGGAAAAAAGTACTAGAATATTTAAATTACAACAAATTTGAAGCACATTTAAATGTGATTATTGCCAGGAAAATGTTCGATACAAATTTTCTTTAAATTACGTTTTTTCTTACTTATTCAAGGTAGCTGTGAAGTGTGGGAGATCTCAGCGTTTAAATATATTATATTTTATCCTTACATATCTTTATTAGAAGTATATTGGAGGAAATAGAAAATAAAGGCAACTGGTCATTACAAATCAAGTCGTTTAGTTTTGAGATGAAGAAACTGATATCAGCTGATATTTCAGCAGACTAATTCGTACAGAAGCATGAAGGTTTCAGATTAAACAAATAGCATTTGCATACAAAAGTCTGAAGCTTGAATTATATCCTATTTGCAAAATGGACATAAATGATGTGTCAAAAGATCTTGTAATTTTAAAATCTGCTGGCTTTCGCCGATATGAAACCGATATTTGTTTTCTTTTTTAATTTTTATTTGGCTTCACTGTGCAGTAGATCTTATCATCAATTCGAGTATATTAATGTATCACTCAATAATTTTGAGAATTAAAAATCAGAAGTAATGAAAAAAATTACTAAATTTTATTTGAGATTTGTAATAAAAAATATTTAATGAAATACGACTATTGGTTGATTTTCACGAATATTCACATGAAATAAAATGTATTTGACAAACTAATGTTGGTTTGTTGCCTAAGTCTTTTGATAAAAAGTTCGTTACCTAAGTCTTTTATATACAAATATTATCTAAAGTTTGATTGGCTCGCACTTACCCTTCACAACATCGCCATCGCGCTCCTCAGCCTGCGACTTAATATCACCCGTGTGCGGATCCTTAATGCCATAGTTGAAGGAGTATTTGGGGTAGGCCACCGGCTCGGCGTGCACGGCATGCACCGCATGTGCTAGCACAGGCTGATGATGCACTAGAGGATAATGGCCCAGTTCGATGGGCACTGCTTGGGCAGCGGCAAACAGCAGAACAATGGCAACAAAGTACTGTGTGGGGGGGAAAGAGACAGAGAATGAGGCATTTGGCATTTGGCTGCACTTGCTAGCGAGTCCTTTGTTTAGCTTCGATTTCAATCAATCATCAGTGATTCAGATCACAAAATGGGGCGTACCTTCATTTTGTTAAAGCACACAAACACACACGCGTACACGCACACTGCGAGAAGGAAGGACTACAATGGACTGTTCGAATCAAAGCTGAGGAGCTTAGAACTGTTACACACACACTTGTTTATTAATTTTGTTGTTATTTGTTTGGTTTTTCTTCTCTCTGGGCTCGCTGGACTTTGTGCAACACCTGAAATCGAGAAGTGCTGTGTGTACCGTTTATAGCACGAAATCGTAAACTGAACTGATGTCTGCAACGATGACCAAAAGTATTTATATACGCGACTGCAGTTGCAACTGCAACTGCAAAGCTGCAAAGCTGCAGCAGCGACGACGACGTCAAGCGGCCGATCAAGTTGCAGCTGCTGCAGCAAAGGCAAGAAGCGTGGCAGGGGAGGAGGGGGTTCCCACAGATGCCAGATATTCACATACACTCTCACACACGCGCCTATAGAGTGCACCACGCATGCGCTAAGCGTTAGGTGCGGCAGCAGCCCAAACAGACCGACAAAAAATAAACAAACCAAGAAACAAATAAAGTTTTTTCATTTTTTTTTTGCTTTGTGGCCAAAGTTAAGAAGGCGGCGCTAGCTTAGCTTTAATAGTTTTGCTTTGTGCTGTGACTTAGTTTTCTGTGCCTGTATGAGTGTGTGTGTCAAATGGGTTAGCATGGCAAAGGACAGGCACTGGCGTCGTCAGCGAAACCGAAACTGTAACCAAAAGTGACACTTTGCGGCGTGGCTAGAGTGCTGGAGTGCAGTACGAGTAAGCTTTTTATTTATTGATTTCTGCGTTTTGATCGGCGGTAATTACCGCAACTTTTTGATAATTTCCAGCATGGCATGGCACGCTGCCTTGCCACACGTTGCACAACGCGTGGCAGTATTAACTTTGCTACAGCTGGCAAGAAATATTATTACCATATCTGTGGCGGCGTTATAATTACATAGGTAGAGCAACAACACTAACAACACAAACAACAACAAACAACTTGCGTATGCGCGCCACGCAATTTGTTACATGACATTTTTTCTCGCTCTCGGCTCTGATTTAGTTTTTTTTTCTTTTCTGGTTTTCACTCCCAGCGGGCACAATTGATGCAGAGAACTATTGAGGAATTTTTATGGCAAATATTTTTTTTCTTTAATTTTCCATTTCGAAAAATTAAGCCACGCTTGTTACTCAAACAAAAATGCTGTGGCGCATTGTAATTTCGGCGTCGGAAGCTGGCTCAAAATAAAAATTTATTTATTTTCCATCGACAAACAATGCAGTCGATGTACATAAAAAAAATCAACACAATAGAACAACTTAAACTAAATAAAACTAAAGAAATTAAAAAATCGTATAAAAATGACAAAAATATCTAATAACGAATCCGACACGGTGGGGGAATTTTATTTGTCAAACGGCCAGCTATGCACGGATTCACAGCAGAGAGTAGTCAGATACGTTATTAGACCTATCAAAAAAGAAGTGAAGATGAAAAAGTATAGCAATAAAAGATAGAAGAAAACAAATTAAAATTAAAATACTTAAATAATAAAAGATAAAATATAATTAAAAATTAAAGGTAAAGAATCACTGACTGGAAGTTAAAATGTTAGAATAACTGCGTATATTTTTCGGGCATTTTACTGCCTTTGTTTATATTCGTTCATCTGTATCTTTTTGTCATCATTTTTTGTTCTTATCTACATCCCCTTTTTCTGTTTTTATAAGTTTTGATTGTTTTTGTTTTGATTGTTCTGTCATCCTCTGCTTTTCTTATCCTCCTCTGACGTTTTTTCTTTCTTTTCTTTATTTGTGTTTTCGTCCTTGGCTATCTTTATTTTGATTTTGTCTTGTGTATCTGCTTCTGCTCTATTTTGCTTTAGTTTTATTCTACCTGAGTTTGAAATTGTTTCCTTCTTGGTTTTAATTACTTTTGTTTCATCTGTCTTTTTTATTCTTTGCTGTCTTTGGTTACATTTTTTCCTTCAGCTATTTTTCAGTTTTATCTTATCTTTGCTTTCTTTTAAATAACTTGGCATTCTTCCTCAACTTTTTGTTGTTAATTTCTTTGTTTTTCTTAATCTGTTTTGCTTAGCTCTTCCATATCTTCGTTTGCTCCTTCGTTTTTGAATATACTTGTATATGCCTATCTTTGCTTAACAATTTCTGAATAATTGCGAATTTGTTTCCATTTATCTGCCTTTGATTTACATTTGGTTGCCTTTGTCCGTCCCTGTTTGAATTTATTCCTGCCTGTTTTGCTCTGTTTTGTTTGTCTTGACAGCTTTTAAGCAGTATTATGGCTTATCACCAATGTACAAGTAGAATTGTGAATGGAATGCCTCAAACACTGAGCTTCTGTAATAAATCTTTATGAGTAACGACAAATCTTATTTTTGTATTTTTCCAGCAACACACACATGTGTACTGTTTTGAAGTGTATATTCAAATGATTGGTAAGTGGCATTAATTTAATTTTTATCTTAAATACGTTAAAAGTGCCGTTAGTTACCAGCCAGCTGGTCAACTACTACGTTTACCCAAGCAGTTAACGCCCACACTATTATTTTTTCCCCCAACCGGCAAACATGGGGCGTTCGTTGTTCAAATGCAGAATTTTGACACGCAGACTTTTAATAAATGCACCGCCCACACTCAGAGCCATATACACATGACTGGAGCTGAGCGTGTTGTGTCATAAGTGTGCAAATAAACAATAGCGACAAAAGCAAACAAAAATAAAAGATAAACAACAAAATGTTCTCCTATGACATATCAGAAAAATATTAGAATATCTTGTGGGCAAAAGAGCACACAAGTGGCCTCACATACGAATACATACACATCTATGTACAAGGCATATGTGCCTTTGCAAATGATGGGAAAAAACGTAGCTTGTTGTACGAAAAAGGTGGAAAAAAAAGAAATAGAAACTGGCTGCCAAAACATTGTGCATAGGCAGCTGAGCTCTGAAAGCCACTTGTATGATTGTGTGATGGCCATTAACATTTGGAATAGCCCGTTGCTAATGCCCGCTATGGCGCAGTAATCGACTTATATAAAAAAAATGACTTTAAATGCGACACATTTACACGGCGAGTACGAGCTTGAAACAATTGTGGCAAGACGATAAGAAACTGCAAACATTTGCAAGCGACAAAACAACAGCTCCAACAGCAGCAACAACAGCTCGCCAAGCACAGCAAACAAGTTAGCCACGTCACGATCGCACTTTGGCCATTTGACAAAGACTTAAGGTTTACTTGGTTAGTTGGTCAACGACAAACACACAGACACAGAGACCGAGGCAGAGTCAGAGTCAGAGGCACCTCGACTAACGATCAGGCAACCAGGCAAGCAAGTGAAGTTAGTCTGTGTGTTTTGTGTGTTTGTGTGCCGTGGAGGTAAGCGGGGATGGACAATGAAATGAAACATGCTTTTGCGCCTCGCTTACTTAGTTAGCCCCAAATCGAACGATCGATGCAACAACAACAACAACAGCAACAGCAACAACACTCAGTTGTTTGCCCACAAGCGGCAAAAAGCAACAATGGCCGGCCAGCGCAAGCAATTTTCACGATTGCGCAATTTGTTGCACAGTTTTAGAAGCACTTCAAATGATCGATGACATGACTTGCGGCACATTGTGAACGAATGCGTTAATTGCTCACATTTCACATACATACATACACACTATAAGTATATATAGTAAGTATGTATGTACATACTCATATTCTCGTATATATCAACGCACCTGTCCACGCATGTCGCGCCCAGGCACCCGCCTCATGCATCAATGTCCAATGTTCAACATCAGATTCTTAATCCACCACCGCGCCACATCGCTGCACAACCTTCGAACAATCGAACATAGAATTGCAATTTATGTCTTGGCTCAATTGCTCAATCAAGAAATGTCTGAAAATTTATTACAACCATTCATTCAAATACTACGCGTACAAGTATATGCATTCATACACGTAGAAGCATAAGTACTATATAGTGCATGTCGATAACTAGATCAGCAATTTTTATCTTGATTTATTGCCAACCAAAATGCTTGATCTACTCGTAACTACAACACAAATATTTGGACAATGATTGCTGAAATGTTGAGTGCGTGTTGCTGTTATTGTTATTGTGATAGTTTTGAGACATGCACATGTATATATCTATGAATATACTATAGCTAATTTTTAATGGGTCGCTTAGCCATTGATTTTAATGACTTGACATTTATAGCTTGTTTCCAATGATTTATATACGCGTCATATTCCCTATCGATTTGAATAATACGACTATGTAGGTATGGGTATGTGGCAATCGTTCTCCGCTGACATAAGACATTGCCGGATAAGAAACAAAAGCTCCGAGAGTGTGGTGCATTTAGAAAGGCTCCACAACGCAATGCCCTAAGCCAAGTAATTTGAGTCAGTCAGTCGGTCAACGAATGCGTAACGTCCATTTCCGGCAGCTGTTCCATATTTTTGCAAATATACGCCGCATCGCATCTACTTCCGCTGCATACGAAACCCATTTCCTCCCAAAGGTAACTTTAGATTTGTAACTAGAGCGTATGCTTCACAGATTATCAAGTATACGCAGCGTTGGCTTCAATTTCAAACAGAGTGTAGACCACAGCGTAGTTGGACTTCCAAATAGATAAACTTTTAACAAATGTTAAGTAAAAGAAGAAAATAAATTTTTAAAAATAGCAAATTATTTCAATTGTACACACATTTCATATTTTTGAATTTTAAATATCTAATCGAGAGTATTTTATTTAAAACTGTCCATCGTGGACTATCATTATATTTGGCAAATAAGCTTGACAATTTATTATATAAATATGTGATACAGAAATTCTTATAACTTCTCAAATAATTTACGAATACATTTTTATTTCATTCAAATGCTACTTATCCACAATCAGTGTTAACATCAGGAATAAAACTTTCGAGAAATTCTAATCTACAAGTAGAATTTAATTTATGATTAGGCAGCATTTGCTTTGCTAACTAAATATTAATAGTTCCGAACTCTACTAAGTATATACTAAGTATATCTTATACTATAGACTTATGTTTCTCAAATCGACTTTTTTTGCGATTAAAGACTTATTAAAAAAAAAATTAAATGTTTTCAAGTATTCAAGAGGCAGGCTTTCACGAACCAGCTTTATTTTGAATTTTCAGCAGATTGCATTAGTCTAGTTTTATTCTACTACATAACGAAGAGCAAGCCTGTAAATATGATATTATTTATTTATTTATTTTGCTTTATTTGCGAAAATAATGATATTTGAAGACTGTTTATAAATGCCATTTTAAGTGGCGCAGTCTTCATTCTATACCTAGGGTTAGGGTTAAATAAATATAACATTTGGTATTAAAAGAAAGCACGCATTTGTCAATTTGGAACGCCCATAAATGTGATTAATTAGACTGTTGTTCCACCCACATATAAGTACTAAGAGCTGCCAGCTACTAATTATTGTGTGTGGCTAATTAAAACATTTTGCTAAGCTCGCACTGGGATTCTTGCACGTCCCCTTGACGTGCGCGCTGCCCAGTTTTGGACAACGTCCTCGTCGATTGTCCATTCGATTCTATGCCATAAATCTCACGTGGCATGTCACGCATTTCGTTCGTAGCTGTGGCGTTGCAAAAGCTCTTTGGGATGCCGCTGCCGCTGCCGATGCTATTCAGCTGCTGGCCAGCTAAGTCCAAATGGCCGCTAGTTGTCAATTAAGCACGCCAAATGCCAAGCTGCCAACCCAATTTTGTCGCAGACTCAATTGTCATGCGGCAACTGTTGTTGTTATTGCTGTTATTGTTGTAATATTACTAACTGCTTTTGGTCACGCTGTGTGTTGGTCAGTTGGTCAAAGCGCCATTTCAGCATCATTACCGCATCGCTTGAGGCAGCCACAACAGCAGAAGTGCCTGCAAAACCTGCACGACGTCTGATCCACTTTCGATTGCAATTGGCCCGAGCCCGTTCCTCTCCTCCGCTCCTTATCTCTCAGCTGCTCTGTTGCTGCTTCTGTCCCAAAGCCTTTCTTGCTTCAATCTTCGCACATTTTAATGCGATTTTGCGCATTTGCGCGTATGAACTAAGCCAATGACGAAATGTGCCGTCAAAGTGGAGCGCACACGCAAAACACTTGCAGCTAAATTGAGTGTGTGCGTGTGTGTGTGTCTCTGTATGTGTGTGTGTGTGTGTGTACGTACCCCTCTCTATCTTTTAGTTACTCCCCATAGCTCGTACACCTCCGTTAGTAGCCACGTTTATGCCTAACTGACTTATTATTACGTTTCAAGAAGCAAATATGCTTTTTCATCATCATTTCTCCTAAAATTCTTCTACCTAAAAGTAGGGCATATGAAGTACTTATATATTGCATTTCCATTCTGACGAATATATTCCTAGATATGATGCAAGCAAAAATAGCTCTATATATAACACCTTGGCTCGTACTAGAGATGGCTTTGTTAACCCAACGACAACTAATTAAACCTATCTAGGGCCTAATGATTCGTATGGTTAATATTTTAATTTTTACCACACAACCACAGAAACTCACTGAGTATTGAAAGGGCGTTTGGGAACCGGAATTGAGAGACCACAAAGGGTATGCAAGTCAGTGAACTTTACTTGTAAACTAGACACACTTTCATTCAAATAAACTAGGGTTCGTTCGCCACTTGCTGTTGTTGAGGAATGTAAATACTAAGGTATTTCTTTTCTTAATTGCAGGAAACCTTTTACATCAATAACGACTAAGTAGGTATATTAAACCCTTAAAATAGAGCCGGTTTTTTGATCAGGATGAGCCCATTTGTCAGTATTCCATCAGACTCTATTCGCATTATTTTGAAGTTAAAGAAAATATAAGAACGTATTTGTTTATATCTATTGGAATTTTATGCATATAATTTACAGGGAAATAACGATTGGCATCTGATATCATGATAGGTAGGTGGAATCTCATCTTAAATATATACGAGTATAAACTGAAGCATTTCAGTCACCAACGATGTGGCCGATAAAATGTGAAAATGTAGATGAATAACAGCAGACTGACAAATGAATACAAAATATGATCATGATCATGATTAGAGTTTCTAAATGCTTTTCGAGGCATCGCATAAACGTTGAATGCCTGTCGTTCCCTCCGTCTGCCGACATCGGCGTCCAACTGGTGCGCTTGATTGAATTCGATCAAATGCAATGGCCAACGCACACGCTTCAGCGACGACAAGCCAGTGATTTGGGTTACGCAAATGGAAATGCGACCACAAATGCAACGAATGATGATGATGGTGGGCATGAGGGAGGAGAATGGACGAGTGTGTGTGCGATCGAATAGAAGACATTTCAATTAGCGTTGGTAAACAGTGCAATATTATGTCGATGTGGATCGTGACTTATATTAGAGATAAACACGCAAACAGCACTCACATTTCCGACAACCGTATACTATATATAATGTGATCATACATCTAATTCGTCCCCCACTTGTTAGAGAAACCTCGCTTATGGCTAATATTCCTCTTCGCTGCTGGTTTCTTGCTGTTGACTGTGCGGGTTTGCATCCTCGTAGCCCTCCTCACTGCTGCCCTCGTATTCGGCATGATCGCCCTCTTCGTCGTCACCTTCTTCTCCCTCTTCACCATCACCAGCCCCTTCGCCTTCGTCCTTTTTGCCCTCATCATAGTCCTCGTGCACTTTATAGTTGCCCTTTGCCGAATCTTGCACTTTATTTTCCTCGTCATGTTCGACTTCGTGTTCAACTACCGCACCAGCAGCGCCGATATCGCTGCCGCCACCGCCACCGCCGCCTGCTCCCTCCCCACCCTCATGTCCATGCAGTGTGGCCACACCATTGGTAATCACTTCGGCCTGAAAGCCATGCACATCGTCGGCCGTGTATTTGACCACACGCAAGGTGCCATCAGGATCGACAACGCTGCGTGATTTGTAATTTAATGTTTGTTTACTGTCATTAATTAACGTGTTGACAAGCAACTTACCTGTAGACGCCGCGCACCTCGTCCCCATTCCGCGTCTCTTTTCGATTCTGCAGCACGCGCGTCTTACCATCCTCAACACCATAGGCGAAGCTGTATTCGGGCCTACCCACATAATCGACGCGCGAGCCGCCACCAAAAGCGTGTGGCACGGTCACCTGATGCTCCGGTCCCGCCACCGGACCCTCGAACCGTGTATAGGAATAGCCAACTGCTGTGACACTTGCCACTAAGTGCAGAGCAATGCTGAAGAGCAGCAACCACAGTCGCAAAGACGACGGCGACGACATCAAAGAAATCACAGAAATTTGTGCCGCATCTTTTGGCGCGTGACGTCTGTTGGCGCGTGCCGGCGACTGAGGATTTGACGTAACACGGAAGCAATACGCAATGCGCCCCAAAGTGGCAAAAGTCGTCATCTTTCTTGTTGTTGTTAAGCTGCCGGTTATGCGTGGCTGCGTCTGTCGCTGTCGCTTCTTCATGGCTAAGCATGTGATTTATTGATCGATCAGTCGATGTGTGCGATTATAAAATCCATTTCGATTTAATCCTGTAAATTGCAAATGCCACACACTGGTCGTCGCTTCCCTAGCTGTACTAAGCGTGAAATGTGACACTTCTGGGCCTTTTATAGCCGAGCCCCAGGCGTCGAGGAAACAATGCTCAGACCACCATATTTGCATATTTCCGCAAATTATGCGCTTCAATGGAGCAGCTGCTGAAGTGGAACTGCCGAAAAGGCCCAAGAAAGTGAGATGCGGAGCCATCGAGCGGCTGTAGAGGCGAGAGCAAAAGTGGGCATTGGTAGTTGGGGAAATAGTGCGGTCGCTGTCGGCTTTGAATTTCATATTTCCTAAACTAAACGAAACTTACAAAATCCAATATTGCTGGACACTGACGTCACCGAACATTCAACTAGGCGTAACAAATTTGCAACCAAGGAGATGAACAAGAAAGACAATAAGAGAAGGGGTGGGTGTGTTGTTTTCACTATCTATCTAATCGAATCATGTAAATTAATTGAGAAAGAAGCAGCAGCTGCAATTAAAATATATGGCGATATACAAAATTTGCTCTCATTATACTTTTTAATATATCGGCATCACCGAATATATCAAATCTTTCCACAACTATTTCCAAAAAGGTATGGGTATGTGTGGCGCTCCAGAGTCAAATGAATCTTGTTTTTTTTTTTTTTTGAACCGATATCGTTCCTAATTAGTAGAAGGATAATATAAGGTCAAAAGTTAATTGCTTACATAAGTGCGTACAACTAAATAGGAGTATAATAAATTTGTAGTTTGTCGTTCAGACACTATGGATGGTATTACAACATGGCTACGCTACTATCCGTGGCTTTATAATACGACTAAAATAATTTTTGAAGACGGCACTGGCATGGATATTTCCTCTTGCATTGTCCTAAAATCCAATTGCACAGTATTATTTATGTTAGGCCATAAAATTAAACTCGTATCGCTGGTGAACGAGCAGCTAATTTATTGGCTTGTCCCATCAAACAAACTCTTTTATTAACTTGACCGCAAAGCCCAAGCTGACAACATCAGCTCCGCCCACGTGCTAAATTTTGCTTAACATCGCTTAATTTCGCCAACGCTCTAAGTGCGTCCATTCCCAGCCATCACGTCTACAAGTGGTTGCTGATTACTACCACCACAAGCATTAAAGCCAGCAGCAGCCGAAAAAACGTAGGCCAAAAAGATCAACATTTTGCAGATAGCCATGATAACGTCTGCAAAACTCTGAGCAACTGAGCTAAAGACGCAGCTGCATTTTTTGCAGCTTTGACCTTTTTCGAGGGTCTGCCAAAGTGGGCAACATACAAAAAATATGGCTATTATTTCGACTGCTTCTAATTTATAAGCAATGCGCGTGGTAAGTTTTCTTGTCGTTGCTGTTGTTATTGTTGGTGCTGCTGCTGTTGTTGCTTTTGTTGTCTGGTTTTGGCATGAAAAATGCATATATCATTGGCCTCTGGTACTTGACGGCAGTTTGTTTGGGCTTTAAGCGGCAAACGGTAGCCAAGAGTGGCGAGCTGGGCGAGTGAGATGTGTGAGTGCGGGTAGGGGGCGGGATGCGAGCCAAGTGAGCCGTGCATCGTGGGAAAACTTATTGCAAGCTGCAACGTTTAATTACCCCATTAGAAAAAGCTGTGAAACAAGAATCGACCAAATGGCTAGAGCTAACAGCTTGTAATTAAGACACCACGTTCGTTGCCTAAGTCATTCGTTTTGCCCTTAAGCGGCACGCAATGTTTCTGCACCAAAACTGTCATGGCATTATGAATTACAAGACGTTGATGCATGTGTGTCCACAACTATTGGTGTTGCAATGCAAATCGTTGTCGCTGTCTCAGATGTTGTCGCCATTGCTCTTGTTGTTGTGCTGTTGTTGTTGTTATTATTATTTCTGGCATGCCTGTCAACTGTTACAAGTTGGAAAGCAGACCAATCAAAGTCGATTAAAAACAAAACTACGCCAGCCTTTTCGGTCTACTTTGGAGTAAAGATGGGCGCGTGAACTAATTGGCTATCACGACAAGCACGATTAATTAACCTAAAATCTTATACTAAATCTTATACTAATTAAATAAAATGAAGGCAAACATTCTGAAGATTCTAAGAATTAACTAAAATATGAGCTTTGCAATTCCATGCCATTAATTATGAGCATGAATGAGTGAAGTAATTTCTTTTGATGTTTGTTCTTCAATGATGCCATTATTTTATAAATTTATTTATTTATTTATTTTTTTTTTGAGAAATACAGGAAGCACTTATTCTCAAAACGACTCCAGTATAAACATTGGTCTAGAAACGTAATTTAAAAATCTATTGAAAAACATAATTATACTTTAATTTTTCGGGAATTATGTGAGCTTCTTTTATTATTAAAATAACCATATTCATGCAAGGCTACAAATTACAAAGTTTTCTTGCCTTATAGTATTTTTGTTAATATGGAGGTTTTGGAGCTTCAAATTAATTCTTTCATTTTAATTACATCACTAAGTCCCTGTTGTCTTAAGATGTCTTTAAGATGTCGACGCATGCCCATCTCGAGCATCACGGCAATTATAAGCGATCCAGGCTCACGCTCATCTCTACTCTGGAGGTGGACAGCCGGCCTGGCCAAAAATGTGCACATGAGCAGCGCATGCCACAAACTCATGTTGCTGACCAAATGAATGCAATTCAGAGCAGCTAGCCATCCAGTTAGACATCCAGCAACCCTATATCTATGAGACGCTGCGGGTGCTGGGGTTGCGGCTTCACTGATTTCTTTCTTGAGAGAGATAAATTGCTTACTCGTATAATGCCGTGCAATGTTATTTTATTTTCTTCTCTTTTTGTCTTCTTGCTCCTACGTTTCTATTGCGATTATGTAATATTGTTGCTATTGTTGTTGTTGTTGGTATGGTTACCAGCTAACCAGCCTGCTTGATAATCGCACACTCGTCGCTGCTTTCGTTGTTGTCGATGCTGTTGCTGTTGCAGTTGCAGTTGCTGTCAGATGTTGCAGCTTTCCTCTCTGCGCCGTGGGTTCACATTCGTGCGCTCTGGTTTAACTCGCTTTATTTTTGTTTTCATTTGCACCAAGTTAGTTGGTCAGCTGCTGATTGCAACAGACACACACACACACACACATTCGAACACACGCACACTGCACACTCATGTAATGGGCGTTTAAATGAAAATGAAAATGAGTAAAAGTAGTTCAATCTAAATCAGGTGTCCCCAGAGTTATCAGTCTGCTGTGTCGCTTGAAAGCGAAAACAAAACATATCTAACATTTCTGAAATTTTATAAATAGTTTATAAGTTTCTTTTTTCCAAATGTTTCACATACAGCGATCGGCCGTTCAAAAGCTGCGCAATGCGTGGCCCAATATGTGTGCCTCACTAGTTGAGAACCCCTCTCGCTGTGGCAAACGTAAGTTCCAACATATCCTATATACTATATTGATATTTATTCTAATGTGCTTTGACCAACAAACCGATCTGCCATTAGCGCCCACTAAACAGGCCGCGGAATTGAAAGACCAGAAACAGCAAAGATCGCTGTATGACCTGCAAATGAAGCAAAAGGGAAAATGTTAACATATACTCGTAATAGGAAAGTTATGTGACTTTAATAGATCAAATCAATAGTTTCAAAATTGTAAAGTGATTATGGATTCAGTTTTAAGCCGTTTGTTCATCTGGTGGAGATAGGACTGCCCTACGACTGATTAAAAGTAATCAAACAGACCATAGCTAATATGTTGGCTGTTGAGTTTTAATCACTTGGATTTACCTATTTCTATCATTTGAAACCTATATAATAAATAAAAACTATCTACAAAGACAATAACTTTCTATTATTAATGATAAGGAAACATTGTTGGTTGTACCAGTCTGTTAAATTCATTTGATTTTCGTTACTATATCTTATTAGTTTTTTTTTTACTTGAAGGGTTGGTTTTAAAGCGCTTTTTTCCAATAGCTTTGTTTAAATTCGTATTATTATTTCTAGCAAATAAAAGAAATGCTGTAGAAATTTTATCACATAATAGTTTTCTCAATTTATGGGAATAGCTTTAAAGAACTCGTATTTTTTTAGCTGGGTTTTAATTGATTTTACCAAATCTTTCTCTGTGTTCTGGTTCAGCCAAAACTAATTTAAGAATGTAAAGTTTATAATTTTGTTCAATATTCGATTTTAATTCAGTAACTTAATTTCGATAACGCTGTACTAGAAAGGCAATATCAAAATGTTTACTATTTTCACATATATGCCTTCATATATACAAGTATACGTATATATCTGATATCATATTCGACATTTTTCTTTGTGGCTTCTATTGCAATTTTTATCACCAGCGCTAGCAAATGAAAGTAAATCAAGCAGTCCCATTAAATACTCGCATTTATCAGTTTTACAGAAGCTTCGATTTTAACAATTTATGATTAGCAGATCATAGAAAAATAGCTCCAGTTCTGGTTTAATTACTGTCTGTCCCCAATATTTAATGCAAAAGTTGAGCCATAAATGAAGTCATTATTATTATACTTATATATAATAATTATACATATTTTTTTACTCAATCAGACCATAAAGGACAATGAACTATTTTCAAAAAGCTTTTTTTAGAGTTTGAGCAAACAAATAATTCATCCTTTAAGTGTGACAAAGGCCCAAACACGCATCTAGATAATTGCAAAATGACATAAAAATGTTATCTATAATCACAATAAATTTGTACACCAGCTGCAGTCAATAAATCCACGGCATAATCAGTGAAAACATTGCCCAAGATCTGTGTGGCTCCGCCTTGCAGACATTTGCTTCATTGATGATTGGCAATTAAAATTGCATTTGCCGCATAAATTATAGTTCACATCTTGCATGCCACGCTACGCTTCGATTTATTTACTGACCCATATTTGTGGAGCACGCAGCCAGTCGCCGGTTGTCACAGTGGTGCGAGTGGTGCAAGTGGTGCGAGTGGTGCAAGTGGTGGCCACCGGTTTGAATTGATTTAGTTAAGCTATAAGTTATGGCATTTCTAAGTTTAGTCAAACTGTTGCTTGGTCCTTGCATCTTTAAATGATAGGCAGCTAGTTCGTTGCCTAAGTCTTTCGTTTATTTTAAGGCATTGTGGTGAGTGTGTGTTTATTTTTGTCCACAAACAAATTAGTCAAATTGTAAGAATTATATAATAGCCGACTTATGTACATACGAGTGTGCCCAGCAAGTGGGCGTTGCATGTTTGCCTTTCACTTGGCCAGTCAAAAAACCAAAATGCTTGCCTGTCTGCCATTTAGATTACAACGCGAATTCGACTTCGACTTCGCATGCTGAGCCATTTGTGTTTGTGTTTTTTGGAGTGTGTGTGTGGCCAGTTGGCTACTAGCAGCTACTTTTTAGCAGTTACATGCCATGACGGCCAGGATATATATCAAAATGCACGATTATACAATGAGTGTAGTAGTTTTTTCTTCTCACGTTTGTAATTAGTTGGCCGACTAAACAACTGCAAACAATGTTGACTTTTCTGACTCGGCATTTCAGCTCCACTTGAAGTTCTCTTTCGTTCGTTCGCTTGTTTGTTTGTTTATTTACCTGTTGCCCGCTCTTCGTAATTGAGACATTATTCAATTTGTGACAATCGCGAGAAAATGTAACGGCCCAGAAACCACAGCCAAGACAAAAGCCAAGACAGAGCTAACCGACCGGACTGCCGGACAGGTGGACACTCGGATCTCAGCGGCGGCGCACAATTAACGACATTTTGCCGATTTCCCAAAGCGATGTTCTAATTTTGGCCAAAATACTTGGGCAACAACAACAGCAACAACGACAACTGCAACAGCAGTAACAACAAAACTATTGCGGCAACAAACTGGCCAAACCGTCGCAACGAACATTTAATGAGCACCAAAATCGTAAATTTAATTTATATCGTTTTCTGAACTTTTTGTCAGACGACAAATTTCGTAATTTGTATACCCTTTTCACGAACGAGTATTATACATTTGTCCTGCATTTTATTTGGAATTGAAGAATAAAGAAGTAAATAGCAGCAAAAACAGCAATATATTTGTTATATGTAAAAATATTTACATAAATATTCGACCGATTAAAAAACAAATCTGCTTAGCCATATAGCTGTTGTTTGTCGTTGTGCCTGCCTTATTATGCCCTGTTCCTAAAGGGTAAAACGATACTAGCTTAGTGCGAATGTATGTAACACATAGAAGGAGGCGTGACAGACCCCATAAAGTATAGATAGATATATATTTTTGATTAGGATCGATATACTCGTATGTAGCTTCCGACCATCCAAACGTCCATGAATGCAAGGATTTCAGAAAGAAGGAGATGTAAAAAATAGCGCATCTGTAATAGTGATGCAAGACCATAAACAGCTTGCCACCACAATAGTAAAGGAATGCTTGATTGATCCGTCAAATATGTTTAAGCTTTCGGAACACGGAATGATAATCTTTAATGGTCAAGTAGTTGAAGTTGATGATAAAAAGAGTATTAAACCTTCGAATTTAGCCTTTTATTCAGTTTTTTCTACATTTTGAAAAATGCAACTGCTATTGGCGTCTGTTGTTGTTGTTGTTACTATTTCTGTTGCTTTTGTTGTAGCTGGTCTTTGTTGGCTCATGTAAACTGTGCCGCCGACTCACGACTCAGCATGACAGCGGTCGCTGGGCCGCTTGCATGTCAAAGGCACATAAACGCCGCCAGGCCAAGAGAATCAAATGACACGCGGCTTTTTGGTCACCCGTACATCGAGTACAGCAATTTATCTATATCCGAGTACATATATAAATATACAAGTATGTAGCATACCTTACCATATCATATCATTTCATATGCTCTTAGCTGAGCGGCTTTAATTGGCAGCTCGACACTTTGCCAATTGCCAGGAGTAACTTTGTGTAGGTGCGAGCACTTGCCTTGAACGGTCTCTCGATCTCTGTGGCTCCGCGGTTGCGTGGCTGCGTTCGGTGGCAGTAAATTGTCCAGCCATGCGTGCGGTGTGTGAATTTATGAGCTCGTTTGTTTGTCAAACACTCGTTGCCTAACTTGAGTTTTCGCACATTGTTACACACCGTGTTGGCAATGGCTAAGAACATTTGGACAGTTGGCTGACAGACTTGGTGTGGGTTAAGTGTATCAAATGTTGAGCTCTGCACGCAATGACGGGAGCTACGAACTCGGATATTTGCAATGCACAGACGTTAACATGCATTAGTGGATTTTTAATAAACGGAATGACTCAAGAGGAAATTAAATTAATAACTTAACCCTAGATGATCTAGAATAAAAGCCACTTTCAATTATTATTAAAGTACCAGTACGCTCTAAGCCCATACAAAGCACTTTAGCACCCATCTTAACCTTCGTGTTTCTCGTACGAGGCACCTAACTGAAGCCATATTAGCCCCCAATAGCTGATTTAAAAAGGTCGAGACAGAAACTTACTATATATTAGAGGCAGCGCCTACATTTATAATGCCGTTCTGAAGCAAGGGCTCCGTGTAGTACAGTAGTAAAGATAAGAAAGTGGGATATTAAAAGAACTTGAATTGTAGTTATTGTTTAGCTTTAGTGGCGCTGTTACCGCCAATGCTCCCAATGCTCCCAATGCTTCTTCGATTTCGAATATTATCTATCTCAATTAATCATCAATGCACACATACTCGTATGCCAAAAGCTACGCCTGCCATTTGAAATAGACACCCACAGAATATGCAAATCAAATAAAAAGAACGAACGCATAATCGATTTTAATGTTCAATAACTTAATTAAGCAAAGATTGAGGTCAAATTTACATGCAAATTGCATTTTAAAGTCGGCAACAAACAAGGGCAGGGGCGCAAAGAAAAAAAAAAAAAAGAAAAAAGTATAGTATGCAAACAAATTTAAGAAAATTGCAGCAATTATATTTAATTTCAAACAGTCAACGCCACAGCTGACAGATATACTACATACATATGTACACACATACAAATACGAATATAGAGTGCATGCCTTTATAGAGCCATAGAGGGGAGCAGAGTCAGTTAATTACAGCACAATTACAGTTAACGTGTTGCTCATTTATAACTGTTAATTTGGCTTGGGGTTAACAGAGACCGAGAACATGTAATTGCTATTTATTAAATGCCGATAAAAGCCAAGTTAATTGACATTTACGGCAATTCATTACGTTTGTTAAAGCGTAACGCCTTAGATTAATGTTCAGCAGGTGCGGAGGCGGAGTCAACATTATGGTTTGTTCTCTTTACCTTTCGATTTCGTTCGCACAGGCATATAGCTTTGGAGCAAAAAAAAGAAGAAATACCACAATCAAAGCGCAGCTAATTGCCTGCACTAGTTTCTCGAAATCCGTTTTCGTTCACATGCCTACCTGCAAGTCAACGTTTTTGCCTGTTTGCCAAAAATTTGCATATGAGCTCAACGAAGGCGCCACAGTTCTCAGCATCAACGTCCAAGTGGACTTTGGGCGCATGTTGTTAGCGGCAATTACTGAAATGTACATGCACTGGAGGCTGGTATAAATCAGCTTAATTGCTATATTTAAATTCTAATTTTGGACTTGGCCCAGGAGCATGTGCTTGTGTAAGTCTTCGTACAGTAGAGTACATATGTGGCGTGCATATATATGAGCGGCAATTGCCATGGATATGTATCGTTTTTGTCTAACCAATTTATGCAAGATTTCATAGATTTGGGCAACTGACAAGTTGCGTGGGTTTGCTATTTATGGAAATATGTGGAATTTAATTTTCTCTTCAAGTGCATTTTTTTTAAATTGCAACTTATGTATATTTATTTTTTATATGATGAACCTCTCTATGCATTTATTTAATTTACGAATTATTAGCAATTTATAAATAAATCAATATACTTATAAGCTCTAATAAATGTAATTGTTATTATTGCATTAAGTAATACACTAATATTTAGCTCGAGCTAACTGCAAAGTACAAAGCAGGGGTTAAATTTTATATTATGTGTATTAAATTTATCTATAATGTTGTAATTCTAAGCTTTTTATCATATAACAATATAAACACATATCTACTTAATTGTTTCATATTTTTATTGCAATAAATATTACTAACACATTTTAGTTTGTGAATTTTTTAACAATCGGGAATCCTAAACTAATGTCATTTCCTTCATAATATGTATAATATAGGTAACTTTTTTATTGTTGACTTTCATGTATTTTATTGTATTTGATTTGAACTCAACTACATCTGTTAAGATCAGTTATTTTTGTTGTAACTTTTCTTAACCCAGAATGTATTCATCATATCAGTTTTCTTTAATATGTAACGTAAAAGTATTACATTCCACATAAGAAAGGCGCGCAATTCAATTTTCCACATCGCATGAAAATTGTTATCGGTATGGTGCTGCCAGAGCTGCAAAAAGTTTCGGACTGGCAAGGCTTTGGAAAGAGTGGAGGAAAATAGCGGGTAAATTGCGCTGCAATTATTTAGCAATATGAATCCAATAGTTAAAGTCAAGCGCGACCCAAACATCATCAAATGTTCCACGACGTCGGATAAATCTGAAAATTTAAATGCAACCGATTCCAAAACCTTGAACGAAGACATTGAAATGGAGACGGAGTCACCAGACGCTACAATCTCCGCCTCAGAAGGAAAAAGAAGCGTTTCCGAATTTTTAGCGGAGGAAGAGAATGTCGAAAATGAGATAGCGACCGTCAACCCGATGGACTTACCAGTGGTGGAAGGCGAGGACGAAATTGTTCTGAATTCTTCAATGGAGGTGGAGATTAATTTTAAGAGAACAAGCAGCCCGGAAACCGCAGGTGCTGGTTCTTGTTTGGGCGAAGACAAAGAGCCGGAAAAAGTGGTAGACAGCGATGATGTCAGTACCATATTAAGATTACCATCTCGTAAAGGCAGCAGCAGCAATCTCAGCAGTAGCAGCCGAGGCAGCAGCACTTCCAGTTCCTCTAGTCGCCAAACTAGACGACGTCGGCCGCCTGTGAATCAATCAAAGATGACTTTGAAATGGAATCTACGGGCGATGATCTCGAACTTGTACATGAACGTAGAGAGCCGTCTGCCAAATCCATATGTGTCGAAATGCTTGTGGGATACTAGTTACTGTGTTAGCAATCATCGACGCGCTGTGTTACCAAATGCACCTTCTTTCAGTACAGCCCAGAATCTAAGCACGACGCTAAAAGAACATCTCTACGAAACATATCTGGATTTGCTACAGCGTTTAATTTTGCAGGGAACTTTCCCGGACGAAAACTTGTTCGATACATTGATTGAATTGGCAATGGTATGAGTTTCATTACAGCTAAATATAATGATCAAGTTATTACGTTTTGTGCTTTGAAGGTACTTGTTGCAAAGGAACTAGAGCTGGAGGAGGTGAAAGTTATATATCGGAATCTTAAGGATATATTTTTTCTACTAGTCGACGCATTCCCACCATGCTGGACGGCCCTAAGGCCCTATTATCTAAATTTTTTAGGAATCAACACAAATGGAGAGATACGTTCGAAACAAACAAAACCCAAATTGGACTTCTATTTGGATTTACTAAAACAGACAATAATCAAGTGTACAGATAAGGAATTAAGCGAGCTCACGCCTTACTCGGAAAAAATGGAATTCAATTTCTCGGAAGATGAAGACGCTGACATATCGCAGGAAACGCTTTTCGCTCGTCATGTAGATGACTACGAATGGAATGGCACTCTATCTCTGGATGTTTTCGACACAATGTCCCCAGCTGTGCGATTGGCAAGACTTTTCGATGTCCTTTATAAGTTGTATGTAGTGCTCGAAAGAGACTTTATAATGTGGCTGGATCACAACAAACTTCGTCAGGCGGAAGCGGAAATATTTAATGAGGATACATGCCCATTTTCAATAATTGTGTTTGGTTTTACTTCCACAACTCGGTTAACCCCGATTGTGCGCCAATTGATGACATTGTATGGTCATGCGGCATCCAGATTTCTGAATGATTTACGATTGGGCATCTTAGAGGTAAATATAAAATGTTTCAGAATAATATAGTTAACAAATTTAACGGACTGAATCATCAGAAAATTGCATTCAGATTATGCACAAGCTCCGCTATTTTTGTAATATAACAACTGAAACTAATCCAAATTATATATGCGTAAATCTAAACCATTTTAAATTATAAGTATTTAAAAATATAATAATTTTCATTCATGTAATACTTCCAGAAATTCATCTCATTGCTAATGGAATTAAGCAATACAGCCGAGCTAGAATATGTAAACAGTTCCGTTCGCTATCCCAATTTGGGCCCGCAAACTCGTCTGCTAATTGCTGAATTTTTCAAAATATTCAAAGCGGAAAATCCCTCACGTATAAGTACTTACATACACATCATACCACAGCTGGGACAACCGTATGTCCGATTTGAGTTTACCAATCTATTCCTGGAACTTTTCTACTTCTCCAAGAAACTAAAATTTTGCCCAGAGAAACTATGCGAGGAGATTAAGACAAAGCAGTGGCAAAAATACATGCCACGTAAAGAAATCGGTCAGGACAACGAGGAGCTGCTAGCACGTGAGGACTATTTGCGCCTATGTCTGAATGGACTACGCGATTATTGCAATTGGATGAATCTGGAGGGCTTTTGGAAATGCCTAAAACACCGACAGCAAGTAGAGCCCCTGCAGGTCCAATGCGCCAGTCCATTGGCTACACCCGTGGGCGTGGTTAGCGGGGATGTTGGCAAGATTTTCATGTTGGACGAAATGGAAAAAGAAGCACACACCTGGCCGAAACGTATCAACGCCAATGTCATTCTTGCAAAACCCCGCGTAAATCTGCCAATGGCAAAAGTTGATGTAATCGAGATGTGCAAAATCTATGCAGACGATATGCGTTATCTGAGATATTTGCGACGTCTGCTGGTCAGTGCTCAGAATTTCTACAAGGACCTAGATTTGAGGGAATGGATGAAATTTTTGGATTTTCTGGGTGATGATGAGCCCAACACAACCGAAACCACTGAAGAGCCAAAGTTAGAAACATAATCTGTATATCATTTGTTAAACAACTTAGATATAAGTGTATCGTATTAATGTAGCTATTAAGTCATCATTTCATCTTATAAGACATTCCCTCCATTTGAATACTTTTTGAATTCTCATTTGTTGCTTTTTCTGCAAATATATATTTATGCTTGTAACTAAATACACAAGTACGTACACATTTACATATAAATACATCTACTATGCATATATATACCATTACAATTATTATGTATATGTATATATTTTGTATGTTTGTGTGTATAATTATACAATATTATCGCGTTTTCTTTTTAAGCTTGTCGCTTTGTCTCGGTTTCTGTTATATTTATATTACTACATATGTATCTCCTCGGATTAATCTGCAGTGGTTTTTTGTGTTTGTCTTTCGTTCATTTCATGGTCTAAATTCTTTGCAATTTTACACTTAAATTTTACACACAATTTTTAAATTAGGCGCTTAAATGCTAATCTCACTACAACTTCTTTTTGCGGCTTCTCTCGCTGTTTGCTTTTAAAAATATTTATATCAGCGATGAATTGTATGCACAAAATAAGGGATCGCGACTAGATCTAATGGACATGCCAGACAGAGCTTCGCTAAAGCTTCATGGACTTGCAGAGATGAAAAATTCCCCCATTAATCGTAAGAGTTTATTTTCCAGCTGCGTCATCCTAAAAATCAAACCAGGTTGGAAAGGACGAATCTGATGTTTCATGTGACTCATTAAAAGTCGACCCAACCATGTACACGGTCCATTTGCTCTACTCCTTAAGTGGGGCGTGCCCTGCTACCTTTCGCGTGTATTCAATGTAATTAATTTTTGGACAACAGCTTTTCGTTTTCATCAAACAATTGAATAATAGTATACACTATTTAAAATTTCAAATACAATATTCGCTGGGAATAGAATCGGGAAAATGTCAGGCAATAGGTTTGATATACGTTTTAAACAATCCAAACACAATCGTCTGATAAAGGAATATTGGGGTTTGATATATGGCTGGCTTGAATTCTGTCCTTTCTTAGCCTGTTCTATAAGGGTATACAAAAAACAATTGAGGTACGCTACAAAATGCCTATTATTTATTATATTTTATCTCGTCAAATTTATCTATATGTTGCAGCCCTTTAAAATTCAGTGTGTGCCTCTGATCTGTCCTATGTTTAAAAACACCCTGTATTTGCATATCAAAATTACGGCCAAAGTACAAATGAAAAGTTTTTTACAAAATGTTCGTTTTTAAGCGGTATTTAGAATATTTGTTTGCTGCGCTTTTATATTATACATTTAGACGCTATATCGTTTTCTTTGTTGTTTACTCGTTAACACTACACATTTATCAACATTTATTTATTATTATTTATGTATGTATATGTATGTGCTATTTATTTTAAGTGATTCGTTTACACTTCTCCACCTTTTTCGCCCGTCTATTTCCTTGTTTTTTAATGTTTTTCGTATACATATTGAGTTTGCGTTCTCAGATTTTTGTATTACTCTTATTTCTTGTTTTTACAAAAATTGTTGCGTTTTGAAAATGATTAGGAACTTTGTAAAAGAAGATGGCAATATTTGCACACAAAATTTGAAATGTTTTTAAAGAGTTGCAAAATTAAAAACTATAAATAATATGTCAGTCAACGATAGAGGACAAATATAAAATAAAATCTTACACCAACAAAAGACACACACGCACACAAATAAAATACGCATAAATTATATTTTTAGAAAATATTTTTCTTTTCTTTAAATGTTTACAGTAACTTTCTCTGCTTGATACTTACAAAATTGGGGGTTGACTTTGTACAGAACATTGTTATAATTGCATAATTATCGTTTTTCATACTTCATTAACTAAATATTATAACGAAGTGTTTGTTGTTGTTTTTAAACTGTTCAAATTATGCCAAGTTGTAGTAAATTGAAAAATAAAACTATTATGACTAAGTTTAAAATTAAGAAAACGTTTTACGGCTACAAAGTAGCGCGGATATATTTTAAAAACTATGGCTTCTAGACTATAATTATGTTGCTTTGTTTCCGCTTATATTATTAGAATTTCTTGCTTTAGTTTATATAATATTTATACGTTTATGAAGTGCATCATAGAGTACCTTAGGGCAATTAAATTAAATAATTAAACTATCATTAAAAACAAATTGAATTTGTGTGCCCCACAATGGGTATGCGGATATAAAATTAGACGCACAGCTGAGCCTAAAATTTAAGCATGATGACAATGATAAGCAGCTTATCAGCTGTAAAAACTATATTTAAACTGACTGCATATCCCAAAAGTTTGTTTGTGTGTGAGTGCACAAAATGGCGGCATTTACAGTAATGTTTAATTTCATCGTTAAGTTGCACAAGGTTAGCAGTAGATTCATTTACTTGCTGTCCACTCTTTGACTTCAGAAGTCAAAAAATGTTTGTGCTCACCAGTTTCTCGAATATCTTTACCTTTGCTGCGTTTCTCTACAAAATGTACAAGTTTTATTTGCTTAACGTTAAATGCTAAGAAGCTTTATGTGTGTGTATATAAACAATTTTAGAAAAGGACATGAACATTTTTTTGTAAAAAATTTTAAAAAACAATTCTCTTAAAACGCAATGACTTTTTGCTTAATATGGTTGTAGTAGTAGGTAATGGGGGGATGGGAGTTGCTGTCTGTGTCTCTAGGTTGTAGTACAATAAGCATATAGCTAGTATATGGAGTAGTTTAATTTCTGCTTGCTTTCTGCTATTCATGGCTCTGGGTCTTTCTATTGCGTAGTGAGTAAGTAGTGTGTGTCGGTCTGTCTGTGTTTGTGTTGCTATCAACTTTTTTTTTATCGTCTGCTATGTATGCTGGACTTAATTCAGTTTGGTTTTCTGCTCCGACTTCCTTTCTGCTTTCTTTTGTTCGGGCTTTAACCGCTAGGTGGTATTTGGTGCCAATTAGCAGCTATTTCTGAAGCGTTTTGCTATACATTCTTTCAATGTTTCGACTTTTCTGTTTGTCACATTTAAACCTTAATAAGTATAACAACAACAATGTTCGCTACAATTAAACAACTAACAACAACGTAAGCGTACACACCAACAACAACAACACCATCATAATCATAAATCATCGTTATTATCAACAATTATAATCGTTGCTGCTGCTGCCACACTTCTCACTTGCTTCTTGCTACCTGCTTTTTGCCGAGGGGCGCTGGCTTTTGTGCACGCTTTTCATTGCGCACTTCCTCATCCTCATCATCCTCCTTGAGCATATACTCGAGGAGTAGCTCATCGACTCATCCTTCGCGACTGGTCGCAAACTCGCCATTTGGCGACGCCTCCACTTTGATAACGCCCAACTGCTGTAGCTCCTCGCGTGTAGCCGTGTGCGCTGTCAAATTTGTGGCAGCAGCAGCGACAGCCGCACCATTCGCCTCCGGATGCTGTATGCGTCCAACAACAACCCCACCCATGGTCACGAAATTACCATCGGCGGTGACAGCGCCCAAGTGCATGGCATTGGAGAGATCGCCCAGCGTGGCCACATTGAAGTGATGGTGCATGCCTGCAGCGGCGGCAGCTGCGGCACTCACAGCGACTGAACTCTGAGTGGGGGACGTTCTAGAGACGCTGGTAATGATGCTATTGCCGTGCTGCTGCTGTTGATGATGCTGTTGTTGGTGCTGTTGTTGTTGCTGTTGTTGCTGCTGCTGCTGCTGTTGGTGCTGCTGCTGATGCTGCGACACTGTCGTAGAGGCTGGTAGCGTTGTTATAGTTAAGCCGCGTTGGTGTTCGATGTGCTGCTGTTGCTGATGATGATGTGCCAACGCCATGCGTCCTAGTCACCCTTCCTCCTCCTCCGTTTTGATCTTAACAGGAACGTAGACCTTGTCCATGACGTGGATCTTTATGTGATTATTTAGCGTACTGCTCTGCCGGAATTGTTTCTTGCATATGACGCACTCAAAGGGCTTTTCACCTGCAATAAATTGTAAGAAAATGCAAGTTGTGTTAGGTTCTTTAGACAGATTTTCAGACGTGCTCCAAATTCCAATTACACTTTCAATCAATACCCATATTTACAAAAAGGAAATTGGGGAAAAATAGAAAGCTATGTGGCAAATCTAAAAAGTTTACGCTTAATTACTGTGGCAGCTTAATGTTATAAAGTCGTTAACTACATTTCTCACTGTATTTATTTATATTCGAGCAATCATTTCTCAGCTGCATCCACTAGTATCTAAACCTAAGCCAACTGGTTTCTGATTAGGACTATGGGGAAATTCCTTCTCTTTGTGGCGTGTAACAAGCTTCCCAGACTTTACTAGAAATCGATATAAAACAACGAATGTATGTTTTGAAAATGCTCAAACGATATATTGTGAATTAGCTCGTGTAACTTTTGGAACTAAGGCGTTCATATATTCAAACGAACGAATAATTAAGTTTAGATATTTCCAGTTTTAGAAATAGACCCTTTCGTGTTGAACTAAAAATCCCATTTGATTTCAATTAGTCGAAAGTGTTATTGGAATTCGGAACACCCCTGTTATGGCCTGGAGCTGCCACTCACCCGTATGTATCTTGACGTGATTGGCTAACGTGCTCAGCTGACGGAAATGCTTGGGACAATAGTTGCAATTATAGGGTTTCTCACCAGTATGGATCTTCAAATGATTCGTCAGCGTTGACGATTGACGGAAAGTCTTATCACAAACGTTGCATTTGTAGGGCTTCTCGCCAGTGTGAATCTTCACGTGATTTGTCAGTGTGCTCAGCTGTCGAAAGCGTCGATCGCACACGGTACAGTGAAAGGGTTTCTCCGGTTCCCGGCCGCCAGTGCCGTTGCTACCACCACTGCCGCCGCTTCCATTCTCGCCGCTATGCCCATTCGCCACATAATGGGACTCGCCCATTGTAGGACTGTGTGTTGCGGCGGCTACCAAATGTCCCAATGTATGCTGTGGTGGTTGTAGTTGTTCCGCAGCGGCTGCTTGGGCTGCAGCAGCCTGTGCAGCGGCCATGGCAGCCGTTTGTGCGGCTCTGTGCGCCTCAGGTGAGACCCCGAGGTGCATATTGAAGGATAAACCAATTTCCGTGGGTGCTGATGACGTTGGAACGGAACCTGGTGGCTGTTGTTGCTGCTGAGGATTGTGTTGCTGTTGTTGTTGCTGTTGTTGTTGCTGCTGTTGTTGCTGCTGCTGTTGCTGGTGTTGTGCGTGGCTGGCTTGTGTTACCGTTTCATTGTTATTGTTGTTTGCATTTGTTGTTTGAGGCTGTGCGGCAACAATGACAATATCGCAATTGCTCATCGCCGCGGCGGCCTGATGTGCATGCGGCAGAGTCTTGATGTGCATCATAGGCTGCACAGCTACAGGTTAGTACACAAGACGAAAACCAGGCTAAATTAAACGGCGGGTAGGACTACTCTCTAAGGGCTCCAAGGGCAGATGCTTTTATCAATAGCAATCCAATAACAAAAACACTGAACTGAAATTTAGGCGCGAACGTTAGGGCTGCTCAAAGTTGCCACGACATGATGCTGAACTCAGTCGCTTTCCTGTTGCTGTGGCTCTTGTTATTGTTTTTGGTGTGTTTGTAGTTCGCTGCTGCTCTGCTGTTTCGGTTTAATGCCTGCGGAAGAAAGACAGCAAAAGGTGAGAAAGTCAGTAGGTGAGTGATAAGCGGCAAATTAAATGCTTATGCTCTCAATGGCTGGCGGCATCTTCACATGCACAGTTGGCCAACAGGGCAATGATTTGTATGCAAAAATATGTGAGGAATTCCCAAAAGGTAACTGCGAAATTTTGGCGCAGCACGCCAGCAGAGGGCCACAAAAAACAAACGCTTGAAATTATAAATCTAAATTATTCAATAGCTGACACAAATCGCGCGGTCGGCCGCAATGGCGCGCAACCAACAACACGTTTTTTTTCTTTATTTTTTTAAATTTTATTCGAGAGCGGGCGCGCGCCTAGCCAATGTAAAAGTTCTGCGTTTTTAACAAACATTTTAGCATAAATTATAAAAAGGCGATTATGAATTTTTCAAAAAATTGTCGCGACCCAATGTAATTTGAATTTGGTTTTTACGTGCGACGACAGGTTCCACGTTCCAAAGCCCCCACTCACACACACGCATGCATATATGTACATGTATATACATAATCAAACACTTACACATATGCACATGTTTTGGGGCAAACTGACAGCGTGTTACTTTCTCGCGAGTTACATGTGTTTTTCATCAAAATGTAATGTAATGTTGGCTGCCTTTGGCGCTAAAGTTTTTCCCCTGTCCAGGTTTTGCACCTGATTTCAGTCACAACAACCCTATGGGGCGAAGGGCGCGTTCCGTAACTAGCTCAGAGTTGTTTTGTTCGAGGAGCCTAGCGCGTGAAACTTTTCTTTCGAAACCCACTTCTCAAAGCAGTTTTTCCACATTGCTTCGATCTTGTCGCGTTTGCGTTCGCGCTTCTCACCTTGTCGCTACCTCGCCGCACGCTGCGCCCGACACCTTATCCACAAACCACACAACCACTTTCAGTTTGGCCCGTCGTCTCTTCGTCAACGTTGTCGTCGTTTTCACACACACATACAAACACAGATATGCCCGCGTACAGGCACGCATACTTGGGCAGACACCACACACACGCATGGGAAGAGCAAAACTCTTTTTTTTTTTTAGGTTAGGGCACATAATTTTCACTGTTTTTCACATGTTAAATACACTTTCGGTAATGTATTTTCCGTATGCAAAACATTTAGGCCTCTACACTTTCCCCCCTTGACAACCCACACTCGACCTACCTTTCCATTTTGTGCCTGGCATCAATTTTTTACTGATTTCCCCCCTTTTTACATCATTCTATGCGGTCGACGTTGTAGGGCCACCAAAGTGCCCAATGCACTTGTTTCGCAATCTTTTGGTTAAAACTGGGCTTTAGACCATTATTTGCCGTGGTAAATTCATTTATAAAAACAAAATTGAAGGAATTGTACAAAATTGTACACAGCCGCCATTCACAGTTTTCCAACGCAATAGAGCTGGGAAGCAATCGATTGCACCTGTACACCATAGTTGTCGCCAGACCTTCTGGTATCGATAACAGTAATTGCCGTAATTCCAGACTGCTGTTCATCATTTACCTATACAACATTACCGAAAATTAATTAATTATACAATGCACCATGTAAGTTTTTACAAATGTGGCAGAAACAAATTAAGAAACAAAAAAAAATTGAAATTGTTGCCATTTGCAAAACTGGTGAAAAGCGCAGTTATCACTAGCGCATAAAATACCAAGTTCACTACTAAATAATTATCGAAATGGGCCGCACTGAAAGCGACATTAAGAAAAAGTGGCAACGCCTGCTGCCAAATTAGATATTTCGGTGAGTTTTCGTTGTCTTTTATTTGCAATAATTGTACATTAAAATCACGCGTCAAATGCATTATTTAAAAAAGTGGTCGCGTCGTAATCCTCATCCTTGTTTCTAGTGCTGTTTCTTATAAAATAGTGCACACGCGCGATGACTGTTGATCGCCATTGTGGCCATTGTGCAGACTGAGCTCGCTGTTGACTTTGTTTTTGTTGTAGTGCGGCTGTTGTTGTTGTTGGTCATCTACCGGTAAAACGTTTACAGGGTAAGTAATGGAAGCAATTCCTATTTTAATACACATTACTCACCTTCAATTTGTATGGACTTCTCGTTGCGGCATGACAAGCGCATTCCATCCAAGAATTGTCGCATTAATCCCTTGCTCTGTTCTGCCTGTTGCTCCGAACGAGGCACAACCGAGTTCGCACGCGACTGCGCAAGTTGCTCCATGGCACGCAGATCGTCTTGCATGGCTTTCTTGCTGCGCTCGACCACTGCGTCAAGAGAATCGACAAAGGGCTGAGTATTATTGCTGTTCGGCTCGAACTGATTGCCATTGCCGCCACCGGCAGAGGTGTGGTTGGAGTTGACTGAGGCTGTTGTGCGCTCGTCCTCCTCCTCAACGGAGCCGATGGTGGTTGTCGTTTTGGGTGCTCCCTCCTTGTCATTGTCGTCATCTTCGGAACTACGAGGTGTTGATTCTGGAGCCGTTGTGCCCGCCTCCTTGGCTGCTTTGATTTGAAACAATGAAGATATGTTCTCCTTGGCTCCATGCATCTCATTCGATATTTTATTAGCCATGGAGCCCATGGCCTTCCCCATAGATTCTTTTGTATCAGCTGCAGCTTTGGCTGCATTGCTGCCTACTTGACCGACTGCGTTGACAGCATTATTGCTCGCTTGGCCAACGGCTTGGACGGCGTCGCTGGCCATGCGCTTGGCATTTTCGCCTGCAGCATCGACGGCGTCCCGTGCTCCACCAGCTATTCGCTTAGCATTATCGCCGACTGCATTGACGGCTTCCCGTGCTTCCCCAGCCATGAACTTAGCATTGTCGCCCACAGCATCGACAGCATCACGAGCACCGGCGGCTATACGCTTAGCGCCATTCTTAACGACATCAAATGCACCTAGAGTTCCTGTGCCTGCTTTCCGAATAGCCATTTGAATTTCATCTCGGGCCTCCAGCGCTTTCGTCTCGATTTTATCGGCCACATTTTCGCTGGTTTGGACAAGCTCCTGATGTTTTTCTGCCACCACTTTTTCCACTTTATCCTTTTTTTCTGCCACTACGTTCTCCACGTACTCCTTTTTTTCTGCCACTACCTTCTCCGCCTGGTCCTTTTTTTCTGCCACTACCTTCTCCACCTGCTCCTTTTTTTCTGCCACTACGTTCTCCACGTACTCTTTTTTATCAGCCACTATTTTTTCCACCTGCTCCTTTTCTTCGGCCATAAACTTTTCCATATGATTCTTTTTTTCGGCCACCAACTTTTCCATTTGGTCCTTTTCTTCTGCCACTACTCTTTCTACATGCTCCTCCACTTCCTGAAGAGTTTGCTCTACTTCTGCCTCGATTTCTTCCACAGAGTTCTCCAATGACGTATCTGGTAGCTGTTCCTCTACATTGGCCGTCACATCGATGCCATTGTTTATGAATCGAATCTCGTTTACCACTTTGCTACTGTCCAGCGCATCTTTAGTGGTCGTAATCTCTACGGCCAACTCCTCATCCTCTTCTGTGGGAGGGGTGGGGCCTGATATGACGGCTTCTATAATGTGCTTTTCTTTCTTGTCGCTCTCTGCCGTTGGATTCTCCTCTACCGTTTCGAGGCTGTCCATCAGTTCGGGTGAGGTGCGCTCCAAATGGTCATGATCCATGGCTGACTCATAGGAGAAGTTGCGCATTGGTGTCTTTTTAATAGTCTGCGGTGTACTAGAGTTGCTGCTCTCTGGATAAGGCGTGCGTGGTCGAACAAACTTTTCCGTATGGGTCTCGCTTTTCTCACTCATGGTGGCTGGATCAAAATGTGCGGAGCGCGCCGATTTGCGAGAATGTGTAGAATCTGTGGGTGATCCCTTTGGCTTCAGTTGCACGGGTGATGCGGCCGGTGGAACACTTTCCATTGACTTTGGTGGCGCTTCTTCCTGCTTCGGCGTCTCCACGATTTCGGGTGCTTTCTCTAGCTTCTCGTGTTCCTCTTTTTGATCTCCTTTCTGTGTTCCTGCAGAGTCTGCATTTTCACCCACTTCTATGTCGTGAAGTTGAGGTGCTGTGGGTGACTGAGTTTCCTCGACAGTGATAGGCTGAACGTTCTCTTCCATTGCCTTCTCCCCATTGCCATTGATATCAGTTAGCTCTGACTTATTAGAAATCGCAGTTTCCTTTTCTTCTGTCTTTTCATCACCAGTTGTCTGTTTTTTCGATACGCTCTCCATTGTTGTTTCCGGCATCGTTCCCTCTGATTTCTCAATCTCCTCATCCACCACTTTTTGCTTGCTCAAGACTCTGCCGCTGCTGCTACGCTCTGCATTACCATTCAAGTCCGGTGGTTGTAGAACAAAACTCTGACTCATAAAGCGATGCTCACCTCCCGGTCCCATGGTCGCCGATAACGTAGTAGAGCGTGGAACCCCCTGCACCAGAATATGTTGCTCACCCACAGCAATGTCCAAAAGACGTAAATTCTTAAACTTTGATATTTCGCGAAACGTTTTCAAGTGATGACCGCTCTCCGAGAAAGTGGTAAAAAACTTATTTGCCTTAGTTAGGACCGCATAGAAGGAAAAACCCTTCAGCAGCTTCCAAATGGGTCCATTCTCTTCGCTATCGTAGTCGTAGAAGCGTTGAAAGACTAAACTCTTGTTGCGTACCGACTCGAAGCTTCGATAAATGCCACCCACATTGGTCACAATATAAATCTCGCTGGTCTTCGAGATGTGCATAAAAATGATTTGTTCCGACTGCGACAGATTCTTCTGAAGCTCCGTGAATTTGGGAAAGACAAACTCGTTGAGGCGGCCAGTTAGAAATAAATTTCCACTGGCTGTTAATACTAGAGTGGACTCGGGACCGCAGGTGAATTGCTGAATGGGTGCATCCAATTGTATCTCCACCGGATGACCATCGTAGTCGACCTCCAGTTCGCCCAGCTGCTGCTGTTCATTCGAACCGCAGCCAATAAGACGGCCGTTGCCTGTAAAGATATTGCTCAGAGAATGCTTTTCATAGTTTCACAAACGGGCATAAGTATTCCACAAAATACTCTTCTTCAAATAAAATCAGTTTATGAAATTTATGAAATTGGAAACTGATATGGTCAGTTGGATCGCATTTCAAAACATGCACCACAGGAAAACTAATTACAAAAGTCTGCAAAGGGATTGTTTTACTTTGTATATGAATCCCCGAGTAGACTGATAATTGCTTATTTGATTTGTTTCATACTTGTATCTGCTGCCGTCTTGATACAATAACTAAAATACTTATGCCTCTTAATATATTTATTTTTTACTCACTGGTGAGCACTGCAAAGTGCTCATTTCCCGTCTGCACACTTAGAAAGTTGTGGGTGTCCTCGTTCGTAGATAGGTAGTCGTCGAATTCCTCCAGACGAAAGGGCTTGCGTATGATAGCGCAGGGCTCCCCCTCCACAGTCGCGTTTGTGAAATGCTGGGCCACATGCGTATCTTCGGGGAAAATGTTGCGACCGGTGAAGAATATCTCATTGGAATCTGAAATGGCACATTGCTGGCAATGTGATATAACCCTAATATTCAAAATTTGGAACTTACGTGTGAGGATGACGGCCCAGTTGTTGCCAAAGGCAGCATCTCCAATTTTTAGGCCTAACGATTTCAATGCCTTCACACAGGTTGGTTTCGTGACTATGTCCCCATTAGCAGTGCTACTGTTGTTGTTGTTGCTGCTATTGCTGCTACTCTTGCCGCTGTGACCGCCAATACCCAACTGGCCATACTGATTTTCACCCCATACAAATAGACGTCCTGATTCTGTAATTGATAAGGTCGTTCTGGCATTAATTTTTTTTGTCGTTTTTTTTTTGTTGTTTTTTGTTCGTGTTTTTTATTTGTTTCTTTAGCGCGCTGTTGCTTTTTGTTTGTTGCTTTTAGCTTGTTATGCGTTGGCGCCTGACCTGACCCCTGACTACCCCTTGACTTCTCTGGCCTCTTTGCCGGTCCGCTGTCGTTTTGGTCTGGTCTGGCCCATTTTGGCCTGTTTTCTTGGCTTTTATTGATTATGTTTGCCGCCGTCGTCGTCGTCGTCGTCGTCGCTGTCGCCGTCTCTGCCACCGTTCGCGGTTTACGTTTCAATTACAAATGCTTTCTGGTTTAGGTTTTCTTATACAATACATACATAAATGGACATGGCATAGACATAGTATATATGTTTTGGTGCGTACGGCGTGAGTGTGTCCCATATTTTTGGTCTTTTTACTGCCCGCTGACCTCATTTAGGACTTCAGCGTATTGAGTAGACATCGAAGTAGCTGGCAGGCGAAACTGCTTTGATTTAAAAGCACTTTGTCATGATTGCGAATGTAGAACAAAGCGTAAACGTTAGGTGTCCAAAATTCGCAATTGTAATGCAAAGACCCGTAAGAATCTTACTATTTGGTAGTGCTGAACACAAAGTCGAAAGAAACAATGCAAAACTATGCTGAAAATATTTAGGCACTACTAAAGTAGTCTGCGAAAGCTTTATTTATCGAGCCTAATACGTTTAATGTAAATGATTCAGTGCAAGTTGAATAATAGAATCAATTGATTGTTTTGGAACTGGAAATGAGTTTTAGGAACTTTGCTATAATAAGCAGAATACAGGATGCGGATGAATATAGGTTTTAATATTGACGTTGTTTTGTGCTTTTTACAGATTCTTTACTGAAAAATGATTATTAGTTAATTAAATATGTTTTTGAAAATTTGAATTTTATGTTCCTAAAAAAAACTGCGCAGCAACCAAATGAAATCAAACTGAATAACATAAGAAATCGCAGATATTTTATATTTTCACACATGCGGAAGTTGAATATTTCGCAAATTTAACTATAATTTTTATGTTTTTAAGGGGAAGAAAATTGGTTCTTATATTCTGTTCCCTTATTAAGAAGTTACAGCAGAAATTCCGTAAAGTTCAAACCTATTTTGTATTCCGTGTTACAGGAAATTTGATTTATTTAGGAGCAAGAATGGTGCATTCACCTCTTTTAAAATTCAATTCAATCGGTTACCAATTGTGAGGCACTTTAAGGATTCACTTATATTTTGTGAAAGGACAAGTCAATTGATAGTTGGCACTAAACTTGCTGCCAATTTTGGTTTATTATTTTCAATTGACAAACTACTGCATATAATTTAGTAATTTTGTTCAGTGCAGGGCGCTGGGGTTAAGAGAAAAGTGAAAAGTGAAAGTGCGCCCGGTGGATTATTATTTAAAGAAAATTGCAACGAACATGCAACACGCACGCGTTTTTCTTACGACGCTTACTAGAAAACTAGTTGGGAATGTTAGGGCTTAGGAGGAAGGTAGTTCAGGAGGTTGAGTCGCATTCGAATAACGTTTGAGCGCCCATAGACAAGACATGGCCATAGACTGAGGCATTTCAAATATGCAAAGGCAAAAGGTGAGGAAATTCTTGTTGTTGTTTTGCGTATTCATGGCGAACAACGACCGTTTGATGGGCAAACAGGACAGGACAGGACCGGACAGCGCAAGACAGGACTGGACAGGAAGGGACTAGACAAGCAGACCTGTACAGTTGGCCAGTAGAGTAAAGCGTGGCGTTGTTGTCTGTTAGTTGCCCCACAGAATGGGGTCAATTTGTAGTAGTTTTGTTTTGTTGCTGGTTTTTTATTTTTTTATTGTTATTTGTTGGCAATTTACCGCATATAACGGCGCTCTGATGTGGACCCGATATCAGGCGTTTGACCGGATCGTTTTTAATATAGAAATAACTTTGTGTGTTCTCAGCCAGATGGGATTTGCCGAGCGTAAAAATCGCCCCACTGCTGGGTATATCCATAATTCAGTTATTATTGCTTCTGTTGCTGTTGGTGTTGGTGTTGTGAATATCAATTTAACTTGTCTCTAACTTAATAGCGCTGTATTAGTCGGTCATTTAAATTTCTCGCGCACTTTTATTGATTTTGGCATTAGGCATTGCATATTTGTTGTTTAACTCGGCTTTTTATCTTTGCTCATTTAATTTTAAGTAGCGCACATAAATAATTGTCACTCCATAACATTCGTGTATATACAATATGTTATATTATATATGTCGAACACAAGAACAACATTTAAACTTGCGTGCTAGAGTCCCTTTGTTGTTGTTCTTTTTTTTTTTTTTTTTTTTTTTTTTTTGGTCGGTCTGGGTCTAGCGAGCGGCACTTGCGGTCAGTTGAACGTTTCAGCGCGTACTGTTTGGTCAGTGAAGGAGCGAGCATGCCGGCTAACTTTACGACCAGGACTAGCCAAGTCAATTGAGTGCACAAATACACACAAATACACACTCATACAGGGCACCTCTTTCACTCAGTTAGCCGTCTAACTGTAAGGGCTGCCCACACACCCACTTACTCACTCACTCAGCCAGTCCGTCAGAAGCCATCGCGCCCCCATAAGTATGCTACGAAAAATAGAAAATTGCTTTTTTCGCCTCACTCGACTTTCGACTCTTGACTTTCAGTATTGGCATTGCTTTATACAGGTTAGCATGTCCAGTTGGCCATAGTTGGTAGTTGGTAGTTGACAGTTAGCCAACGGCATTGGCCATTGCCTGCCCATTGGCCGACGAGTGAGTTTGGGTCATTAGGCCTACAATTGTGAGTCACCCTACTCGGCATTTTTAGCCTTTAATGGATGTGTCGGTATTTCCACATTTATTTCGAACGTAAGTATGCAAGTGTGTGTATTTGTGTATAAATATATATATAGGTGATAAGTTATTCAACTGCGCTGTGCGCGTTCTTCATGCGTGTCTTCCTCTCTCCCACCCTTCAATCCGCAGCTATTCCTGTCAGTTTGTCAAATGCGGGCAAATCTGAAACAGCAACGTCAAAAATAAATCATGGCTGATTTGTTTTTTATAGTTTACTTTTTGGGCGGCGTTTCGTCCTGACCTGTTGACATTTGCATAATTTTGCGAACAAGAACCGAACAAAAACACAGGAAGAATGGGAATTTGGGGTGGCAAGTGAGCGCTAAAAGTTAATTAATTCGTTTAGTTGTTATGCAAAAGGCGCACAACACAAGCACCTACAAAAATACTTGAAGTTCTATTTTGTTTCGTTTTATGACTTTCAAGGCGCCGCCCTTAAGCAGGCTATCAAATGTGGTCCGCGTTTTCACTTTTTTCTCATTTCTCAGTAACCAACTTTCGTTAGTCGTTTTTTATTTTTTTTGCCGCCCATTAAAGAATCAAGAAAGAGAAGTTGGAAGAGAGAGAGAGAGAGAGAGCGAGAGATGGAGCTTGTCGCCCACATTTGCCGCAATTCGCAGACAATTTGCGCCAATTAATTGATTTCTTTGTTCAGAGAATTTTTCCATTTAATTCTTATGCAATCGAAAAGTGCGTGAGTTTTGAATATGTGTGCAAATTGTTGTATGGCCACGTGCCATATATAATTGCTAAGACTTCATATGAAATTCCAACAGTCCTGACATTTCGATTGGGAGAAATTCTAGGTATGCCTAAATGTTTGGCATATGCGCAGATTTTCTTTGAAACAACTGCCAGCTTGCGACTAAAAACATACTTAAATTATATCCTGTTCTTGCGCGATAATTCTATGTATTCAATCATTTCCGAGAAATTAGCTTACTATACTCGTACATTTATTTCTAGGAGAAACAAACCAATATGTAAAATACCTGTTTCGAGCCAGAAAAATATAAGAAATAATGCCCCTAAAACTGGGGCTTTCGCGAGAATGGTTTTAAAATCGTTACACTGCTAAGTCAAGAAACTCGTCTTCAATCTTATATCGCCTGCCGGTATTCTAAAGGCCACTTTATTTTATTAAATAATAGATTAGCTAAAAATATATACAAACTTTGTATAGCAAGTGACTCTATTGTAAATACAGCTTTTTGAAATGTTAATCGTATACTTAATTTATTTACAAAACTAATTTTTCGGATTGTTACGAGTGCAAAAATTTGAGATTAAAAAAATAAACAATATAAATTTAAGGATGAAAACATTATGCGATAAATTAGCAATATAAATATTGATCTAGATTTCAGAATTAACGGAGCCAACATTCCTAAAACGTGGTGTGTAGACACTCCAAATGCTTCGGCAGCCCAAGTCTATTTTATTTTTTGATTCACTACCATCTTGTAGACCAATTCCCCACAAAAAGCAGCAGCAGCGGGTTCGCTCTTATTATTTTTGTTTCTTCTCATATCACAATATAATTCATTGAATGTATTGAATTTACAGTAGCATAAGTTCTTTATGGCTTGTTCAACTCGACTGTAATATGAATATCAAAGGATATATTGTGCTTATATTGAAAAACCTTATTTCAATATCAATCAATCAATCTGCATTCTTAAGTATTTCTGAGGCATCTAGTCTCCACATTGTTAAGATTCCATGCTTCCAGACTTCTTATTTTTGCAAGCAGATCATTTGTCTAAAACAGACTTATTTGTTCTTTGTTTATTTTTGCTAATGTACCCTTAAACGATCAGTTCAGTATTTGTACTGAAAATAAACGGCACATTTTTTATTATGTCTTATTCAACAGCGGAAAAGTACATTGTGGGTGAGTTGGCATCGGCTTTCCTAAGCAAACAAATGCATGTGCACTCGTGTTTAATCAGAAAACCGTGTTTCAATCCCCTTGGGTCTAAATGCAATATTTCGGAACGAAAGAAACGTTTTCAATGATCAAATAATATACAATTTCTGTACATCTATAGTCTTATCTTAGTGAGCATAAGTTATGCAATCTTCTGACGATTCTTCTTACAATAGTCGCTTGAATGTTGATTTTTGAAAAGAGTTCATTAACTTAAGCAAAACTCAACTACAATTGACAGCAAGATGGAAAGAGAGCGGCTTTAATAGAAAAATCATATGTGAAATGGAATCGCCTACCATGACTCTTAGGCAATATAAATAATAAAAGTCCTCTAATTATGCAGAGGATTAACAACTTCTTTTATTGTTGTTGATTCAGGTCTATTAGGTATTCTATTGCAAGCAGCTATTATCTTCATATTGTGGAATATAATTTAAACATAAGCGTAGCTTATGTGTTGCATGACAGGTTAACCCACATTTTCATAACTGACATGAAACGTACATAGAAAGCGTTATGTCCGTGTCCATGTAGTTAGTATTTTATGAATCGTCTAACGACTTTGTAGGAGTATTTTTGTGGTGCACTCGGCCACTGTTGCATGCCTTCAATTTCGATATTTATAATATACATACTTGTATGTGTATTTGTGTGTGTGTGTGTGTGTGTGTGCCACTTTCGCGTGTCCATAGCACCTACTTCCATTTGCACTCCCACTCTAATTTCAACTCCTGCCTGACTTTCCGCTGAGTTGGCGGAAAAGGCAAAACATTGCTGCACTATCGAGCAAATGCAAATTTGTGTGCTCGCCCGAACTTTTGGGCCAATAGCAACAGCAAATACATTGACCTGGGCCTACATTACGTATGCGTAACAACTGAGCGTGGCAAGTCCAATAATATTTGAAATGTTTTGTTAAACTCCTATAATTAAGAAAGTACCCGTTCCACTTCCTACTTCCTTTCCGCTCGGCACCTCCGGAGTGCATTGAACTCGACATTATTATTGAACTTCTTCAATATATTTCCTATATTTTTCCACGCTGACGCAAAGTGCCCCAAGCAGCTGTTTGGGGTCTCAAGGCTTCCCTTTTTAGCACGCACCTCATTGAGTCCATTTGTCATTTTGTCAATATGCTCGGGTTGACAAATCAATTGTTGGCGGCCTCAAGTCAAAGCGAGTTGTCCGGAGAGTGTCAAAAAGGAATAAGTTTGTTGAACTGCCTGGCCTGGCCTGGCCTGGCGAGGCTTGGTCGCATCGATCGATAGATCCCCTGGGGCTGTCTGTGTAAGGCTTAGCGACTGCTTTGGGCAGCCAAAAATAAACATTTGTTCCTAAGGCGTTGCTATTTGTGTTGTTGCTATTGTTGTTGCTTGTGCCGCTGCTTGTTTATGCAACAAATCTAAACAAACACCTGACCTTCAGCTGCTGTTTTTTTAGTGCCTCTTTCATTCAACAGTAAACAGGATTTGCTAGCGTGCGCTGTTCCTTTCCAATTTCTCGTGTGTAAGTGTGTGTGGGTCCTGTATGTGTGTGTGTGCGGGCATACCCCACAGGTAAACCCTACGGGTAAGCCCCACAGGCAGGGCTTTCACGTTTCACACACTCCCTCACACAATTTTTTGTGAATTGTTTACAAAGCAAAGCCATGGCTGGGCGAAAAAAAGTTATTTATTTTGTGGGCGTGTGAGTGTGGGTGCCACACCCACTACGCCTTCTTGGTACGCACGCTTAAATTACCTTCAATGTCAACAGCATGAACACGTTTTGCCAATTTATTTGTTAGTTCGCATTGTTGTAGCCCCTATTATTATTTGTTGGGGCAAACGGAATAGTCGAGAGTGGAAAAATATGAAATTAGCACAAAATTAGCTGATTTCCAGGCAAGCGTACGGCATTCCCCCTCCCCCTCCCACACACACACACACACCAACACACAGAAACATAAATTTTAACATATGAACTGCCTTTGTGGCGGGCCTTAATTACAGTTATAAAGAAAAATGAGTGGCGAGACTGAAAGTGAAAGCAAAGAGGCGCTACAGCTTAAGGAGGAAGAGCCGCAGGTGCATACCGGCGCGGAGAAGGAGCAAGGGAATAAAGAGAGGGAACAGCAGAAGGAGCAGCAACTTTCAGAGAAAGTAGTGGAGGCAGTAAAAGAGGACGAGGCTGGTAGTTCTATTGAAGCCGAAAAGCACTCAAAGGAGGCAAAAAGTGAAGCGGAAACTAAAAGTGAGAGTAAACCTGAAGAGGGTGGTCAGTCAAAGGCCGAAAGCAGCCACTTTGCCGGCTATGAGGAACATATTAGTTATGCCGAGGATGGTGCGGCCATCTATACAGATCCCAGCACAAGGCAGAAGTACAAATGGTGCGACAAAATCAACAATTGGACACCACTGAGTGGTGATGCGGCGGCCAGCAGTACAGGAGATCCCTTAGAGACCGAACACTACAAGTGGTGCAAAGAGACGCAGCAGTGGCTGCCCAAACAGCAGAGCTGTACCGAAACCGAAACTGAGCACTATAAATGGGATGCAGTGCAGCAGAAGTGGCTGCCGAAACGACAAACAAGCAGTAATGGTTCTGATGATGTCGTCTTTGGAGTGGATGAGCAAGGCCAACGCATCTATACCGACAAAGATGGTGTCGTCTTCTTCTGGGATGCCAACAGAAGTGCCTGGTTTCCAAAAATCGACGATGATTTCATGGCGCGCTATCAAATGAGCTACGGTTTCATAGACAACACCAGTGCGGGGGAGAAGGAACGCGCCGAACGTGAGGCAGCGGAGGCCAAGCGCAAGGAGGAAGAACTTAAGCGGATGACTGCCGAAGCACAGGCCGCCATGATTGCTGCAGATGCGGATAAGCCAGAAGTGCCAACAGTGGGTAATAAACGGAAGGCTCCGGAACCACCCAGTAAGTTATTTAGAAAGTGGTTATTTTACTTTCAGCTAATTTTCTGCTTCAATATTCGCAGAATGGTTCGAAGTGGATCCCACCCAAAACACAAAAGTCTATGTATCCAATTTGCCACTGGACATCACCATGGACGAGTTCGCAGAGCTGATGGGCAAATGTGGGATGGTAATGCGCGATCCCCAGACCCAAAAGTACAAATTGAAACTTTACACCGAAGCGGATGGACAAATCAAAGGTGATGGACTGTGTGATTACATTAAGGTAAGTGCCACTATTTTAAATCAAGCTGACAATAATCCCTATCAAATACAGTATTATTGATGGTATTTCTCCAAAATGATATGCCAAGCAATTGAATTCTATATTATTTTGTATTAATTACACAAAATTGGCCAACAATTATCACCAAAATAGCTTGCCATGTTATTGTAGAAAGGGAAGCCGCTTAGACGCATTTCGAACCCATAACTTGTTAGGAAATTAAGATCGAATATTATTTGAATACATCATCACATTTTTTTACTTTCCTTAAACCAAACTAAACACAATTATTTCATCCATATCGGTAAATTTTAAGAAAAGTTATTAGCGAAAAAATTTCACTCTAATACTAAGTACGCCCACTAATTGCGGCACCAAGTTCGCTCCTCGTCTTCTTTTTACTTCTGCTAGGGGCGCATATAACTCAGTGCCGGAAGTTTGTCTGGGTACAGGGTATTCCTCTTTAAAAGTGTTTTGCAACAGTTTATAAAGAACCAGCAAGAGATGAAGAATTTGTTGAAAAACGAAACGTCCAATGCAGTCTTAGTCGTAGAAGAATATTATTTTTGTTTGGACATTAATGAGTTTTTAAAACGCTTCACTAAACATTTCAAGTTTTGTTAAGATACAAATTATATAGCTGCCTTTGGAATGATTTGGAGGCAAGCAGTCCGATCAGTACTGATGATCCACTTTTCTGCTGCTTTATAGGAAATCCGTTTTCTTGGCTTGAGCTAATAGTTGGGTGGCATTTCTAATTATTAACAAAAGAAATAGGCATTCATCTTCAGTGTTTGTTTAAAACTTTATTTTAACTATATTTTTTCGGTTGCATTACTTGTATTATTATTATTAATATTAATATATATCAAGATAAGTTTCAATTTCATACGTCGATCTGCTTATGGTGCTGTGTCTATTTTCGTAAAGGTGATTTCTCGCTTAATTGCTGTTGACTATTTGCTTGATTGTATTTCTCCTGCATTTTCTTTCTGGATCATTATTTAAAGACGTATGCAGTTGTCTAATGTTTAAAATTTGTTAGTTAGACTTGCTTGTATTTAAAAAATGCGTTTTACTTGGCTAGAAATTGCTTCTCTCATGTGATTTCAAAAAAGAAATGTTGATCTTCTTCTTAACATTCGGAAAGAACATACTCGTAGCAGAATATAATTCATAGAAATTTCAACATTTTTGCATTTGAGGTATTACAAAAAATATAATAAATTTACATTTAAACGTACAATAATTAATTATTAAATATATCAAATTAACTTAACTAGTTAGTATAATAGTTTTTGCCCAGCTCTGGCACTCTCTTCACAATTGATTCTTACCTTTTTCTCTTTTCTCTTTTCTCATTTTTTCCTTTTTAAGTATGTATTGTAAGTATTGTAAATGGTAGAAAAAAATTATTTCATGTATGTACTTGTCTAGCAAATAGGTGTACAACAACCATAAGTAGAGACATTATTATTCGCACATACATATATTGATATTGCTTTTGGCGAAAAATTGAAGGAGTTGTGAAACTCCAGAAGTTATCAATTGCAATTAATTATCATTATTAATATTGTATTTGAGTGATATCGGTGCAAAATTAAAAAAAATCGGTAGCTAAAAATTAAAAATAATATCGCCAGTGCTTGGTTGTTTGTCCGTTCATTGTTTAATAAAAATGCTGATGCTCGCTAATTGCTATTTTGGTTATTAAGGAAACGTTGTGTTTACGCTCATGTATATGTGTGTCTGTATATTCTTTATACGCTATGCCTATATATTTATTTATATAAAGTGTTATATCATATATGTACATTACTATAAAGAGCTTTTGCTTTTAAAGTGCGACGCTAACTTTATGCATAGAAATATTTCGCAGTGAAAATATTTTCGAAAAAGTGCACGCGCGACTGTTTTAAAATTCAATTCAATTATAATATTCGATATTAATTGATGTTGTTGCGGTTGCGGTTGATGTTGATATTATTATTGTTGTTTATGTCGCTGTAGTTTTTTGGTGTTCTTAAGGAGAGGAAATGCGGGCTTTTTTCCGTTTGTTGTAAATAATACTTTTGAGTTTTTCGAAAGCATACAAGAAAAAGCATCGTTGTCGAACTAAATTTTAAAATGTTTGCCACTTTCATGGTCGCAGGCCAGAAACTTATTTTGTTTTGTTTTTAACGATATGTATTAGTAGTTTTTGTTTTCGGCGTAATTGTTGTTTATGTGTGTTGTGTGTGTGCGAGTAGATCGATCTACTGGTTCGCCTCGTTCAGCGCCTCCTTCAGTGCCTCGTCCTTTTGTTGCTGCAGCAGCCGCTGTTCCTCCAGTTCCTTCTTCTGCAGTGCTCGCAGCTGTCGCTCCTTTAGCTGCTTGCGTCGCTTGCGCATCTCTATGAACTTTTGCTGATCCTCGGGCTTTAGTGCAGCAATGCGTGAGGCATAGTTGCGTCGCTTGGCCTCCATTTCGCGATGCACCATCGCGTCCGATTCTCTTCGGGCTGCGTCTAGACGCTGTTGGCGTTCACGCTCTTTGCGCTCTTTTTCCTGTTTTTCGGCCTCTTCTTCTGCTTTCTTTGCCTCCTCTTCGCGACGAATTTCTTCCTCGTGCTGGTGTTTGCGTGCCTCATTTTCAGCAGCGATGGATTCACGGAGTCGTTTCTCCTCCTCTTCTAGGCGGTTCTTTTCGGCTTCAAGCTCGGCCTGTTCTTGCGCACGTTTTCTTTGCTGCTCCTCTCGCTTTTTGTTCTCCTCCTCTAGACGTTTCAGTTCTCGCTCCTCCATCTTCTTGGCTTCCTCGATACGTTCCAGTTCAAGGCGCATTTGTTGCTCCTTGTGTTCGCGTTCAATCTCTTCCTGTCGCTGACGTTCCTCAGCCTTGAGGCGTTCCTGAACTTCCTGCAATTCACGGCGTTTGGCCTCACGCTCCTCCTGCATGAGGCGCTCCTGTTCGTTTTTAGCTTCGAGTATTCGTTTCTCGTACTCTTTTCGCAATCGTTCCTCTTCGGCGGCGCGTTCGGCGGCATAACGACGATCGGCTTCCTCCTGCTCCTCACGCTGCTTGCGGCGCTCTTCCTCGCGCACGCGTCTCTCTTCGGCTTCGCGCTCTCGTTGTTTCTGCAAGCGCTGCTGTCGCAGACGTTCAGCATCCTCGTCCACGGCACGCTGACGTTCCTCGTTAGCATGCTTTTCCTTCAGCTGTTCGATTTCTCTCACACGCTGTTCACGCTGTTCTCGCTCTTGCTGCTCACGCTGTTTCTGTTCTCGCTCTTGCTGTTCCCGCTGCTTCTCCTCGTGTTTTCTTTGTTCACGTTCCTTTTGCTCGCGTTCCAGCTGTTCGCGCTCGGCCTGGTAGCGTCGCTGAGCGGCATCCTCCTGCTGCTGCCGCAACTGTTGTTGTTCATCGTCCCGTTGTCGCAACTCCTCCGGCCTGTAGGTAATAGGCTGGCGTTGCTGTTGCTGCCGTTGTTGTCGTTGTTGCTGCTCGAGGCGCTGCTTACGCTCGCGTCGTTCCTGGCGCAGACGCTCCTGGCGTTCACGCTTGCGCTGCTGGCGTTTGCGCTCCTTTTCACGCTGACGTTGCAGCTTGCGATCGTATTGGGTCATCTGTTGCGTGGCGATGCCGGGCGTTGCTGTCACGCGGGGAACCACCTCGTTGTCCAATAGATGTCCTGGTGCTGAAGTCGTGGACGTAGTGCTGGGCCTTGGGCGCTTAGGGGGACGCTGTGTGTGCGATTGTGGATAGTTGACATCATTGGGATGTGCTGCCGACTGATTGCGTGGTCGCTGTGGGCGGCGACGACGTCCTCCCTTACGTGCCGGAATCACCATCTCCTCTGCACTGCCTTCTGCCTTAACGCGACGATGATATCTGCAAGATAATTTTGCATTTTTAATAATTCTACATATATATTTAAGATATATCCTTCAAAAATAGGGCGCCCCAAGAAGGGGCCCGAAGGAAGACAATTATTACTGGTGTCTAAATTCACGGGACATTTCCATTTCCCTATTCTATATTTTTTCTGCACCGTGTTCTTCTCGCCCTCAGGTCGAATCTGTTAATTTGGCGCTAAATATTTTGGATGAATATAATTTGCGCGGGCATAAGATACGCGTACAACGGGCACAATTTCAAATGCGTGGGGAATATAATCCTGCGCTCAAGCCCAAGCGAAAGAAGAAGGATAAGGAAAAGTTGCAGAAAATGAAAGAAAAGTAAGCGCAAATTCGCATAATACTTCTAAGTAACACAATGACAGATAATGTTTAATATATGCTCTGTATTGTAGACTCTTTGATTGGCGTCCGGATAAAATGCGTGGCGAGCGTTCCAAAAACGAGAAAACTGTCATCATTAAGAACCTCTTTACGCCCGACTTGTTCGAGAAGGAAGTCGAACTTATTTTGGAGTATCAGAACAATTTGCGGGAGGAGTGCACAAAGTGCGGAATGGTGCGCAAGGTCGTTATCTACGATGTGAGTTTAACGTGATTTGCGGAATTTATTGCAGCATTAATTATCTTGATTTTACATTGTATTTTATAGCGTCATCCCGAGGGCGTTGCTCAGATAAACATGTCATCGCCAGAGGAGGCCGATCTAGTCATACAAATGATGCAGGGACGGTTCTTTGGCAAACGGCAACTAACAGCCGAGCACTGGGATGGCAAAACGAAATACAAGTGAGTAATAATTTCAATCAAATCAAGTCATTTCTAATTTCAATGTATTTGTTTGTATTGGGAACAGAATTGATGAATCGGAGGCGGAAACACAACAGAGATTATCAAAATGGGACTCGTACTTAACGACCGAAGATACAGAAAAGTCGGAAATAGAGAATTTGCCGGAATCATCAGTAGAGAGTTCCAAAACTGAATCTTAAATGGGTAGGTTCCACATTAATATTACTCTGTTGAATTAATTCTACAGTTGATTGTCTACTTACAGATTTTTATTTTTATAAACATACATACCTGCGATCATTATCTCCACGATCGATGACTTCCAAAACCACTTCGTTGGCCAGCTGATGTGGATAGGTTGTGTTCCAGCGCGTATAGATCTTATGCCGATTCGCCTCGCTGACCTTTGGCATTTTGTGCTGGCATATGAAACGGAATTTATCGGGACAAGCGCGTGCCGACCAGCGATACTTAATGCTCGGATCGTACACAGCGCAATGGCTATCCTGCAGCTTGCTGTTGGAGATAAGGTGCACATAGCTAAAATAGTCCTTTTTGAAATCAAACAACGCAAGAAATAAAATGTAAATGAAATGAAAGTTCAACTCACGTGGGATCCAATTGGGCGAAGTTATTGTACGTTAAATTGTTGCCAGTAATGCTCCATTGCCAGATGTGGTTGCGGTGATCGTACGTAGCCCCAAACCAAATTGGCTCGTGCTCTGCAATTTAAACATTTGAATACCCTTTCTGTGCACCAACTGGTGTCTTGTTCGCTACACTTACTACCACTCTGTGCATCGTGTTGCTGCAGAAACGCTCGCAGCTTGCGATCTGAGAACTTTTGTGGCTCGGCCAGGTTGGCATTTTTGTCCTTGCAGAAGAAGTGAGCCTCCAGCCAGCTGCTGCGCTGCTCGGGCATGAAGTAGCACTCGGTGCCCACACGCTGAAACAATGGTGGACACATCGCATACATTCGACGCATGCGCTGCTTGGGTGTGGGCGTGTCAGCCACAGGCGCATGCGCGCCGGCCTCAGCATGTAAAGGTGTGTTCCCATAGAAGGGCAAATTGACGCTGGCACCACTGGCGTGATACTGCGCCTGGCTAATGTGTAGGGCTGCAACAAATAAATACCAGAGAATCACATGAAAGTTACAAATAAGTAAAAACAAAACAAATGAGCCAAAGGTTTTGTTCATTGGGTCTGTTATATATATGTATATATATTATATTATTATTGTTATATATATATATATTATTGATCAGCATGACTAGACAAGTCGATCTAATGCTTTCTGTCAATCTCGGAGACTATAAGAGACAGAGGCACCTAATTTTGGGGTTGGGGTTTTTTTTTTTTGCTGATACATCCCCTCGTTTCTTCACTAATGGAGATTTTCCGTAACTCCGTTCGTATAATCATCTATATCTCGGAGACTATAAGGCCTAGGGACACCAGCATGCCTTATATATACTCAGAAAAGGTGTATTTCACGATTTTTCTCCCTTCGCACTCTCCCCCGCTATTAGTGATTTTCCATAACTCCCATAATTCTAGGAATTGTTGACTCAAATTTTTTCCCTCAGTTAGTTAATCCGTTTCAAAAATGTTATTTGTAACATTATACAAGTTACTATTTTTTTAAATTTTATTAATTTTTTAAAAGGTTTGTATAATTGTTCTAAACATATGTATGCACTTGTTTTTGTTTCGTTTGAAGTCTGCAGCAACCCTTTGTATTTCTGTATCTTAATATTTAAGTGATATAATCTTGAAATTTTGCTAGCAAATACCCAAATCCGAACAAGTGTAATTTATTTGCTTACTTACGGCTACCATAGGTCCTATAAGTGTTCGTATTCAGGAGTGTTTTTAGTTGTTTGTTTGTTTGTTTCGGTTTGTTTTCGGTGGCGCAACAAAGTTTTTACTTTTAATTTATGGTGCGAAAAATTTTATAAACGTTTGAATAAAACTGTATGTAAAATGCGGCGTATACGCAATGTACGTTACTTACCTAAAACTAAGATAAATACTGAAGAACAAAGCATTCTGCTGTTGCAATTCATATTGACTGCTTGGGGACTCCTTCTATATCGTCCGAATATTGGCTGCTTTTGTCGATGGCACTGCTTTTCCAAAGTTTTTGCGGTCTCTGTCTCTTCTTTTCGCACTTCTCGATCAATTTTTACATAGCTGTTGATGCGCTGTCAAACGGGGAGATGGAGAAAAAATGACACACGCATTTATTATACGAGTATTGTAAATCTTTCGTCGTTTGCTTATCTAATTTTTGCAAATGTTTATTTTATGCAAATCCCCAATACTAGCCGAGCGACTAACAAGTGTTTCCGTTGATGGATGAGTGCTGACCGGCGATTTGCTTGAGGCATGATGTAGTGTAGACGCCTACGCTGCACGTCGTGTGCAAGACAAATTGAGCAAACGAAACGAAAAATTCTTAAAGAGATTTGTATTATTTATTAGTGTTCATTCATAAACAATTTTGATGCCTCCACTGACCAAATCCAAATCAACCAACAACCGGTCGGGCCGGCCGCTTCCCTCCATCAATGCGTCAGATGCCGACCAACACTCGAGCTTGTCTGTCAGCGCTCATGGCTCATTGAAAGTGCGAGTATGTGTGTGTGTGTGAGTGTGTGTGTGTGTATTCTGCTTGTTTCCAATTAACACTCCCATAATTTTAACTGCTGTGCTAGGCAGCAGGTACATTTTGCTTGGCTGTCTGCCATTGCAGTCTACACAATTCCCAATTTGTTAACTCGCTGACAACGCTCTTGTTATTATTGTGGTTGCCGCTGCTGTAGTTGTTGTTGCTATTCTTGTTGTTGTGTTAATTACTTTACCGGCCGCCTAGTGACCCACTTTGAATGCAGCAGCAGCAGAGTTAAATGTTCCATTGAGTGGGCTTTGTTATTATAACTAATTGCAGTCAAAGTTTAACTAAGTGCGTGCAGCTCATTAAATTTTAAATAGCTTGTGCTAAAATGTTGAGCCAGTCGCATTAAATTGTACTTTAAATCCTTGCCTTGCCTCCCTCTCAACAAGTAACTGAATTCCCTACTGATTAATTGCTGAAGTACAGAAGCGAGAATGGCAGCGAATTGTATTGCATACTTTTCGGCTGCAGGAAAACTGAAGCGGGTCAAGGGGTCACTGGAACTTGATAAAATTGTATTTGGAGCTTCGATGCAAATGGTGCGGAAAGTCGCAGACGAAAAATGTATAGTTTAACTTTATTTTAAATCTTTGCAATCTTTTTAATAGCTTAAAACAGATATTCAGATTCCTAAGCCATCAATACACAGACTTTCGACTTGTTTGGTTTTATTGTGAAACAATATTCAACATTTCTATGACAATTGCTAGACCATGGTGTTGCGATTTAGTGTTTAGTGCGATAGTGTTATGTGTGTTGCAAACAAAAAGCAAGTATGTTCAAATAGAAATGTTTAACTTTAAACTTAAGTAAATACCAGATGTGTATTGGATTGAAATATTTGAATGATTAAGTACCAGACTGAGTCAATCATGATCTATCGCGAGTGCTCCGCTTTGGAGTTGATTCTTATTTTGTTGAATATTTTTGCATTCAAAAACGTAATTCCCATTGTGTGGTCCCACAACCATGTTATATTGATTTCTTAAACAACTCTCGTCCATGGCCACGCGCTTATGTCATTTAATTGAGCCATTTGAGGCCCAGTCCGAGCCTCCGCCGACAGCGACAGCGACCGGCTACCTCTACATTGCCGCTGACAAGATCTGCCCAATCCCCAATAGAAAACACTGAGACGGACCAGCTGGGAGGGACGGACTGCCGCCTAGCGTCAGTTACACTGCTAATCATATGTAATTTTGTAAAATAATTCATACACATGAAAAACAAATTAAAAGCAAAACGACATAAAACGCAGGCCACAACGAAAAGTAAGAAGGCAGCGCCAACAAATCGAGCAACTCGCTTGACAGCTTTGGCAGACACAACGGCTATAGGCCCAGAAAACTCGTTGGCACGCCACGACTGGTAAAGCAGCGAATGGCGGTACTACGCGCCAACTACAACAAGCAATAACAATAGCAACAACAACAACAAGTAATAACTAAGACAACAACGACAAATTCCTCAGCGATGACGGCTTGCGGCAACTTAGACGCCAGTCTCAGTCGCAGACGCAGTCACAGCCGAAGCCACATCCCAAGCCACAATTTCAGCTCGACAGCCGCCACAGCTCGAAAGCGGCCCAACATGCTTGACATTCATTTGTACGCGTTGACAATTAGGCGCAAATAGACGACGCCACCACACACGCACAGTGGTTCCAAATCACCAACGTCTATGTCTCTATTATTCGATAAAAAAGTGGTCTCTGAACGTGTGAAATGCAAGCTGGATTGCAGCTAGATTAACAAATTTATACTCAAGTTCCGGTGGCTGTCAAAGTACCGTTTGTTATCTACTTTCTATCTGGGACTATTAAATGCAGAATTAGAAACTCAAATAAATGGCAATATACTTGTAAGTAAACCTTTACCATTGCTAATGGCCCTTTGACATTGGACTGGAAACAAATTGAAATTATCATTGAAATATCTACACGTATATATGTATATGTAAAGATATAATTTATCCTGCTAAAGCGATCCCTTAATAGTATCTTACGGGAGTTGAATTAATGCACTGTAAGAGCTAAAATGTAAAGCCAACTTTAGAGAGAAGTGTTGCATATAACTTTCTGAACCTTTGCGATACAGCAATGCTAATTTGTGTGGCTTTTCTTTGTTCACCAATCAAACACCAGGTTTGGGTTAGTGCTGATTGTAAAGCAAAGTAGTAGTAATACTTATCCAATTTCGTTTGAAAATGCAGTCCATATACACGGCTACTCCACATTTCATTTCGTAATTTGTGAATAGAACGAACTCCTCACTCACTAAATTAAATTTGGAAATCCGAGACAAATTCATTCCCAAAAATTTAACCAAAATAGGTAAATGTTTTAAAGGTAATTCTCCAAAGGATCCCATCAATATATACTTCATATTGAAGCAACTCATTTCATGGCATTCCTTTGGCGTGATTGACAATTTCGCACCACTGTGCTCTATTACAAAATGCTCTTGGCAATGCGCGCCTTTCCTTGAGTAATTGTTGAGACTGTCTATTTTGTTTGTCTATGATTGTGTTTCCTGCGTGTGTTTGTGTATCTGATATAAATATTCCTATGACTATTGTTGATTTAGTGACTGTAACTGTTGGCTGGCTAGCTGGCTTAGTACAACAGACCTTCAAGCTGCTTTGCATGCTGCCGACGTCGCGGCAATCACGTGGGCGCTGCGCAGAGACTGTGCACCCGCGCATTGCTCGTGCATTTTGTTTGACATTTGTTTGAGTAGCTAATAAAAAGGCATCAGTGCGCCACTTTACACCCACACAGCCACAGACACACACACACACACACAACCACACACTGATAAATATAGTATGCATAAAACTGTTGCTTGCCGCTTTGCTGCCACCATGTGTGGCAGTAGGCGGTGTTTGATTGATTTATGGCCCCTTCTCCCAAATGCATGCAGAGAGGGAGATATATGTATGTACATATATATAGAAATGACTCCGACAACGACATTCAAATGGCTTTGAAAATCTTCTAGACAAACTTGCCCTGTCAGCCCGACCTTGATCTTGAACTTGTGCGTCGTCGCGTCGGTTGCCGGTCGACTCTGTTTTATTACAGCATCGAAAAAGAGGAAATGTTGAAGAAAAACATAAAAAATAAATATGTGGAGCTGTGCAGCTGCAAAGATGAAACCCCATATTGTGGCAGGCAAATGGAATTTCAAACTCAACATCCAATTAAAATTCTCGATTCACAAATCCCACAGATTTCGAGGAAACATCAAATAACATAAAAATAAAAATGAGTTTAGTGGCAAAATGACAAAAACTCACACGAAACAAATCAATCAAAAATAAAAATAATAATGAACCAGAAGTGAGGATGGGCGAGGCTTAGGCCAGACACAGGTTATACTTAAAAAAGTTTGTCCAAAGCTAATATGCGTGTCTGTTTGTGTGTGTGTGTGTGTGTGCGTGCGCCATCCTCAGAGCTAAACAGCCTTGAATATTTAAAGATTAAGCTCCACACAGCAACAACAGCAATAACAACGTAACAACAACTTTGGGCAGGAAGAGAAGCATACGCGTAAATACTTTGGAAAAATATTAGAATTTACGTTATTAAGAATGACTTGAAATATGAGCGCAAAGCGTTTTGGCCGCATGATAAATGAGTTAAGATGTTGGTTTAAAAGGAAACCATGTATGTGTTTTGCTGGCGTCAAATTTTTCATTAAGTTGTTGGCAAATTTGCAAACTAGTTTATTAATATAAATACATATGTTGGTTGATTAATATGGGAGTGAAGGATGTGTGTTATGGATAGGGGATACCAATTTTTTATTTAGATTAATAAGAGATTCGTTGAAATTACACTAAACGTAAGAATAATTGGAAGCGCTTCATTATATGAAGGGGAGATATATAGGGCAGATCGAAAGTAAACAATTTCAACAAACAATTTTGAACAATTGTTTAAACGTCAGACTTATCAGACAACAGGGACCCATTGATTATTCATTGAAGAGGTTATAACAAATATAATTTCATATCAATACTTCGTCTCTAAAATTTGGTAGCTATTCTTAGAGAGATTCAAAGCGAAGCCATGAAATATGTTTATAAATTTTAACATAATTATTACATTAAGACAGTAAAATGGATTACAAATTTATTCAAAAGTGTATGATTGAGAGCGCGTATGTTTGGATGAGTGAGGCACTCAATCATGTCGTCTGAGGCACTCGCTGGAGACGCAGAGTTGAATGTACCGCATCTTTAGTTAACCCCTTCGGGGAGTTCAATGTGAACAGCTGCCTAACAAATTTGCTGTTCTGTGTACGAGTTTGTTTTGGCCAGTTCTTAATGCGCCACTCGAAACCGGCTACAGTAGTTATCTTTAGACAAACTAATTGCGACATAAATCTTTTAGCCCAAAAACTTTTTGTTGTCTCGTGTCGGCGCGTCTCTGCGATGTGGGAGCGTGCGTTCCAAGTTGTGAAGCACAAAGAGTCTAATCAATTAAAAGCGTTCGATAGCAAAAATATTCAACTCGTTTTTTGG